AACCCACCCCCCCCCCCCCACACACCACCCCCCCCCACCCCCACACACCACCCCCACACACCACCCCCCCACACACACACACACCCCACCCCTCCACCCCCCCCCCCCCCCCCCAAAAAAAAACATGTCTACTGTCCCATTGCAAGAAAACCACTTTTTAGATTAGACACATTGGTAATTTTATTATAGAGTATCGATGAAGAAATTTCTTTTGAGTTGGGGAGGGGGGGGGGGGGGGTCAGACGTTCTTACGCGGGGGGTGGGGCTTCGCCCCTACCCGAAGAATTGTATGCAAGAAACTCTTCACGCAAACCACTTAGATTAGACAACATTTCCTCTTTATTCAATATTTACGCCAGAATCAATGACGTCATTACATTACTGTGTGCACTCTCTGGTTTGAGATTATGTTCTACTCTACGCTAAATGTGTCGACGTCATATTTCGTTTTTCGAATTACTGTGCATGTTTTTAAATTGCTTGTGTTTTCTCTAGAGCGTTCTTGTCAGACAGAGCGTTCTTGTCAGATAGACAGACAGCGAAACTATTAGTATTAATTTACTGAGCTCAATATTAATATATATTTTAATAAGAAATCACTGTAGTTGATGAGGTGTGCTGTCGTTTTAAAAACCATTTTTATAAGCATGCTGTTTATGGATGACCACCAAATCTGTCTGGCATAAAAAAGCATCTAATATATTTATATATTTGAGCCTTCATTTATGCTCCATGTGTCTAAGTTTTATTTTACAGACCATATTGAAAGCTCTAAAATAAAATGGCTAGCTTTTACTTACTCCTTACTTGAGGCATAATTGTGTTTTACTTTGTCTTGAAAATTGAAAAAAAGAGTTGGAGCTAATTCCATTCAATGGAACAATTGAATGCAAAAACTTAAAAAGCATTTTTTTTTACCAAAACCAATATGGACAGTTGAAAAATCATTATATTAACTTTTAGGCGATTTTTGTTTTTTAATCTTTGCCGAAAAAAAACAAATAGAAAGAAAAAAGTCTATTGACATATCACTCACAAAATGCATGTTTCACGCCTACTGATCCTACCCTCCCAATATACAAATAAAACAGCATCCAATCCAATTTTTTTTTTTCACAATTGATTACATTATTCATAGAAAAATCAGTTTTCCCAGCAATACTACAATATGATACATTAATACAGTTATCAAAGTAAAACTAAATGGCTCATGTGCTTAAAAAAAGACAAATTTTGCTACCATTAAAGCAGTCCTGCTCTTTAGCTCATAGACATGGAGAACAACAGTCAACAACAAAAATAATCCAAACTTTAATTTAAATATATATATATATATATATATATATATATATATATATATATATATATATATATATATATATATATATATATATATATATATATATATATATAGGCTATAGGTCTCTAAGGAGTATATTGAAAAGAAAATGGCCATACAAGCTAAAAAACACAAAACTCTAGCTGTGTGGACAGGAAGCAATAGAATGGCAATTGTGATGAGTTGGGCACACACTGGAAGGATGCTGAGAATAGAGCCATACAAGCCCTGGAGTAGAAACCCCAGGGCAAGCAAACCAAGATGACATGGCAACTAGCATGCTGGAGGAGGCTGAAATAATAGGGAGAAATTGGGAACCGCTGAAAAGAGTGACAGGAAGCTGGAAAGTATTGACAGAGGCTTGGGAAGGAAAGGAAAAAATATGATGATTTATACAATTTCAATGTGAAAATAAATAACATGAGTCACTTTTTCTTCTTCATTCTTAAATGTAATATTGGAGTGATTTTTTTCAACTTACTTAAGTACCTACATAAGTAACCATGCACCTAAAAAGAAATCCCATTTCATTGTTTCAGCAGTCAAGGTAATTATCAAATTAAAAAAATAGATTTTATTTTTAGTAACTTAATATTCAGAGAAAACATCACTAGAATCTATAAAAATAATGAAGGACTCATGTAATTTGGTTTTGAACTTTTGTTATTTAACTAAGACAAAAGAAGCTCTAACCTCATGTTTCAATTATTAAACTGTGTTCTGTTGTAAGGTGAAATCAGAGCAGCCTTGATGTAGATTTTGAAATGAAAATAATTTTGTTGTCCCAAGAACACCAAAAGGCATATAAGGAGCATTAAAGATAACAACCAAAAATCTTACAGTAGTATTGTATGTATAGATCTATTCGGTAAAACTCATCTATTCTATATGTATATGCATATAGATCTATCAGATGAATACATTTTTCCTTAATTTTTCCTTATTGATTACACATAAAATAAAGAATGATTATTGTGCAAAATACAAATAGTTTATTCAATATTATTATTATTATTTAATATAGGCCTATGCTATAGGCTAATAAAATAAATAAACAAATCCTATATCATTTTACTTATTGATTAGACAGAAAATATAGATTATTGGGAAAATAATTTATTCAATATTATTTAATAAGGGTTCATCCATAAATGATGTCACGCTTTTTTGACGATTTTTACCTCCCCACCCCCTCCCCTCCATCACACGTCGACACAAAAAGCCAGACCCCTCCCCCTAAATTTAAAATGACGTCACACCTCAGCTTGCAACCCTCCTCAAAATTGAAGTTGAAATTTTTTTAAACATCGATATTTTTCTAAAGTCTTTGTCTGAACTCTGTCAAAATAGAGTATTTTAATCAATTCCTATTACAAATTATTAAGACAGTTTTCTAAAACGCGAAATAACTTCTAAAATTCGTTTTCTAACATGGCTTTTTTATAATGCAAAATTGTGAAGTCGCACCTTCTGATCCCTCCCCCCTCCCCCTCATCACACACCGTCACAAAATTAAGGACCCCCCTCCCCCCTATGAGTGTGACGTCATTTATGGGCGACCTCTAAATAATAAACCAATCCAATATCTAGAGCTAGACTAGATATCTAGATCTAGATCTAGATCTAGTTGCAAAAGTGACCTGAGAATTTAACTGTATGTTTTGGTTAGTAGTCTAGATCTGGGTCTAGTCTAGAATCCAACGAACTTGATTTCTCTTACTCTTACTGTCACTGTAAAAAAGAACTGAATCTAAGTTATTTGATTTTGGTTGACAAAAAAATATGCTCATCATAGATCTAGTAATAGTAAGTCAAACAAATAAGGGTAATCTAGATTCTAGATCTATACATGAGCTATAACATTAACAGGGGTCTCCAAACTTTTCAACACGGGGACCGCATTAACTAATACAACAATGTTACAATACTATACTTATAACTATACTACTAATAGATCTAAAAAAAAATGGCATTAAAAAAAAAAATGGGGAGTATAAAATATAACTATAAGTTCGGGAGCCAGAGTTTCTTCCAGAATCCAGGCATCTCTTCGAGGTGGCAGAGCCCCCCCCCCCCCCCCCCCCCCCCAAGAACGTCTACCCCCCAACGAAATATAATTTATATATTATATAGAAGTATAGTATATAGATCTAGTTACAAATTTCAAGTGTCCGTCCGTCCCCCTCTGGAGGAAAAAAGTCTGAAACACTGTCAGGGACTGACAACACACTGGAGGTCCAAGTTTGTTGTCTAATTGTTCTTCACGTATTTCATTCTTAACAATGTTTGTTCACACAGGTATGTTGTTCCAAAATTTGAATATTACTTTGATGCAAAATCTTCTTCCTTGGGCAAAAACTTATAAAACCCACTGCCCTTCTTTGAACTTGTCTCTAAGGAGGTTATTTGCTTGCAATTCAATGACCTCCAGATGCAGTTCATCTGGGCAACTGGCCACATTTGTTCCAAATGGATTTTGAAACAGTCTCACTTCGTCTGCCTTTAAATCCAAGTCACAAAACCGCTACTGAAACTGCAGCGAAGGTATTTGATGATCTCGCATGCAAGTGTTATGGGAAACTCAGTGGTTGCTTCAGCCATGAAGACCTGAAAGTGTGTCAAGTTGTTGGCCTGTACTTGTTCCAAAATCAAGACAATTTTGGATCTGAAGGCCTTTAGGTGGGTGTATAGATCAGAAACTAGATTTCCCTCTCTTGTTCAGAAAATGTAAATGACTAGTTATGGCTGCAGCAGAAGCCAATTTCTATACCCACTCTTCATCAGACATTAATGGCTGTGGCTTGCCTTTACTTTCCAGGAAGTCACCTATTTCCTTCCTTAACTTAAATACTCTGATCAGAACTTCATCACAACTTAGCATCTTACTGCTGTGTAATATGATAAAGCTTGTGATTCTGTGATTGCATCTTTCAACATGTCTCTGAACTGTCTATGGTTCAGCCCATGTGACCTTATTAAATTCACCATCTTCGCCACAGGATTCAGTACACTGCTAATATACACATTTTTAATACACAAAGCTTGCTGGTGAATAATAAAGTGAAGAAACATTGGTTTTTCTCATTCGCTTGTCCAACCTAGCCTTTCCTATGTTACTCATGTACTTTCCTCCATCAACAGTAAGGTAACTGAGGTTAGTCCTGTCCAAGTTATAATCAGCAATTTTTTTTTTAACTCATTGAGTATGTTACTTCTGGTAACAGTGCCATAATGCTAAGTAGGGAAGTCAGGTGTTCTGTTCATGTCTTTATCCACACCCCTAATGAACACAAGCAGTTTAGAGGTGAAACAGCTGTCCAGCGACTCATCCATTGCAATTGAAAAATTGTGAACATTTCTTCCATTTTTTGCTATATTTTCTGGGCAAAGTTCCTCAGCCACCTCTAACGAACATTTTTTTCCGTGGACAAAAAGATCTCTGCGAGCCGGATGAGAGGACCTCACGGGCCGGCCTTAAACTATAATGAAATCTATTTTTTAATCTAATACTAGATCTAATGGCTAACAGTAGAGTAGATATTAATATTAGATAGAGGTCTACTAAATAACTAAGTAATTAATTAGATCTAGATCTATAGATCTATCTAGATTTAGTACTAAATAATATTGACTTTTGCTTTTTGTTTCTTTATCATGACAGTTTAGAAAATATTGAAATGAATAACAGTCACCAATATAAATCACATAAGGCAGAACATAAGCACAGAGGAAATGGCAGGTATTTTTCCCAAAAAGGATTCCAGGATAGAGAAGGTGAACTATCTGGAGAAAGTTGTGAAGCAGACACAGGTGGTTCTCGTGGCACCACAGCAGTAGAGCGGTATGGTTTGCATCATGGGGCAGACCAGGATAGAAGATCAGCAGGCAGAAAGATGAATAAATTTTGGAGTAGGGAGACACACAGGGGTAAATAATTACTACAATAAATTGTTACAAATCTATCTTGTTAAAAAATGTGTCTTCCCCCATTAAACAATGATCTTCTCTTTGGGAATCACAGAAATGAGATTTAGTTTTGTGCTAAACAGCCTTGTGTTATTTGTATAACTACTGTTTCAGAGTCTCAAATTTGATATAGCATGTCACTGTCTCATTACCTACTTAGCTACAGAAATAACAAATAAACTGAAGGTCTACAAGCAAAATCTTTTTAATCATTTAATTCATTCATAGTAATAAAAAAAAATTTAAAATAATTGAGTTTAACTATTCTAAACATTGTAATTTTTAGTGATTATGGTATGTAATTAACAATTGTTTGAATTAGAATTTTTAACTTATAAAGCTAAGGAGATCTTCTTGAAATAAATAATTAAAATTGTACTTTTTATAGTGCCCTCTTTTGATGCTGCTGAATCAAGTAATCATTCCAGTAAAGATCGCCACCCACCTGGACTAAAAGGGAAAGAAATAGGATTATGGTATGCACAGAGGAATAAACGCAAAGTGGACAAGGAAGAAAAAAATGTTTGTACAGCAATTTTGTTATATACCTGATTCAACTCACATCCCAGTTGCATTGTTATTTTTTTATTATTATCACTGCCCATTACCCAGATATAATAATTTCAAAATAATTATTACTAAATCCTGCAGCACCTTGTTGAAATGTTTGTGACCAGTATAGCCAAATTCAGCATAGAAATCATCGGGGCACAGAGTAAAAATGCAGGGAATTAGTCAACCACAAAATGTTGGGAACATGTCCTAAAACCCACTAAATAAAATAATCTAAGACCATTTTCACTTCATAGTGATAGGCTAAAACAAATAAACTTCCATTTTATTGGCCTGCTGATATGAAAGTCAGCTAACATATGTTGTGTTGTTTTATTTTTCAAGACTTCAACTGTTTCCTTTGATAAAGAGAGGGAGATGCGTATACGTCAACTTTTAAACAGACTTCAGAATTCAGACACAAATAGCTCTCCTTGTGACAACAGTCCAACACTCAACCAGAATTCAGCCAGTGAGTTGTAGTTTGACAGTTAAAAAAAAATTTAGTTATTTCAACCTCATAATTTTTTGTGTTACTGGTATAAAACATTGCATTTACGTAGCTAGGCCAATGCAAAAATTTAATTTCAATAAAACAATATAATAGTTACATATTTGGATAGGGGCTGTCAATCTGATTACAGATCAGTTTGAATTTTCAAAATCTGACCATAAACAAAAAAGTTATGAATTTTTTTGTCATTAAAAAACAGCAGTTTTTTCAGACAACCGGGGTAGACCCTGAAAGAGGAAAAATACTGGGAGGGTATGGACCAAATTTTTAAGAGTTTTTCACTAAAAGTGGTAAAAAGTAAGCAGACTTCACCAATTGATGTCATTTTATGATATTTTGTAGATTTTTGTATGCCGAATCCAATGATGCTATTTTAAAAAGTGTCTTTTGATTACATAACAGACTTATTTCATGGATTATGTAATACCCCCCTTCAATTTTTTTTACAACATCTGATAATCCGTGTGATAAGAAGTCATTCTTTAAATTAAACACTGTTTTAAACCATAATATGACATTTGTATATGCTGAAGCTAATGGTGATATTTAAAATGCTCGAACATTATTACAAAACTATAAAGGTCAGGTTATGTAATTCGCACCTTTTGCTCATAATTTACCATGTATTTATTTTAAAATCTCTTTTGCTCATTGTCAGTTAACTTAAGTGAATAGCCTACTTAAAGAAAAGATAACTAATACAGTTTTAATACAAAGAGAAGGATGCTATAACAATAGTATATTTGTGATGATGTAACTTCTTAAAATATGTTATGTAATCTATGTGCAATGGTACAGGCCTACTCTATTCCAAAAATATAGGCATATCTTATTATATTTATGTTTCTTGTTACTTTAAATGTCATACCATTGATACAACTTTCTTCTATAGAATTAGTCTAGTTACAAATGTGTCTTATCAGAATCAGTGTGCTTTATGATAATTTTGTAATATTTTTAAACACAAAAAATTGCTCATTTTTACAATTTTAATAACATAAACATTGGAGGAAAATTGTTTTTTTTTAGCTTGTACAAGGTAGTGTAAGTTATAGGTCTATAACATAGATTTATATATGCTCAATGTTTATGCTAGTAGTAAGCTTGTGTATTTTGTAGGCCTACCATAGGCCTATTACATTGGGGGAAAAAGCACGTGTTTGAGTGCTTGACTGTGTGTAGTAGATGCTAGGCATTTTTTAAGTTTTCCGTGTCTGCTTAAACACGGAGGCGTTTATCACCATCAGCATTTGCCTAGATATAGTTCAATCAGACGTGGGTAACCAGGTTTTCTGACCAACGAATTTTATTGCCGTATTACGTAAACACGAGGCTAGATAGGCTAGTTGGCCAACCCGATGAACGTGTCAGACGAATATTATGTAATTTTAGAGACAAAAGTCTGGCAAGATTTCCTGATCTATGCCCGAGGGTTAGTAACATCAACTCCACAATGTGAAGGGGGAGGGAGGTGGGGTATGAAATAACTGCGAGCCGCTCGGGTACCGTACGGGTGTTATACAACATCAAAGGCGCCGACCCTCGGCTTGTCGCGTCACGGAGTAGTGGGGGCGGGGTGAGGCTATGGATGTTACATAAGGTGTTACAATAGTTACATACCGTGTAGGATGGTCAGTGACTCCCCATACCAACCCCATCCCATTATGGTCGATTTGGCAAGCTAGTAACCTCCACGCTGTTAAGGGTTTTAAAAATTTTTAGTCAACCGAAAAAAAAGAGCCCGGGGTAAAATTTAATTTATTTTTTAAAGCCATTTTTACGAAAAAGTAATGTACACAATAATGAAACGTTACGCGAATCACATCAGCATTGTTTGGTCGGGCCGTAGCTATCCGATTAATTTCTAAAGAAGATTAATTTTGACGATTAGTAAATACTATTACGACTTTTTTTTTGTTGCCGTTTCAATGGTTTAAAACAAAGTTATGAAACATGCCTGTCTACTTAAATATAAAATAGCAATACCCGACGAGTCAAATACGGGAACACACGTATCTATCTTTAGAAATTGTTTATAGTCTCATCCAATCGGATCAACCGCCTAGCGTCACGTGACCACACACTCGGCTGTGCTACACGATTGTAGATCACGATTCAGTCGGACGGCGGCCGACGCGTTAATTTTTATTTTCGTACAGTTTTAAAATGTATGGACGGCTTTATTATGAGGTGTTATAATACATGTCATACATTAAAATAATCGGCGGGATTTCAGGAATACAGCTCAAGGTTCAAATGTAAAATAGGTCAAATAATAGACCGGGAAACTTAGTTCAACTTTGCGGTCCGATATCTCCCGAAGTATTTAACTTATTTTGACCACGAACCTTGAGCGTTGTACGTCTACATTTAATCTGTTCGTCTGCCAAATTTGATTGTTGTAGTACGTAAACTCGATACGTCTATAAAAAAAAATTGTAGCGCGTCATATTTAAAACACAGCGATTCGAAGCACAGCCGAGCGGTTCAGTCGGACAGCGGTCGGCGCGTCATGTTTTGATTTTCGGTCCACTTCAAAGTCTATAGACGTCCTTATTATAGGGCCTAATATGACATATCATACATATTAATAAACGTCGAGATTTCAGGAATACAGCTCAAGGTTCAAATAAAAAATCGGTTCATTAATAGCCCAAATAACTTAGTTCAACTTTGCCGTTCGATATCTCCAAAAGTATTTAACAAATTTTCCCCAAGAACCTTGAGCGTTATACGTGAACATTCAATCTATTTTTCTACCAAGTTTCACTGTTGTAGTACGAAAACTCAAAGAGTCTATAGACTCTAAGTTACACCCCTCTTTTAAAAAGGTGAAAAAGCCTCCCCCCTAATCGGCACGTCGCCGCGGGGGGTAAAAAATGCGATTAAATCGGCGATTTCTTCAACGTCTGAAATAATAAAGAAATCAAACTTATACAGTTAAAAAGGTTGTTCAATTACGAACAGAATGATGTATAACATGTTAACATAAACACAATAAAAGCATGCAAAAAACAGAGTTAAACATGCAGGGGGTAGGGAAAAGCCGATTTGTCCGATTTTCTCGGCAGCGGCATTGGCCTAGCTAATTTTTTACGTTGATTGTACAATTCTTAACAGGGTATCAGAATTTGACAAAAAATGTCTATTTCATATTTTATATTGACAAGCTTCAGTTACACTTCACTATCACACCTCAATATGTCACTATTCATTATTCTCTAACACATTTTAATTTCATCCCTAAATTATATCATCTAATCCAATTTTCTAAAATATTTATTTCTTTAAAAATCAAAGTGAGGTTTTGTGATTTATTAGCTCAGTTATTTAATTTTGACCTAAAGGAGTTTGAAAATTGCTTAACTTTGAATGATAAATTTTGTTCAGGTTGCAGTAAAGAGAACTTTAAATCAACATATAGTCACACCTCTTCAGACAACTATATTCCATTATCTTCTAAATCTGAGGGAGTATTACATTCATCTGTAAGAGACAAAGAAAAACAACTCCAAAAAGATTTTAATGTTTACATACCTCCATCAACATCTGCCTCAACAACATATTTCTATCCAGCGGATTGTGAGTGTGGACTAATTTATTGAAACTAGATCTATTGCCTTTTATTCATTTTAAAGACTTGTAAATTAACCTAATTCTTTCAATGATTTGAGATCAATTTTTGTTCAGTTATTTGAGAAAAAAATGTTACAATATTTTCATAGAAGGATTATGTATTTAGTATAGCATGTGTTAATTATGTGTTAATTATATCTCTTAATAACATAAAAGACAGAAAAATATTAATAGAATATTGTAGATATAAGAAATTTACTTACTGTTATACCTGTCAAATGCAGGTGATGAAAGTGAAGGAAAGATGGAAAAAGATGAACCACCAGACTGTTGGGAAGATGACTCTGATTTGGAGCTGGTTGGAGGTAGGACAGTTAAAGAATGGGTTTAAGCTTATAAAATCTTATGTTACTAGGACAGGGTATTGGTTTAAGCTTATAAAATCTTATGTTACTAGGACAGGGTATTGGTTTAAGCTTATAAAATCTTGATTAGGAACTAGGACTGGAGGAGAATAGGCTCAAGCTTATAAATCTTGATACAGAACAGGTTGGACTATTCGAGAGTGGATTTAAGCTTTAAAAATATGTACTTGTCTCTATTTGTATGATTTGTTATTCTTTAGAGCAACATTTTATGAGGTAGAATAAATATGAAGACAAAACTGTATAATTTTTTTAACAATATGGCATTATTTTTAGTTGATCTGAAATCTGGTGATAATAAAATTGTCACTATTGATGATGATGATGATGACGCCATTGAAGATGAAATTATCATAGAAGATGCTGAAGCAGTGGTGGAAGAGGATGTTGCTGTAATAGAAGACACAGAGGCTGTGAATGAAGTTATCATAATTGACGATGATGACGTTGTTATGGTAGATGATGATGAAGAGAACCAGCTTGTGAGTGTGACTGGTGTTGTAGAGTACATGAGAGCACATGGAGACTACCCTTATATCAGTGAGGAGCCTGAAGCAGGTAGCCTACCTCATTCATGTTATGTTGGTTTCCAGGAAAAAAAATGGCCTTTAATAAAAAAAATTGAGTTAATGAAATGACTAGTTAAAGAAGTATTTAAGAAGTCTTTTGTAGTGGACAGTCTAGTAAATGAAGTTAGTTTCTTTGCTTCAGTATATTTTTAATAAATTGCAATATCTAAAAGGCTGTTAAGCTATAATCCCTTATAAGGCCAAAACATTCTTTAGTTATAAATTCCCTTGTGCGACTAGTGTTACAGCCAAAAAATTCTCCGACTCAGATTTCCCATCACAGAGCTAGAGTGGTTTGCTTTCTAAGGTATCCTAAAGTTATTGTTAGCTTTTGTGTCTCCCCATCTTAATCAGTGCCTGTTATCTTGTGTAAAGGGTTAAATATTCCTTCCCAGCCCCATTAAAAAGTTTTGTTTAGCAAGGGTGTTCTAATAAACAGATGTTTAAAAAAATCCATTTGTTCAATCCTCAGATTTTCTGGTGGCAGTTCCAGAATCTACAAATCCTAAGCTGGATTTGGAATTAAAGCAAGCTTTAGAGAAACGTAGTCAAGATGAGAAATACACTGAGATGATTGAGTTCAGGAAAAAGCTACCAGCCTATAATATGAGAGAGGTGAACTGAATCCATTTTTTTCCCACACTTTCTATACAACTAAACACTGAAATAGATAAATGAACTGTTGTTCTCAACATCTCTTCATAATCTATCAAGTAACATTGAATAAGGATGGGGGAAATTGTATAGTTTATTTTATATCAGCCCCATGCCAACAATTTAAATTAACTAAAATATCCAACCTTCAATAGTTTTTATTTATTTTTTTCTGTATGAGTTGTCCTGCAGTAATTCATTTTTTTTTCTCTCTATCAGACTATTGTGAATGCTGTGAATAGTAATCAGGTCCTTGTTATAAGTGGAGAAACTGGTTGTGGAAAAACAACTCAGGTCAGTTTATAAAGTGTAAAATATCATACTTAGGCAAGGTTCCCCTATTTTAATATCTTATATATGCACTACGGGAGGAAGTATTCTCATTGTGCACAAATCAAATCAAAATTTTGACATATCTCAATGTTGTACAACTTATTAAGTTAACCCTTCATTTCATGTTGTATCAATTTTGATACAAAGTGAAATAACCCCCATTGAATCTACACAAATGTTAAAATCTGAGTTTTTAATATGCCATACTCTAGCTTGATCACTTTTGACCCAACTTCATACCCAAAACAGACTATAGGTGTGTTTCGTCTCACACAATTCGAGTTTGATTCCGTTTTTTTACACTGGTCGGACAGCTGTGATCGAGGTGTTTTTGAGAAAATAATAAAAATTCACAGGCCGTGTTTTTCTTCTTGAAAAAAATATTCACCAATCTCAGGTGAGTAATTTTACCTAAAAATAAGTTGTTTGCATACTATTTCTTTATATTTGTGCTGATAATGTCCAATTACGGTATGTAACAGTTTTGATACACCATGCAACGGTATGACCATGACACTTGCTGGGACTACTGTATAGTGACTTTTCTGTAGTATAATAATTAGTTGATAGAACAATTCCTAACATCTAGTAGGTAGACTCTAGTCAACTGTTGGTTCTTACACTAGCTTAGGTTTGTTTTTCTTTCATATTTTTACAATAATAATATGTAAATTATAGAAGAAAAATAGTGTCAAAATCTGTAACAATAGTAACATAGTCAAGCTGTAGACTATTGTATACTAATTTTACTTAGATTTAGCACTTACTCAGTACTATATACATACAGATGATCAGTGTGCTACTATAATAAGCCTATAATAAAGGGTGTACAGTGTAGTGCTGCTATTGAAGACCAAAAAAAGTGTCATAATGTATAACAATAATAATATAGTATTAGACTGATATTTACTAGCTACTGCTTAGAATAACTTGCATATAATTCTCTAATCATACTAATTCATACACAGAGACAGTGTTTGGGTCTAATAAGCTTAGAAAGTAGTACAGTAATTATTATTATAGAAAATAAGTAATAATATTAGGCATAGGCCTACATACTTAGTCTACTTATTATTTACTTCATATCGGTACGCAAACAGTAATAATTACTATAGGCAGTGGTGGTTTACTTATGTTTATAATAGTAATTAAAACTTAATTTATAAATCCATGAAGTTCATGAATGATTAGAGATTGTTTGGTGCAGACATTGTTTTATTTATTTTTACAGGATCTCTTTTTGTCTAGAGCGAGCGATAAATTTTGTCGCAAAACTGTTCTGAATGAAATAGATGGTAGACTTCAAGGAGAATGTAAATGAAAGTGAAGTTGGTGTAATATTTGATTATTCATCTTATGAAGTTACAATCTAATAAAAAGGCCTATAGTACATATTGAACTTATCACTTGCAATAATTGTTTTTAAAAAAAATGGCATAATAATATTTGATTGACATTCTTGCATATAGTATTTAAACTTGCAAATAAAATCCTAATCCTCTAGTATATAAAAAAGTAGCAGTGATACATTATTTTTATTTAAATTATAATTTAATTTGTGCATGCATGAAGATAAAGTAAATAAATCTAGAAATAATATATAGTTTCTTATAGTGAATTTTTTTTTTTACAGGATGGGTAAAGATTCTCACAAAAGAATTCTGTCTGAAATAGAGACTGCACATTTCTTTGGTCACTAATGTCTAATTATTCATCTATTTATTTACCTAATGTTGAAGGTGTTACTGTAACTGAAATTGAACACTTAGAAAGTGATGTAGAGAGAATAAAGGGATTGGTTCGGAGCAAGTAAAGCGGTAGACTTTATTCTGATATACATTTATAAGCTGTAGGCCTACATTTATAAGATGTACATTCATAAGATGTAAGCAGATGCTAGTCCAGCAAAGTGGTTAACTAAAACACATGAATGTTTTCTATTATTTGTGAGGAATAGGAACTGACCAACATAGTTTTTAGTGCAAGGCCTTCCGGCTGTTCAAGATTATTTTATTTCACACCATGGATAAAGACTATCTTAGTATACTGGGTGAAAGGATTTTCTAGATCTACATTGCACAGAGGAATCCAGATAAAGCTTGAAGTCTTTGATATAGAAGAAATAAATCAATTCATTGGCTTCTACCAGTCATGTCTCTGGTTTCATTGCATAGGAAAAAGTTCTAATAATGGCCAAATATCAGCATTGTAGATATATTCTAATTTCTTTCATATAAACAAGTTTGAGTCATTAAAAACTACTTTGCATTTAAAACAAAACAATTTCAAATTATACTAGATAGAGGTCATGCTGAGCAAAGTGATGCTGCTTATTGACTTACACAATAAAAAGATGCATGATTACTAAGAAATATGACATAACTGGTAATAGCAATATTGTGAAAAAAATGTAAATTACTACCTTGTAAATGAATGTCTGATGCTCCAGATTTGGGATGAATAAGTGTTTTACTCAAATTAATAATTACTCAATAAATTTTCAATGATAAGTAAAAAATACTTTTTTGTCAATTTTAACAAATTTTTACCCACCATTGCATACTGTATCAAATCTGATACATACTGTTATTTTGCAAAATAAACATTATTTGATAAAATAATTCAATTTCCTCATTATTTATGCTCTCTACACACCACAGCCCACCTTGTAAGATTTTTTTTTCTCAAAAAGCTTTCACAAAATTAATTCATGAAATGAAGGGTTAAAAAAGCAGTTTTGGAATATTGACTATATGTGTGTGTGTTTGTCTGTGTGTTAATACAATAACCAATAACGGTGCTTTATTTTATTTTTTATAAACTCTCAGAATCGGATAATTTTTAACATATTTTCTTCAAGCAGTATATTCTAAGAATTTTTGTTTGATCAAAATATGAGCAGTTTCTCTCACGAACTACTTACCTTGCCAGCCTAACCCTTACTGCTGTTAATTATATGAGCTATCTTAGTCAAAAACATTCCTGCTTTATTTTTCACATATTATTTAAGCGTTTATTCACTTGTATTTAAAAAAAGATTTTATAAAACAATGGAATCTATAACTGAGTTATGTCTATTGGCTACAACTCAAAATTTCTCTTCCTAGGTTCCACAGTTTATTCTTGATGACTTCATCAGCAGAGGGATGGGATCTCAATGCAGGATCATATGTACGCAGCCTCGGAGAATCAGCGCCATCTCTGTATGTATTTTTTTATTGTTACCTATGTGTTGTTTGTATGTTTCTTATATGTTGTTCTCTGGATGTTTATGCTGTTCTTTTATTTTGGTGTCTGGATTTGTTTATCCAGTTTTCTTGATGTTGATCTTTTTAATTTATTTAAATCTAGATTGTATTTTTGTATTTTATTTGCTTTTTGTTTTCTATATAAATATCTATGTTGTATATTTAAAAAAAAAAATTAAATAAAAGATTTTACCCTGTTTGTAATCATTGAAATTACCATCACACAGAAGTTTCCTTCTTTGTACATGATGGGGAAAAAAATCAAAGGGTAAAATTGTTTGCAACACTCAGCACTTTAATAAAATCCTATGGTAAACGAGTTCTGTATCAGTAGACATTATTAAACTTCAGGTAGCAGAGAGGGTTGCAGCAGAAAGATGTGAGAAGGTTGGAAAGTCTAGTCAGTCAAGTGTAGGCTATCAGATCAGGCTTGAAGCGTGAGTACAAGTGGCAGTTTTAACCCTGTTAACGTTTCAATACGGTTTCCTTCCATTTTATTTACTAATTTCTTATCATTTATAGATAGAATATATGATAGAATAAGTGCAGCTTTCAGTATATTTATATTTTATTTTGTAATTGCTTTGATAATTTTTTTTACTCAGAAAATGTCCAAGATCTCAAGGTTCAATTTTGTTCTGTACAACTGGAATAGTTCTCAAGTTTCTAGAAGGCGATGGGTTAGTTTTACTTGTCATTGTTTCTTGTTTAAAAAATTATTTTATATTCAGCAGAAATGTACTCCATAATTTGTGCTATGGTAATTAATGAAAACCTTTTTACTTTAAACAGGAGATTGAACAGAGCAACCCATGTTGTGATAGATGAGATACATGAGCGAGATTTGCAGTCAGATTTTCTCATGATAATACTCAAGGACCTGCTACCTTTACGGCCAGATCTGAAAGTCATTCTGATGAGTGCCACACTCAATGCTGAAATGTTCTCTCAGTATTTTAGTAAGTCATTAGTGACATGTACTTTTTTTTACTAGTTTCCTTTACTTTATTTTGAAGTTAACACATCAATATAAAAAGAAATTGTGGTAGAGGCTTCTCTGTAGCAAACTGTTATTTGAAATAGCACTTATTTCAAAATTATTTAATGTGATGCTGTATTTATTTTTAATATGAAATCTTCATATTATTTATCATTTTAAATTACCCTAATAATTAAACATTTTGTTTACGGTTATTTTTACTCTTTACCCCTTAATTAAGTCCACATTAAGTCTCTAAATCTTCCCATTAAAAACTTGGTCTTATAAAATGCTTCCTCCTAAAATGTCTGCAGATAACTGTAATATGTTGAACATACCAGGGTTCACTTTCCCTGTGAAGGAATATCTGCTGGAAGATACTATAGAATTGTCCAGGCAAGTGGAACTGCTTCTAGTCAAATAAAAACACCCCGATTTTCATGAAAGTCTTTGTAGAGAAGAAATAAGTTACCATGGTTAACATTTTTGTCTCTTGGTCACCAGCTGTGGTCTATTTACTTCCAGTATTAGACTTTTATCCTGCAATTATTTATAATTAGTCCTAATTACTTTAGCCTAGCACCCTAATTAAACACAAATCTCCACCAGCTTACCAACCTTTCCTCCCATCACTTCTAACCCTGTACCTAAATTGTTGATGAAACAATCCTCAGATATGTCCTAGACACTGAGAAGAAAACTTGCTGAAAGAAATCACTTCTAACCCTGTATCTAAATTGTTGATGAAACAATCCTCAGATATGTCCTAGACACTCAGAAGAAAACTTGCAGAAAGAAATCATGGCCTAGAAAATCTTCAGAGCAGAAGGAAGAAGAGACTAACTATGCTGTGTGGTGTAGAAATCTTCAAGGAAGGTAATTTTTTACGAATTTCTGTTACCTTTCTTCCAACAAGTTGTTGTTAACTAGGATCTATTCATGATAGAAATAAAAATGTATTGATCTGATTTTCTTTTCTTTTTTTTTCCACTTCTCATACATTTTCTGGTGAATATATTATTTTACTGCTGTTGTGCTAGTTTTTAAAATTATGTCCCTTACACCTATCTTTGGCAGCTACAACCCACAGACCATTAATGTCTTGCAAAATTTTGACTTCACAAAAGTAGATATTGAACTAATTGACCATCTCATAAATTATATCTGCTCATACATGGAGGTAAAACAACTTTAAAGATTCTATTTTCCTGCAATAACAATACATTTTTGTGTTAGTCAATTTTTTCAGTAAAATGTTGTGGTGTGTTTGTGAAATTTTTTGAAACATTTTTTCAGGATGGGGCCATTCTTGTATTTGTACCAGGCTGGGAGGACATCAAGAAACTTCATGAACTTATACAAAAAAAGCCCAGGTGTAAAACATGTAAACAAATTTGCTCACCATCTACCTAAATTTTCATCAACATTAGAGTAAAACTCCCAGGAGAGTGGTATAACAAAATATATCTACAGGTCTTGCACATTATGAAAACATTCATCATATGTTCATTTTATAAGGTTTTACTGTAAAATTATAGAATGTCAGTCCAATTTCATGCAAGAACGTTCTTTTAATGTAAATAGACACAGAATATTAAATATTAAGTACACTTTAACAATTCTGGCTATTTAGGAAATTGACAAGGAGCTTTGTAATTAACATGCTCTGGCCTATAAAAATAATCTTTAAATAAGAAAATTTGATCACTAAATAGAAGCAAAAAAATATTTTTTATGTTCAGAAATTTAATAAAACAGTTCTAAAAAAGGTTTATGAATTAAATTATAATATCTAAAAGAACAGGACTATAGATGGACTGAATTTTAGTAGTGACCTCATATTTTCTTGTAGTTTTTTAAATACCTTACTGACCTCTGAACCTTGTGATTTCCAAACAGCATCCTTTAGAGTTATCCCTCTTCACTCACTTATGCCAACTGTCAACCAGCGTGAAGTGTTTGAGAGGCCGCCACCTGGTGTACGCAAGATTGTCATAGCAACCAATATAGCAGAGACCAGGTAATTCCTCATCCTTCTTAGTCAAATCTTTTGTTGTACTCTTGTTTTATACACAGTGTTAATGGCTAAAGTGGAAAACTTTATGCTCCACAAGGAAGAAGTAAGGCTTAGTAATTATTTCATCAAAAGTTTATTTTATGATATAAAAATATTATGTACTTTCAAAATTTAAGTTTGAACATTAGCTTAACGGTTAGAACGTATATGTCATTGTCTGTGTTTTTTCTTTCTCTGCTAGCATCACTATAGACGATGTTGTCTTTGTTATTGACTGTGGTAAAATCAAAGTGAAAGACTTCAAGCCTGAGATGAACCTGACTTCTCTTGAGCCCAAGTGGGTGTCCAGGGCCAATGCAAAACAGCGGAAGGGAAGAGCTGGGAGGTTCAGATCTTTTAATTGTACACAGCATAACATTACAAAACTTTACATTTTAACTATCATAGTTTTACTCTTTTAATGTATAAAAGCTTGATATTGTTTTTATAAACTAAAAAAATCATGACTTTTTCAATATTCATTTTAAAGTTAAGCTTTGAAATTCTTTAAAAAAACTGCACTACTTAATCCCAGCATTGTTAGATCTGTTTCATACTTTTTAACTTTCTCCAGGGTGCAGGCTGGCCACTGCTTTCATTTGTTCACACAGTTTCATTTCAATTTGCTGCAAGATTACCTCCCTGCTGAGATGTTGAGGACTAGGCTAGAAGAGTTGTGTTTACAAATAAAGGTTAGGCTTTAGTAGGTTTAGTGTATGTAGGAGATGGTTAAATTATTGTGCTCAACTGGTTGGTGGGCGGTTGTTTTTGAATAATATTTTTAGATATTTTTGTTTTTGTTCACTTGAAGTATCTCCTTGTTTATCATTAACCTTATTACAAGATGTCATGTTGCTGTGTAGTTGAGAGATGTGTGTTGAGGGATGTGTGTTGAATTATGCTGCTAAAAATAGTTTAATTTTTATTACACAACAGCTGCTAAAACTGGGTAAAATTGTGCCATTCATCAGCAAGGCCATGCAGCATCCGTCCATGGAGTCCATAGAGCATGCAGTGGAGACTCTCATCCAGCTGGTTGGTTGTTGTTTATTTTTTATCAAGATTCCATTATATACCAACTGATGTTTTTATCCAACTTTTTGTAGTTGATACATAGTTTTAGTTTTTATCATCAAACTTTTCAGTTTTAAAAGATGTTGACTGTCTAACTTTAACACTCCTTGACAATGAATGTGAAGGTGCAGAGTTTTTTTTTTTACCCATTTATATTTTACCTGTTTATAAACACATCCTTTATTGTACTTGTTTTCTTACACTATTTAGACAGAAAATATCTTATATCAAATATATAACCAAATACAGGTTTATCGTTTAATTAATTTAATGAGTATTTAAAAACAATTCTTGGAAATGATGAGACAAGTTTTTGCTTCCCTTTGTTACCCAGAATGCATTAGATGCAGCTGAAAACCTGCTACCCCTGGGCTACCACCTGGCCAGGATGCCAGTAGAGCCCCACACAGGCAAGATGATCCTGTTTGGTGCCATGTTCTGTTGTCTGGACCCCATCTTAACTGTTGCAGCCAGTCTCAGCTTTAAAGATGCCTTTACTATACCTCTGGTCAGTTCAAGCTAGCTTTTGTACATCAGTTGAGTTGTACACACATACATTGGTATTCAGCTATTTAGTTATATATATATATTACTTATATAAAATTTTATTGTATGCACAATTTAAATAGTTTAATTTTAATGCAACAATTAAGAGCACCTACATTGAATACTTTAAGGGGAAAGAGCATATAGCTGACCAAATCAGGGTTAAGTTGGCAGCAGAGAGCAAAAGTGACCATATCATGCTTATAAATGCTTTCAAAGTGAGTTACAATTCCTCATATTTTTACAAGACTGGTAAGTGAATTTTAAACCACTAAAATTATTTTTAAAACAATAATAATTTGAATAAAATTATTTACTTTTAAAATGTGATAATTTTGTATAATCTGGTATGTGGGTAGTTTTTTTGCTTGCCATTGAACCTGCTCATTTATTTTGGAAGGGTTGGGAGGAGAGTTTGACCCATGGAAACAACAGAAACTACTGCTGGGAGAATTTCTTGTCAGAAAACACTTTAAAGGTGAGTATTGTAGCACATGGGACGGAGTGGTCTAGCGGTAGAGAGCAGGACTGCTAACCCGTAAGTCTTGAGTTTGAATCCGGGTTCAAGTCAGTAGACTGTCCCTGAGTCCACCCAACTCTGATGGGTACCTAACTCACGTTAGGGAAAGTAAAGGAAAGTAAAGGCGGCTGGGCATAGTGCTGACCACACTATCTCTACATATGCCGAGGTCACAGAAACAAGTGAACTGTACTTCACTTGCCTTATAGACTGTCAGGTTTGAAAAGGAACTTAACTTACTTTACTTACTATAGCACACGCTATCAGAAGTTAAAACAGAAAATGTCACATACAGGTTTAAATAGCGACAAACAGAATGCCCTGATTAAACAGTACTGAGTTGAACTAAAATTCCCATCAGAGCTCTTGGATAACACTGGCACATGATTAATTTGTTTTGGATTCAGTTTTTAAACAGATTTTTTTTTAATTTCTAATTAAAATGTCATTATAGAATACACTTCTAATTACATTGTCCTGAGAAAAATTCCAGTAATGACAATGTCCCTATACTTAAGTCTTGTTTTTGAAATATCCTTCTGTTTCCCAGATGTTAAGAGACATGAAAAAACAACTTGCTGAACTCCTGTATGACATTGGCTTTGTAGGGTCTAAGGACCCTAAACATCCTCAAGCTAATGTAAATAGTGGTAGGTAACTCTAGTCTTTTATTGTGATAAATAACTCTTTTGGTGATTCAAAATATGAATTTCCTACAAGTAGACTTTGTTTCTAGCACTTCAATAATCACAGAGCCCAGATCAAAAGTAAGATGCAATTTTTAAAGCAGGTTTAAATTCTAAAGTGGTAAAAGCAAAAAGTAGCAGATGTGCCATCCAAAGGACAGGTGGCACCAGGTAACTGGGAGTATTACCCCACCCCCTTCAACAGTCTGTCATTTTTGGTTTGATGTTTCCCCACCCCTACTTTTTCATTATTTTTACTGGATAAAACATTGTTTTGTCAGTAAATTTTACAATTTTTAAAATTTGGTGTCACCCCAAAAATGGCGTCAGCTGGTACATAACGCAACCCCACCTTGTGATGCCACCAGTGCTACCTAATGTCTAGCTCATCTAGCTGTAACAAACTTGTCACTGCCTTTTTCTACTGTCAACTTCATGGCACAAACTCAAGACAAATACCAACCGCATCACTGTTGTGTTATTGCATATTAAGGCCTGATGGATAACACCAAACAACTCTTGTCCTGGTAATTTACACAATTTTATTGATTCAAAGATACAGCAGCTTCATTACCAAACAACGCCATTTCTTCTTCCCTCTTCCTCTCTACTTCCCCTTTCTTTTGCGCATGCGCCTACCCACAATATATTTTAGATTTATATCGCCTTTTTACACCTCCACTCAAAACCTACATTCACCCTACATTTGACTGTTACAAAACTGTAATATAGAATTCTCCGGGCAAGTAACCTTGGTCTAGCTGTAACAAACTGTAACCTTGACCTCTCTCTGCAGGTAACCTTGGTTTGATCCGTGCTGTGCTGTGTGCTGGCCTGTACCCAAATGTCGCACAAGTCTGCAAAGTGCCTGGTCAGAAATCTGGAAAATTCATGTACGTTTTTTAATTTTAACAACCATTTTAGTCATATGTTCATTTTTTAAAATGTCTTCTTAGTTTCATTTTAATTGAAACCAAAACTAAAAAATGTGAAACATTTCGGCTGAAGGGATATATAATCCAACATGTGGAATGTTTTTTTAATTTTCACCCTCTAGGAGCGTTGGAATGAAAATCAAAGATGGCAGCAAGGTGCAAGCCCATCCCAAGTCTGTAAACATGAAGCAGAGTTTTTTTGAGAGCAAGTGGATGGTTTTCTACCACAAGCTCAAGACCACCAAGGTATTTTATTCTTGGTTGAGATTTAGTGGTTTATTTTTTGTAAAGTTGAAATACACAATTGTGCATGTATAATTGACATAGAAAAATAAAATGTGCAAATTTCATGAACTGGAAATAAGCCAAGCCCATGTCCAGGTAAAATAATGAAAGGGATTTATTTAACCAATAAACTTTTAACGGTGTTGAAAAAGTCATTTTCATATATAAACAGTTAAGGAATTGCTGATGTGACTTTTTAAGTCGTTAGTGGTATTACAGGTGTAATAAAAGTATAAACAATAAAAATAACAAATAAACCTTGATTAAAACCTAGTTTAATTTTTGAAAATTAGTTATTCTCATCTAGTTATAAGATAGTGTAAAAAATGTTCTCTCATAGATGAATCTTTTGATTGTGTTGTAGATATATATCCATGATAGCACAATGGTGTCACCATACCCTCTTCTTTTCTTCGGTGGAGAAATTAAAATAACCAAGGTAACTATACAGTGATGTAACTATGATCTCATTCTGTCTTCTGCTAAGGTTATTGCTTATCTATATTTCTATCCAATCATAGTGAACACATTGTTTAACTTAGTGATCTTAATTAGCTTTGTCTTACTAAGATTTTTTTTAGCTACTATTTTAAAGGTTTGTTTTTTAATTCAATTTTTTAAAATACATTTCACAGTAATATTTTATTACCCTCTCTAAACTTAAACATGTAATATTTTTAAAGAAAAAGAATCTACATGACAATTTTTTTTGTTTTTTTTTTCATGAAGGAAAATGGTATTGAGCTAATATCAGTGGACGACTGGGTCAAGTTCAAGGCCTCAAGTTCTACAGCACACATGGTTAAAGTAATGATCTCTCAATCTATTTTAGTACATTTTATTTACAGCTGAACTGGTATACTCCAATATCATTTCCTGTTATAGCAATACATCTATTTACTATTGTAAAGTGTGTATTGTAACATATCTGTTGCATTACTGCAAAGATGAAATGCTCTGGTAGATTGCTGGTGTTATCCCTGGTCCCAACTAGTGGTCTTATCAAACTTTTTTGTCCACACAGGACTTAAGACAACAGCTGGACAAACTGTTGACCAAAAAAATCACCACCCCTGGTCCCACCTGCTGGAAAATGTCCGACCCAGAGGGCGCTCTGATGTCGGCCATTGCTGACCTAATTACAATGGAGGACAGGGGCTACACTATCCGAGGTCAGAGTATGGGAGGCAGCATAGGAAAACATCCTGGAAAATGATCCACTACCTTGAAATAATGGTGCCAGCTGAGATCCCAGTTCCACAATGCTCAGGGTTACCTGATAATCCTGTCAAAAAAGGACCTGACTTTTGTTGGGTTAATGAACAACCTGAGCTAAATGGTTTCAACAAACCAACTTGTGCAATGTTGTCAGCCTAGAATCACTTCTTGTAAATGTAGCATTGAATGATCTGGTTTAAAACTATTTATTAAAATTAAGTAGGTGTGTGTGTGTTTCTTGTTACCTGTTATTTTTTTACAAGCAAAGTTTCACCTTGAAAGTTGAAAGGTGTGTGTTTCTATAATTGTTGAATATTTTACATGATGGTGTACCACCACATAAGTGTTAATAAATTAAGAACATGTTAATAAACATCTAATTTTGCAAGGGTTTTATTTTCAGTAAATAAAATAACTGTGTAAGATTGTTAAAATGTGAGAGGAAGTAGAGATCAACTGGTCTGAGTCAGTAATATGAAGGGATTGTGTGTCTCAGTACAGGACCCAAGGAAGTGTCCAGTCTATTTTACTTTAAGTTTCCCTACTTTCAATACAATGTCTTGTCTACTTTTAACTAAATGTCCACTCTACTTTCCCTCAGTCAAGTACCCAGGCTAGTTTCCATCACTCTGTGTGATACATCACTAAATTAAATATAAAAACAACCAGCAGAGTGAAATGACCCCCCCCCAACCACGCCATTTCAGTGGCCTATTCAGGCCTGTAAGTTGTCCATTTGTATGTCACAATATGTTATTGTTGTACGACTGCCACCCAAAAATCTCGAGGTGGAATCCCAGACTTGAGTCCACCCAGCCTTGATGGGTGCCTGACTCACATTAGGGAAAGTAAAGAATGCTGACCACTCTATCCCTTCATAAGTCACAGAAACAGCTGAACTCTACTTCATCTGCCTCGTGGAGCACCAGGTTTGAATGGTGTTGAATAGATGCACTGTTTCACCAGCCCTAGGCTTAACCATTACACAAATCTAGAGAAAAGAAAAAAAAAATTACCTTTGATTGATTTTTTTTTTTTTTCTGGCTAAACTTGGTCTGGACTTCTCTTACCCCACAATCTAGACAAAAAAATGAGAGCTTCCATAAAATATTTTCTGTTTAATTGTGTTCTATCACTAACCTAACACCCTATCTGCACTGGCCAACAGGTTAGCTTATCTCTGTACACAGAGTTATATCACTAACCTGTACTAGCCGAAAGGTTAGCTTATCTGTGTACACAGAGTTCTATCACTAACCTGCACTAGCCGAGAGGTTAGCTTATCTGTGTACACAGAGTTCTATCACTAACCTAACCTGTACTAGCCGAAAGGTTAGCTTATCTGTGTACACAGAGTTCTATCACTAACCTAACCTGTACTAGCCGAAAGGTTAGCTTATCTCTGTACACATAGTTGTATCACTAACCTAACATGTACTAGCCGAAAGGTTAGCTTATCTCTGTACACATAGTTGTATCACTAACCTAACATGTACTAGCCGAAAGGTTAGCTTATCTCTGTACACAGAGTTCAATCACTAACCTAACATGTACTAGCCGAGAGGTTAGCTTATCTGGTTACACTGGTTCTACCACTAACCTAACACCCTATCTGCACTGGCCAACATGTTAGCTTATCTCTGTACACATAGTTGTATCACTAACCTAACCTGTACTAGCCGAGAGGTTAGCTTATCTCTGTACACAGAGTTCAATCACTAACCTAACATGTACTAGCCGAGAGGTTAGCTTATCTGGTTACACATAGTTCTATCACTAACCTGTACTAGCCGAAAGGTTAGCTTATCTGTGTACACAGAGTTCTATCACTAACCTGTACTAGCCGAGAGGTTAGCTTATCTGTGTACACAGAGTTCTATCACTAACCTAACCTGTACTAGCCGAAAGGTTAGCTTATCTGTGTACACAGAGTTCTATCACTAACCTAACCTGTACTAGCCTAAGGGTTAGCTTATCTATGTACACAGTTGTATCACTAACCTAACCTGTATTAGCCGAGAGGTTAGCTTATCTCTGTACACACAGTTGTATCAATAACCTAACCTGTACTAGCCGAAAGGTTAGCTTATCTGTGTACACAGAGTTCTATCATAACCTAACCTGTAATAGCCGAGAGGTTATCTTATCTCTAAATTTCGTTCAGGATCTGGTCATGCATGACCTTTGACCCAGATAATAATGACTAAATCTTCTCACTATTGTCTTTTTAAGTAGGTTAATTATTTGCTGAACAGTTTTTTAGATTTCAGCATTAATTTCTTTACATCACAATCATTCTCACTAGGCGTGGAGCAGGTGGCCATTATAGGGGGTCACACAAAGAAGTCACAAGAAAAAAGTCACAAATAAATTTGCATGGAATTTGTGTGTGAATAGTTTTATGTGTTTTAAGTATTCAGAAAGTACAAATTTAATGAAAACAGTTGTAGGCTGTATTTGTTTGGGAATATTAATAATACACGGACAATTAATTAGCACGTTACACATCTTAGGCCTATAGGTTTTAATTCGGTTATATAAACAGCATTTAATAAAAATAATTAGAACACCCCAGCGCACTAAGTTATAGTTTGTTTCCATCGCATTTTTTAATATTAACGTGAAATGGGATGAAGACATGGTTAACATGATTTGCTGTCCTCATCTCATCGTTACAATAGGAAGCACCTCAGCTGCCCATTGCCTAACAAAGCATAGGATCAAGACCAAAATCCGACAAGGTAATATTATCTAATCAGTGGCGTAGGCAGGGGGGTTAGGGGTGGGGTCATAACCCCCCATTGACCCCTCGGTATATATAAAAAGTATAAGGGGGGGGGTGCAAATCGAAAGTTTGAGGGGGGGGGGGTGCAAATCGAAAGTTTGTTCCCGGGTAAAAATTGGAACCCCCCCCCCCTTGAGACGATCCTGGCTACGCCACTGTATCTAATATAGTCAACCTGAACACAAAATGTGGTGAAAATGTCTACACAATGTGGTCGGACAATGACACTGGGGAAAAACCGGTCCAGAATCGGCATAAGGCAGGGGTCGGCAACCTTTTGAAGCTGAAGAGCCAAAAGTTACAATTTTCAAAATTTCCCTGGTTTTAAAGAGCCACTGACATTTTTTAATTTCAAATATTTTATTTTTTTATTAAGATTATTAGTATTTGTTCAAGGAGCTGGAGAGCCGCATCTTGATATCAAAAGAGCCGCATGCGGCTCTCGAGCCGCAGGTTGCCGACCCCTGGCATAAGGTAAAAAGAACCACACAAAGTGCCTACATCCTACATTTCTTACGTAAGTCTGTGACTTATCTATTATAAAAGTAGGCTTATGTTTATAGACAGTGGTTTATAATCAGGGATACATTTATTCCTTTACGTATGATGAAACAAGTCCGACGGACGGAATATTTAAAAAAGAAAAAAAACAACCGTGAAATACATCTCATTATGGACACCCAGGAATAACTTGGCAACGCCCCTGACCTATTAGGCTTTCCTAAAGACCGTGGTCGAGAGAACGGGTTACACCTCTTGTCTCGGCTCATACAATTTATTTCCATAATTTTACCCCCCCCCCCCTCCGAAAAATGAAGTCCGCCCACTCCGAAAATTTAAAGTGCCCCCCCCCCCCCCCGGAGAAAAAAGTCTGAAAGAAACACTGATGCATGTTTGACAAAGTCTACACTATCTACACTGCTGATGAACGTCTGACGATATATAGATTTTTTTTTTAGCTAGAACCTAAGCTTCTGTTGTTTTTTTTTTTACAAAACTAAAAATTTCATGCAAGTATGCGTGTTTGGAGTTGACCACGTGGTTAAGTACGTTCTCTAGACTAGCACTCCATTAGCAGACGACAAGCCATTTCTGTAGTGCTGAGGTACTTGTTTATTTTTAGCCACGCGTAAGGCACTTCACAACCGGATCGTGGAATTGAATCAAAGCCTTTACATTTCATAAGGTAGGCAGAGCCGGCGTTAGGAATAGGCGGGGCCTAGGGCCAACCATCCGCGCGGGGCCTTTCCATTATATATATATATATATATATATATATATATATATATATATATATATATGTATATATGTATATGTATAAAGGCCTATATAATGTGATGTACACATAATAATAATAACACAAATGTTTTGGAGTTTATAAGCTAATGTCAAACTTTCCACTATAATAACATATTTTTATCTCTCCCATGTATTAACCCAATGTTCGTAGTTTTTTTTCCTTTGCTAAGATATTAAATCACTTTTGACAGTTATGTAATTCATACCAAATCACTTAAGAAAATTTAATCACGTGCCGAATAATTAGGAAAATAAAGTTTACAATACAGCGAACTCGGCCTGATGTATCAAAACAGTATAGACTTCAAAATTTGTTTAGAATTCATACAATATTTTAAAACCAAAAACATTATTGTCTTAATTATTGAACGGGTGAATCCTTAAGGTGACACAACATAACAACAGTTTTAACTTTCTTCCAAAAAATAATAATAAATCACTCTGTTTAATGTCGCCTGATATAGATCCTAAGGCGCCTCCCCCCTCGTCGCCCTCCTCCCACCCCTCTGCACGCAACCGAATGTTAACTTTGTTATACCAAGACAAGTAGGCCTACATATGGAGTTTCTTCCAGGCATCTCTTCGGGGGGGGGGGGGGGCGAAGAAAATCTACCGCCCCTCCCCCCCCCCCCCTGAAAATTTCAAGTGGCCCTCCCCCCTGGAGAAAAAAGTCTGGAAGAAACACTGTACATATACGACATTATACGACATCTACAACAAGAAAGTCAGGACTAGAGTTCATCAGGTCACTAACGGTCTACTACAGACATCCCGTCTGCTCACTAAAAGGACGTCTTCATGGGTCCGCATACAATAGGGTATCTCTTTACGTCGTGGGCTAATTCTCGACCGCCATCTCCAGTCAGCTCAGGTCAAATGCCAGGCGACCGTACCCTACACAAAGGGAAGGCGTGACACTATTTTTGTATCGAATTACGGCCTGTCCCAGTTCAGGTGGGACTCACCAACATCAACCGTGGCCTCAGTTATAACAATCAACAACGTCGGCATTCGACCATTTAGTTTTTCCCAATTGAATTCAGCGACCATTTTTTTAAGTTTACGAACTAATTCAGATAACAATGACATTGCTGAAGCGCGGGGCCCCTTCAAGCGCGGGGCCTATGGCGACCGCCCCGTTCGCCACCCCCTAACGCCGGCTCTGAAGGTAGGCCTACATTTTCAAATGGGGATCGTATAACATAATATGAATTATATTCAATTAATTTTAGGCCTGTGTGTGTTCTGCTGTAGTTTATACTCTTTTATAGTCAAGTTGGACATTCCTCAAATCAGTACGTTACATTTAAAATTATTTTAAAAATGTTTTATTTGACATTCGTCGTATAGTTTTAAAGTAGGACCCTACAGACATCTTAGTGTTGTATTCGTTATATGCTTCAACTTTTGTTGTTGTTGTCATAACAAATAAGCGCGCGTAAAATGGCAAGCCTTACAAGTGGACAAATCAACACGGCGGACGAAGGACCGAGCGGCAAGTTTTCCATTTCAAAACGAGGCAACGCAATCCTGACGTCTTCCTCTTCGTTGAACACACACGTCCAGGCTGTCCTAGCAAACTCTTACGACCCTGAGCTAAACGCTAACGTAAGACTTTAACTGTGTATTATGTCTAGGGCTAAGGGTAGGTGCGTCTACAAATGACGACATCAGTGTGTAAGCAAGGACACACATCACAGAAAGCCAGAACACTTCACTCCCCCCCCCCCCACCCCCCACTAAGTAAAGCCGTTAAAAGGTCTATGCTAATTCTAATTTCTTAAAATCCCTGCTCCGTGTTAAACTAATTCATGGTCTCAAAAGTTTATTATAATTTCCCACATCCAGCGTTTGTCGTCATTTGCGAACGACACCTTTAATATAATATTTTCAGTTATGTCTGCTAACTTTGCAGGCTTGTAATGGTTATAATTTTAATGCATGATAGTTTTTTAAGCAAAGGGGAAGAAATCAAATTATTACAATTTATTTTTTAAAATATATTTATCTCCCTTGAATTTTTATAATCTTCACTGTTAACTCTGGAAAATACTTTATTAAGTGAAATAAATGTAGGTTTATATACATGTATTAAATCAAGACTCGTTGTTTCTATTTCTCAGTTACCCTTTACTTTTCCAGACTTCAGTACAGTCCATTCTTCAGCTTTCATATTTTACCTGCTTGATTTCTATAATAATATACAATGATTGCCAGGTGATACAGATTTAAATTTGAAGATGTATATTTTATTACAGGGTATTGTAAATCTTGGCATTGCAGAGAATAAACTATGTGAGGATCTGATGGTTGAAAAGGTAGATTTAGTCTCTGACCATAAACCCATAAAATATAGTTTATATAAACAAAAATATTTTAACAAGCTTTTAGTGTTGATACAAAATTCCATATTTAAAATAAAAATTGTAACCACATTAAAGCTAAGCTAAACTGCCACCTCTATGAAGTCAATTTTATCTTAACTTGTAATTGCAGATGAAATCTATCCAGTCCCAAGTCGAGAGCACAGCTTTGTTTTATTATGACGTCAACCATGGAAACGCAAGGTGAAATGTTTAACTACTACTATTGTTCAGGGGCGTAGCGAGGGGGGGGGGGCGGGGGGTGCGGACCGCACCAGGTGACACCATTTAGGGGGGTGACACCAAGGCAAAAAATAGCAAAATATATATAAAACAAACTTGAGGGGGGGGTGCAAATCAAAAACTTGAGGGGGGGGGGGGGTGCAAATCGAAAGTTTGAGGGGGGGGGGGGGGGTGCAAATCGAAAATTTGGGTGACACCATTAAGTGCCGCACTGGGTGACACCCGACCTCGCTACGCCACTGCTATTGTTTACCTACTACTATTGTTTAACTACTACTATTGTTTAACTACTACTATTGTTTAACTACTACTATTGTTTACCTACTACTATTGTTTACCTACTACTATTGTTTAACTACTACTATTGTTTAACTACTACTATTGTTTACCTACTACTATTGTTTAACTACTACTATTGTCTAACTAAATATGTGTGGTAGCTACAAAAACACAGTTGAAACAAATATTTTTTTAGTTAATGGAGGAAACATAGACAAAATGTCTAAGCAAAATTATCATTTTATAATAGTACTTCAGATGTAAAAATAATTATTTTCAAATCATCACAATAGCCCCAAGGATTTTTTACCCTATTCAAAAAACATAATGTTAACTAAATCAAATATAAGCTAATTTACCAACCTTCTACTGTTATTAAGGCTCTTGTCTTAGTCACCTATTATCTAAATTCTAAGAAAACTATTTTTTCAGCTCAAAAAGAACAGCAAAAAAGTTTATAGAAACTTTTTTTCAGCCTCTTGAGGAAATTATTGAAAGCAATGTTAGTATCGGTATTGTAATATTTGTTTAGTATATTTTAATATTAGTAAAATGCTACATATGAAGATTTTAAAATATTTCTAAACAAGCATTATGCCCATTGTTGAATGATTACTTGTGTACTTGTAGATTGTCATCATGAATGGAATGACAGCAACTTTGGAAAATTTGGCATTCTCTCTAGCTGATGCAGGGGGTGCGTTCAGTTTTACATTTTCTATTCTAATTTTTTGACAAAGCTCACTCCAACAGTCTCATGGGTGACATTTAATGCAAACAACTACAGACTCAAGTTGTTTTATTAGTAGTGTGCCATTATATTGTCAGGGACTAAATTCATCAACTTCAAATATTTTTTTAAATTCCACATGGTCATCGACTTTTAGGCAAGTCTTTTAGTTCTGATATTGCCGATTGCTAGCCAAATCCAGAACATTTTCTTTGGTGGATTTCATCTACAGTCATTTTCTAGCATAGTTCTTAAATAGCATTGGGAGCAGGGGATGCAAATATTCTTCTGGGCATGTATGATAAATGTTTATTTTTATTTGTAGGGGTATTCTTGTACTTTAGCTGCTCATCCCTCCAATATTACATAACCATGTAAAACTAATACCTCACCCTAACTCCATTGAAGAAAATCTTTTAACTAAAATTTAAATAAATAGTCTGCTATTTTCCATGAGGCAAGAAAGTAATGTATGCCTATTTAGACAAAACAGAGCCATCAATGTTTTCTGAGCACCTTTAAAAATATTTTTTTTTTAAAGAAGCTGACATAATATTTTAAATGTAAAAATGTTTAGCTAATAAAGAACCAAATAAATCCGCAACTCAGTAAATGATCAGACTTATATAAACTTCACAGAATACATAATGGTGCCATCTCCCTATTACTTCCGCATACAAAATGATGTAAAAGACAGGGCAGGGGTAAATGTCATCAGCATACCAATACGTTATAAGGTGAGAGAATTTTTATAAATTGTTGTCAGACTTTGGGTTGCCTGGCTGCATCAAGCCAAACATAAAACAGACTTTTTAACTTTGAAATCTCTTCCAAGGAGGATGAAAATGGTGGCAAAGCATCTGAGTGTGTCATGAATTCTGAAATTCTTGAAGAATATTATCAACAAGCTGTCTCTAAGGTAGGAAAAAATAACAGCTTACACATTTTTGTAAATAATTTATTTTCTGATAATGATTATTAGAAATGTCCCAAAAAATGTTTGGTGTACTAGGGTCAAACTGTCAGAGCCATCTTGTTGAGCAACCCGAACAACCCCAATGGAGTAGTCTTCTCAGAGGATCAGCTGCTGGATATTTTACAATTTGCATACAGGTAAAATTAAACAAAAGTTCACTTGTTCTTAAATAAACAATAATTTACTTTATAATAACCTGATGAACATCCTGATATATTTAGAAATATCATAAGTTCTGTCCCTTGGTTAAACATGATTTTAAATTGTCAATAAAGGATGTATTCAGAGGGAAAAATGATATTTAAATTAAGTTGTGCTCATTGTAACAGATTTTTCCGAAATTCTTTTTTCCTATAGCAAAAATGTACATGTGATTTCCAATGAGATCTATGCTTTGTCTGTTTTTGACCCTGATGTCAAATTTACCAGCATTCTCTCCCTTCCCCACCCAGACCCAACAATGGTGCACTTTACATGGGGATGTAGCAAAGTGAGTCTAATTTTGTGTAGTTTTTATTCTTCTGTGGAAGTAGTAACCCCTTGGTCTGTAATGGCGATAGGGCAGATGTCTAATACTGGATATACTTAGATTTTTATTTTGTTCCCTACTATTTGAATACAAATAATGGTCGATCGCAACATTTAATTTAGGCCAACCTAAGATTACTAATTTGTATGTGTTTATAATTTCTTAACCAGCATGGTTGAATAAAAAACAACCCTCTGATATAAAATTAAACAAGTACAAACTTGTATAAAACTGTATTCCTCCCTGTACAAGGACCTCGGCCTGTCAGCCTACAAATACTCCATGGTATACACAAGAAACCCTCAAGTCTTAGGCTGCTGTCTGGGCACTTCCCCCTTTACAACAGCATGTGGAATTACACAGAGTCGAGTTCTCTCTATTCTCAAAGATGAAAGTAAGTTGGTTTTTTTTTAATGCTGTTTGTTTTGTAAAAGATTTTGTAAAATAAAACTTTTAACAGAGAGAAGTGAAATGTAAGTTGATTGTTAAACTTGGTTAGTAAGCAAATAAATTCTTAAACCTGCTGCAGGTAAATATTTCACATCATAGTAAAAGATTGGCAATTACAAAATTCAACAAAACTCCCTATATCTTAAGTAAACTTGCTTGGCCTTAACAGGTATTCTATTGTTGTTTATTCCAGACTGGCTCTCCCAAATTTTTCTTCCAACTAAATACGATCGTATGAGAAAAAGATACCAGGAAACGGTTGACTTTCTTAGAAAAAGTGGAGCAGAAGTCAAACAGACCGGGGCAACAATGTTTGTTTGGATGGACCTCATCAAGGTCAGATAAATATTTTAATCCTTTATTAGATAACTATTTAGGTAATCTGTATATTAAAGCTATCTTTACAACTGAACAGTCATCAAATGAAAATTTCAGCCAATATTATCCAGTGCTGATCAGATTATACTCACATAATCACTAACATTATCAACAACTTTGTCATTAAAACCAGTTTTATGATTCAAGAAAATAAATATGTTCAATCAAAAACATTTCACTCCCATAGTAACAAAAGTAAAACATGAATTGAATAACCCAATCACTCTACTTCAGTTTATGAAAGAGCAAACTTTTGAAGAGGAACATAATTTATTCCTGAAGTTTATGGAGAAAAAAGTTTTTGTTTTACCTGGCAGTGTCTTGTATAATGAAAAACCTGGACTGTTTCGAGTGGTCTACACACTAAATGAGAAAGTACACAAAGAGGGTTGGTACTCATTCATTTAATTTTTGTCTTCTTATTAACACATAATTAGAAACCTAATGGTTAAAAACTAATGAAGTAATGGTAAGGAAACAATTTAGATTAGGTCCTGTACATTGAAGCACATTGCCACAACATTGTATTCATACATAATGAAACAAATAAAAATTGATTGTTTTAGACTGCTTGGTTAATGTTTTTAATGTTTTAGATCATTTGATTTGTAAAATTTTTCTAAAAAATTTTTTGCATCTTTTAAGTTGTACCTTTCCATGTAGGCGTTCATGTAGGAATTTATAACTCAGTATATTTTTAAAGAAATTCTTTGTGTTTTACCATCTGTACCTTTTCCACAGGTATTCTTAGGGTTGTTCAAGTTTTACAAGAGCTTCAGGATGCAGACTCTAATGGTTGACAAAAATAATTGACAAAAAAATTTTTACCACTATAATTTACAAAAAACTATTTGACAAAATATAATTGACAAAAATAAATTCTTTGAGAAAAGAACAGACACAACCTAGACCATCGTCCATAAATCATTATGTTGGCGTGTAGATGTGTGTGCATGTATGTATGTTATGTCCAGTGTTTCTTTTAGACATTTTTCTCCCATGGAAACTTGCGGGGATGGTGGCAGGGTGAACACTAGTTAAACGGTAAATTTTCTATTCGATGTTTTAAATTTTGTCGAGGGGGGGGGGGGGGTGGAGAAAGTGGCAGAAGAGGTACCTAATAGATACTCTGGTTATGTCATGTTGAAACCACAATAACAACTAAAACATGTCAGCAAGTATGAGCTCCCTGTGAATTTATGGGTCATGTTGTCGAACTTTTGAAGTGTTTTTTTTTTTAAACTGCTGTGTCATGTTTGCTTGTTGCTACCAAATCACAACTGACCTCTGCCCAACAAACAAATCGTCGGTCTATTGTTTAAATAAGTAGGTTGAATAGTTTGCTAAGAACAATATGTTTTTTACATACACGCCTATCTATAAAAAAAAAATTCAATTAGCCAACCCAAATTAACGCCTAGAGAATAATCCTTGAGTTATAACAGACAGCTAATAAGCTTAGTTACAAAATATCTCCTAGCTACATATAAATCTAGATATGGTCTACATGTCGTTTTTGGTGTGTCAGAAAATCACATTAAAAAAAACAATATATTGTCTTACGAAAACACAGTCGATAACCAAGCAGGCTAATGTAACATTGGTTTTTTTAATTAGATAGAAAATGACTGCTTTGCAATTAGGTCTACATCTAAGTGCTTTTCAAAAACTATCAGGTGATGTTTTAATGGAATATTTGGGTTTATTACAGCTGTAGGACATTACTTGTGCGGCTCATTGATAATTTTAACTATAATTTACCAGTTGCTCCTAACTTAAAATACCCACCTACCCTTTTTTCCTGCTGTATTTTTATAAATGGATATAATCAAGATTGTGTCATTTTACCGAAAATATTTACTGAGCCTTTGTATGAAAGCGATGTACCATATGTAGCTCTGAAAATGTATGGCTTAGTGAAAATTGTATGTCATGTTAGAGGCATTGGTTTAGTGGACATTTTGTACATGTTAGAGGCATTGGTTTATTGGAGGGTGCACGTGGAAAAGGCTGTGGTTTTATTTTTTAAAGAATAGATTTCCACATTTTTTAAAATGAGACACAGAACACGTATCATTACAAGCAGACATGATACAGAATACATCTCGTTAAAAGAAGACATGAGACAGAACACGTCTCGTTACAAACAGACCTGTTTTGAGACCCAGTTGTTCAGCGATAAATTATAAAATATTACAATTTTGCTGCACCGTCTCATCCGCGTTTACAACACTGTTGCGATCTGCTCAGAACTATATATCTGTTAATAACACTGTTACGATCTGCTCAGAACTATATATCTGTTAATAACACTGTTACGATCTGCTCAGAAGAACTATCTGTTAATAACGCTGTTGTCATCTGCTCAGAACTATCTGTTAACAACACTGTTGCGATCTGCTCAGAACTATCTGTTAATAACACTATTGTCATCTGCTCAGAGCTATCTGTTCCGTGTTAATAACACTTGTGATCTGTTCAGAACTATCTGTTATTAACGGGTAATTTTGAGCAGATCATCGAGAGAAATAGCCTATAAATAAAAGTGTAGCTGGACGCCACTTGTTTGACGCCATAATTACAGAATGTTGTACTATCCTAATCCTGATGGGGGGGGGGGGGGAGCGGACCGCACCGGGTAACACCAAGGCAAAAAATAGCAGAATATATAGAGAAAAATGATAATTCCACTTATGTGATTGATTCGAGTGTTAAGAGGTGCAGATCGAAAGTTTGAGGAGGGGGGGGGGGTGCAAATCAAAAATTGAAAGTTTGTCCCCGGGAAGGGTCGCTACGCCTCTGGAGGGGTGACACCCGACCTCGCTACGCCACTGCATGCTACACATATCCTCACAAAATTTCGACCCCGCCAGTGGTTCCACGTGTTTACTTCTTAGTCCTCGACCAGAGTTTCTTCCAGACTTTTTTCTCGGGGAGGGGGGGAAGAGGACACACACAGACTCACCCGATGGACAGGATCGCAAAACTAAGTTTTTCTGGCTACGAAAGATTGTAATATAAGTTTTGTCAAAATCTCGTTATACATTTTTTCCACGAGTAAAATACTTCTTTTATATTCCGAACACAATAAAGTAGGGAGATTACAAATCCAGCATTATTTGGCAGCATTTCGTAATTTTGAGCTGGCAATCTTTTTTATTGTGTTATTATTTGACAACAATGTAGCTCTTTTGTTGCAGAAAATAAAATTAGTCGCTTTACATAGAATTATTATTAGAATGGCTATGCTAAAGAATCGTAAAGATTAAAGAATAAGATTAGCATACTGTAATTTAATTTTGTAGCTTATGTTCATTATGTTGCGAATAACTGCTTTAATAAAAGATGCAGACTAGTCTTCATTTGATTACTAAATTCTTTGACTGCATTACGAACATAAGCATAATTCAAACAGAATCTAGTCTAAGAATCTGAGTAAACTCAAGTAATAAAGTTGAGTAAAGTAAAGTGACAAAGTCAGCCCTCATGATGACAATGGGTAATTTTTTTTTATACTTAATTTGCTGATTTAGGACTATAGCAAATTTTAAAAATTATGTCTAAAACTTGTCATTAAATTAAACATTAAAGTGATTAAATTAATTAAACTATTCAGGAAATATAATTTTTTAGGCCTATTCATTTTTAAAGTTTCTACTGACTGGCAGTTTCTGTTACCATTCATAATAACAATTCATAATATAATTTAATAATTTGGGTTAGGCCTAATAATTTATAATAGTATTAGTTGTTAGGCCTACTAGTAGTTAGGCTTAATAATAAATTAATAATAATATTCATAATTTTTGTGTAGAACTAGTGAATTTAGACCAGTATTTTAAAATAATTTTTTTTCATGAGTTGATATTTAAACAATGAATTTAAAACTAAATTTGGGTCTTGAATGCTAAGCACACATTTCTTGATTTTTGTACTTTTTTTTCCATCTATCAGGGCAAACAGTTGTTCATAAAATAAAAAGACTGATGATTCTAATGGCATTGCCTCGGGTTATCCTACCTGTATTTGTTGTGATTATCTTTGCCTCTACTCTGACATACCTTATGTGGGCCAACCCAGCCAGTGTTGTGAGCGGGGATCAGTATATGGTTCAACCTGTTGGTGTGATGAAGGGCAGAGTTCAAGAAAGGACTAGATTTACTAAGGTTAGATTTTTTAAGTGTTATACTTCTGAAATAATTTGTGCAATCCAAAGAATTTTTTGTGATATAAGTATTATAAGAAGAGCTCTGAGCTGAAGCTATCATATAATATTCATTAACTGTTTACAAGTTTGTCAGGAAGTAATGTTCAAGATATAGTGTAGACAAAATGTATATACATTTATTAAATAACATGTTAAAGCTAATAAATAACTATTTCTGTTAATTATCTAGAATCACCTGGTTGAAAATGGCTATGGTGCCTGGATTGATGGTCGTGACATAGAGGTTATGAGTGCTATCCATGATATACATTACAGCAACACTAGCTCAACTCGCATTGTTCTTCCTAGTTTTTTACGTCATTCGAAGGAGCGAGATTTTGTCTGTTGCTTCCATACATCACTTCATTCTGATGAGTATTACCAAGTTAGTTTTTTTTGCTACTTCCCATATAATTTAAAATAAGCTATAACATTATTTAAGCTATTAAATTTAGGCAAAGGAAATTATAGGTAACAGATAGTTTTTAGTACTGCTTACTTCCAAGTTATACTACACTTTGTATTCTGTTGCTCATTAATTTTTTAATTTTCTCAAAACCAAAATATTATAGGTTCAATCAAGCCTTGACTTCATAGACTTGCGGTTCATTGTCAACTTCCAGAATGCAGCATTTGAATGTCTTCTAGATAACTCAATGACTGACCAAAATAGAAAATTTAAATATGTGGCCTTTGCTCCAGAGTCTTGTGAGAAAAATGTGTCGTCTTCAGTTAGAGTTGTGTACCCCCGTCTCAGGTCGTGGGAATTTGCTGTTTGCACAAAGGTATGTGGTTACGTAAGAGTACGTTAATTTTGTCTGGTTAGGCTGGTTTTATGATAACTTACCAGCTTATTAGGAGCCAACATTTGGATATTATCAAATTTTTTTCTTTTCAGAAGTTTCAATTAATTCTAATTTGTTTTTATTTGGAGTTAAATTGTTCTGTTTTTTATGCAAATTTGAAAAGATGTTGAAAAAAGTTTTTAACTCATTAGTCACATGTACATTAAAATCTTTCTTTAGGTTGCTTATGGAAGGTTGGACCCCGCTCGCCTAGTTGAATGGTTTGAGTTTTTAAAGTGGGTTGGCTGCAGCAAAGTTCTGACATTTTACAATAACGTGCATCCAGACTCAATGAAAGTTTTTCTGTATTATCAAAGTACTGGATTGCTAGACTTCATTAATTACAGACCTCTAAGTTTGAAAGGTAAATCTTTTAATGTCATGTATAAACACAGTCATGAGGAAAACGACTGGGTTTTTTACATTTTAAATTATAATTTGTCGTTTCATATTTTAAGGAAAGGAGCCTAGCTCTTTAAAATTTATTTTTAAGATATGGTAACAGGCATAGTAACGTGGAGCACTCCTTATATTATCAGCTCTTTCTTTGCAGAATTACCCATACATCTGCACATCACTTTATTTATCACACTTATTATTTATTGCATACTAAATTTTGCATATAACCATATGCTACATTCAGCAACAATAAGCAATAGAGGCTGTTTTTGGCAATATCATGTTAATGTTCCAATTTTTTTTTTTGTTGAGTATTAGCTAAATCACATCATAGTATAAAGTTGTTTCAAAAATCAAACCACATACACTCTAAAATTAAGATGGAATGGCCACCCCCTAAACCCAAACAGTTGATATGATTGGCCACAAATTAACAGGTTGAATGACTTTAATGTTGTGGGAATGTAGCAACAAGACCTGTTAAAACCTCAACAACCTCAAGCAAGTGTTATTTAGTTTAAACAGAAATAGCTTTATGATTTTTGTTGTTAGGCTTTTGAGTTGTGATTTCTTTTCTAAAAAATGTAAGTTAACAAACATAGAACACTTTAAACAAAAAAATTCCATAAAGCTTTTGTTGTTTTAACTCAAGGGATAAACACAACAAAAAACATTAATGCTTTTATAACTTCTTCTTCTTCTTCTTCGTTCTTAATTATTAGTGTTGAAGGGGATCGAGAATTATCTGTCAGTGCGTTTGAATTCGAGACTTTTTTTTTTTCAAATTTATCAACCATGAGCTTTCTGCCGACTTGACCACGCCTCCAACACAATTAAGCGTTACGTGTCAACTGATTATGCGCCATTGAGGCCATTGACTCCGATTTCAGCCTGCTTTTCTTTTTGGATTTGCTTCCATAGCCTTTGTCCAACCAAGAACAAACTACAAGGCAGCAGTTGTTTAATTTTGGAGTTGTCTCTCCTAGAAGAGTGGCTGTCCCCAGCTAACGAGCCTCATCTGCCCGGGGGTTCGAACTCGAGACTTTTCGGTTTAGCAACCATGAGCTTTACCGACTCGACCACGCCAACCCCTCTTTTATAACTCATTTGCTACTTTTTTTTTATAACTTGAATGTTGCCTTTTGTTGTTTAACTTAGGTGCTACTGAAACCAAGTTCACAGAGAACAATTCCCAAACAAGACAAGCTCGCCAGGACAAGACTTTAGTAGTGCGAGACTGCCAGTACAGGCTGGGTGGTTACGACTTTGTCATGACTGTGGACTTTGATGAGCTGCCCGTACCTGTTCGACCCTTTGGGTCATTGAACTGGGTGTTCCAGGTATGTCTTGTCTTTGGGTCATTGAACTGGTATTTCATATTAATTAACATTAATTATTAAACATAATATACTTTTCACTTTGAAAATTACACATATTAAGTTGAAACTACATATATTTTTGAGGTTTATTAAGAGTATTTTCTATCACATAGTCTGGAAAAACTTTTCATTATCTCAAAATTTTTACTTGTGAAAACTTGTAAAAATACTCCTTAGGACTTACTGCTGAACAACACAGATGCAGGGGCATTTAGAATGGACCCAGTTCTTCTACCTCCAGAATGGAAGAGTTCCAGAAGTAATTTGTTCCACTGGCAGTTCTCAGCAGGAACTTACATTACTCCGTACTGCAGGAAATGGGTTTACATCCCCAAGAGGACCTGGCTGGCCGCCACTCATGAAAATGTGCCTAAGAATGGCTACAAAAAGTAAGTTTTCTGAATTACTTCCCCCATGGCCTTGTATTATGAAAAATAAAGGTGGGTTTTACTAAGATCTGAACAAGAGCAATTAGATTTTCTTAGAGAAGGAAAATATTGAAAAATAAATGTTTCAAATTAAAACAACAATGTGATCTCATTATTTTTTGGTCATTATTTGTTCAACACTTCAAAATTATATTATATACAGGTCAACAGACTAAGTTAAACAGTGACAAATTCTTTTCTTTTGTTCACATTTCATACATCCCTTTAAGATTCCTAGTGTTACACTTGCCAACACTTACTCTGCCACTGTTTATGTCTGCACAGGTATGTGATCCCCAACAGCGCCCTCTACTTCCTTCACTTCCGCTCCTGCAAGCCAGACTGGTTGGGTGTACCGTGTCAAAATCTGACGCAAACAGTCAAAAATTTGCACGTCCTCGACAGGTTCTCAGGGATGATGTATCTCAGCATGAACAAGCTGCCCCTGGAGGAACTTATTCCAGACACAAACTATGTGAACTTCATCAGGTCAAACATGAAATCATCTGCTGCCATCAGGAAACGTAATTTTGAAATTGATACACAAAATGACCCATTCTTGACTGACCAGACCAGATAAAACACCTGCCTTATGTTGATTGGTTTCAGGGTTAGTTCTATATTTTTTTTACAAATGGCAAACAAACTGTCATGCTATCATTTGAACAAATTTCATGATCACTTGAATATTTAATCACTTTTAGTCTAGATTTTTATAATAGATAATAATAATATTTTTACAATAGATAATTGTTGTGAAATGTAACCATTGTCTTTACTAGCTCAACCCTAACCACAGCAAGTTATTCAGTGATAACTGTTTGGTTAACCCAATTGTGTAGGCTGAGCTATTTATGACTTGTATTGCATGATCATGTCAAATCTTCAAATACAAATTGAATGAAACATAGGCTGTCTGAAATATAGAATAATGAAAACTATTTACAGTAGAACATTGCATTTTAAAATTAACAGAGAAAGCAGTCACATGGTTCCTGGGACCTCCTGAAATTTCAGTATGTTCTAGAATTCTCCTAGAATTTAAAAACCCTGAAAAGTCCTGGAATTTGACAATTTCCCTGAAATTTTATTTCGGTTTGGACATTTTAGTGCACTTTTTTCTGTGTTATAGAATCTAGGTAATTAGAATTGAATTAACTCACTGTTTCTGTAATATGTTATGCTATAGTTTTAAGCACTGGTAATGTATTTTTGTAACATTTTTCTGTAATATTTTCTTAAACTGAAGAATTTATTATTTAAATTTTATACAAACTTTCTCATTTACATGGTACTCAATTTTTACCAAATTTGTATTTTAATTTTGATGCCCTTTAATGTATTACTTGTTATAATTATTCATTTTGTATGCTGTATTTTTTTTATTATGTGCCAACAATTTTAATAGTAATAGAAGTATTTGTGTGTTTATTCATCATATGATATAATTTTCTATTTATAAATCAGGGTCTATTACATTTGATATTCAAATAATGGAAGAACAAAGTCATTTAAAAAATTACACAATTCATTTAAAAAAATTACAGCATATATTTTATAATTAATTCACACTAAATTAATGTGTAGTCTCTTAGCCTTATTTGTAAGTACTACCTTAATCTGAAGATTTGTTTACATTGTGTCTGCTAATTATAGCAATATGCTGAGAATTGTATACCATCTGGTATTTCATTCACATGCTGTACTAAAAATCAGATAATTATAAAACTTGTAATTTTTTTGACTATCTAATTTCCTTAAATAGGCAACTGAAGTAACATTGGCTGTTAATTTACTTGTATACTTTGTTTGATATTATTCAGTGTGATCACATACCTGAAAGCTTTGTAGAAATAATGTTGAGATTTGCTATGCTTTAAAGATTTAAATAAATAATTGTTCCATTGTTTTTTAAAAAAGAAAATCAAATCCAGGTTGATAATTTTAAGTTACCTGTCAGTGATTGTTTATGATCAGATCACTTTGATGTCATATGTTGTAGATGTGTTATACATTTTTATATTAGCCTAATGTCACTAACATATTTAAATTAATTTCTGTTCAACTGGTACATCTGTTATATCATTATTGTTATAAATAACTAATAATTTGCATACTATTGTAATGTAATTTATCTTTTTAATTAATATATGTGTTCCTTAGAATTTTTAAAAATGTTTACACTTTTATCAGTGTATTAATTTGTCAATGGCATTATGTTCACTCTGATATATTCAATTCCTTGTCATTTTTAAAAAAACTTAAACTCTGCTAGTCCAGAATTTGTATTGTAATGTTGGGTAGTCCGGAATTGTTATGGTAATGTTGGGTAGTCCAGAATTGTTATGGTAATGTTGGGTAGTCCAGAATTGTTAAGGTAATGTTGGGTAGTCCAGAATTGTTATGGTAATGTTGGGTAGTCCGGAATTGTTATGGTAATGTTGGGTAGTCCAGAATTGTTATGGTAATGTTGGGTAGTCCAGAATTGTTATGGTGATGTTGGGTAGTCCAGAATTGTTATGGTGATGTTGGGTAGTCCAGAATTGTTAAGGTAATGTAGGGTAGTCCGGAATTGTTATGGTAATGTTGGGTAGTCCAGAATTGTTATGGTAATGTTGGGTAGTCCAGAATTGTTATGGTAATGTTGGGTAGTCCGGAATTGTTATGGTAATGTTGGGTAGTCCAGAATTGTTATGGTAATGTTGGGTAGTCCAGAACTGTTATGGTTATGTTGGGTAGTCCAGAATTGTTATGGTTATGTTGGGTAGTCCAGAATTGTTATGGTAATGTTGGGTAGTCCAGAACTGTTATGGTTATGTTGGGTAGTCCAGAATTGTTATGGTAATGTTGGGTAGTCCAGAATTGTTATCAAGTTGTGTCCCCTCTGCTGAATGTTTTAAGGTGAAAGATAAAACCTACTTTTAACCTTTGAAGACATTAATAGATATAGGTTATTAAAGAAAGTAGCCACATGTTAAATTGACAACCACACGTGTGACTTTTGACTTGAATTAGGAGAAATATATCACATGATTAGTTTCCTCAAATTTTTATTAGTTTTAAATATCCCTTTGGTGTTTTTATTCTCTTCTCTTAAACATTTAATGTGTGGTTAAAATATTCAAAATATTGATAAACCCCTTAATATCTGTGTTGTAGCAACTCAGTTTTTAACCCCTTAATATCTGTGTTGTTGCAACTGTCAATTTTTAACCCCATAATGTCTGTGTTGCTGGAACTGTTGTCAAAATGCCCATGGAACAAGCTTAAGGCCAAAGTCATTGTTGTCAAATTGTTTATGTACCTGATATTGAATAATCTCATACCCAGTGTAATATCGGTTTATCATTCTACTTAAAATATTTTCTCTTGCCTGTTTATAGAATACATAAATTTTACAAATCTCTATACTATTGATACTGCATTCTGCTCAAATCATTCAGTCTATCTTGTTGATCCTTGATGTCTACTTGTTACAAATGTACATCACTAATCACAGCTTAAAGATGCATTTCATTATTTAAGTATAAATGCATGGACTTATATATTATGAATATTGTCTGGAAGCCACGTACTTAAATGGCACGGAGTTAAATTAATTATTTAGCAGTTTAATTCCATGTTTTTTTTTCTGCAAAATTCATATGCTTTTTATTTTATGACCATACATAAATTTATATTTTGAAAGCATGCTGCTTGCAAACTAGAAATTTTACTTTTTTACCAAAATATTGAGCTAACTGCTAACATCGAACATAATTTTATTTACCTCAGCTAGTAATTAAAGACTAGTCACAATTTTTTATTGCTGATTTCTTTGATAAAACACATGGTATATAGCACACCTTGTCTTGCCATATCTGTTGAACAAACTTTAGATCACCCTCCAATTTTTCTAATGCATTGAACAATGTGATGTTTAACCGTAAAAATATTTTTAAAGAAAACTGTTTGGGAACATTGTTGCTACATATCAGAAGGTGGTCATGTGACCTTCCTCTAGGATTCTATTTATATAATTGTTTACAGCATTGTTGAATATTTAAACCAGTCTGTGTCCACATCATGAGAATGTTTTTTGTCTACAATTTGAAGTGGCATTGTGCAATGTTCATCATTCATATTTCATTATGAATGCATGTATGTAGAAGCTATATTTTGATACCAATTTATTTTAGTCATTGTATGGTAAAATGTTAGTTTTGGAAACCATATCATGGTGGCACAATATTCTCATTTCTAGGCAAACACTTGACCAATGCTTTTATAGATTTAGCACTATGGTTACATTTTTATTTTATGTATTTCATTGAGTTTTTCTTCTAAAAAAAAATGAATAATATCCTCAGTTGACATTAGACAATGCAAGGCTCCCAATGGAGCTACAAAACTACAACTCTTACAGTATTAAATATTTGACGGTGAATCATTTGCTTATTTTAATTGTAAGTGAAAATTTAATTTTCTTTTCCCCCCAACTAAATTTATCACTTCTTTTAAAGGAGTGTGTTAATATTTTATAAAAATGTCTTATACATTGTTAAATCTCACAAAAAGGTACATTTTTGCATGTGTTTGTTTAAATCTAGCACCTTTTTTGTTAAATTTTTAAATCTATGTAAATAATTTGCTTTAAAACCAAAGATTACTATTTAATATTGCTTACATTTTGAGGTGTTTTTTAATAAAAGTTTTTAAACAATTTTAGTCATTTTTTTTTCACTTTGCAAACTGAACAATTGTTAGACATGGTATGAGGAGCGATGAAAGGAAATAATAGATTGTGTAGCTGTCTACTGTATGGTAGAAAACATTATGAAAGCTGGATACAAAAGTTAAACATGGGCTTATTTTATAAAATATACTTTTACTTCACAATGAAGATTCATTGACTACACATTAAAGCTAATATGATAACATACAAATCTACTCACTAATGCACTCACAACAATCTGGTTCAGTGTCTCCTTCATTCCGTTACAGAATCACAAACATGATGTATGGGAAAGAACATTGCTTGCTTAACATATTTAAAATACTTGCCAAGTAACAATGTTGCTATGTAAATACTTTCATGAGGAGTGTGAAGCTTTCTTGATTAATAAAAAAAATGTAAAAAATATCTCACTCAAAAAGTGTTAAATTAGATGCTAATCACTTTGTTTTTAATTTAAGATTAATGATGTGAAAATACACTTTAAAAATAAGTTAATTTTATAACATGTATTTGCAAAAAGTGAAAATAGTTTGAGATTTTATCATGTGAAATACCAATAGAGAGGGTAAAGCTTAAAAAAAAATCAGGTAAAATATTTTTGTACCCCTTATTTATATTTAATATCATCTTTTTATGGTAAAGATATGTTTTTTTTAATTTATAAATCGTTTTTACACAATGTTCATTAGGTGAAAAAAATGATCAAATTTATGTAATAGAACAGATATTGGTAAAATATATTGTGGAAACTTTTGGTAAAAAAAATCTCAGTAGCTTAATGTCTCTGGTATTTCCACCCAGCACCAAGAAACTGCAAACAAATTGGTTTGTAATGATGATTACATACTATAAAAAATGTTCTTCATGAAAATAACTTGAAATCATTTTAAATTATAAAAAAATAATATTTTATGTTTTTTTTTGTTAACATATTAAAAAAAGGTGTAATAAAGGTAACTTATAAAAACAGTTACTTACCCACTTGCAATAAAATGTTGAATATGAGAAGAGTTAAAGAGGAAAATGTGTATAAAGTTATGAGCATCACAAACTGAAATCAGTTTAAAAAGATACAGAAGTTATAAATTGTATCATTTGGCTTGAGATGAATACATAGATTTTAGAAATTATATAAAAGTAAATCATGCCATTACTTATGAATAAAATGATGACATCTGGGCCAACATAAAATGAGCTTGTTACATAGAATTAAAAAAAATGTAGATGATTTGCTTGCATAAGTAAATACAAATCTTATAAAAATTTCTATAAAGTGAATAAGATTTCTTAAATTTATAAAGGAAAAAAAATTGTTGAAGGAGGCCAACTGATAACATTTCAATTTTTAAAATTAGATTCAGTAGGTTATAATCACTAATTATTTTCAAATAATTTGCTGAACAGGACTTCGTAATTAAGAAAAACTTCGTTCCAAATTTATTAAAAATTAAGCTTATGAATAAAGATCATTGTCAGAATACATTGGTTGAATATATATATTGGGTGTACGTATATTTCAATCATGTAAATAATTATTATTGCTATACATATTATCATATTAGACTAAAATAAGAACACACAATGTGAATTATGTCATGATTTGGGCTCTGAGAACATTTGTGCTGGAACATGTTAGTAGACAACAAACAAAATGATTCAACTTTTTTAACAGTTAGCAGGGTACAGATTTGTAGCAACAAAATATGATTCAACTTTTTTAACAGTTAGCGGGGTACAATACAGATTTATAGCCACAAAATATGATTCAAGTTTTTTAACAGTTAGCAGGGTACAAAACAGATTTGTAGCAACAAAATATGATTCAAGTTTTTTAACAGTTAGCAGGGTACAGATTTGTAGCAACAAAATATGATTCAAGTTTTTGAACAGTTAGCAGGGTACAAAACAGATTTGTAGCAACAAAATATGATTCAAGTTTTTTAACAGTTAGCAGGGTACAGATTTGTAGCAACAAAATATGATTCAAGTTTTTGAACAGTTAGCAGGGTACAAAACAGATATGTAGCAACAGCCATTTTGAACAGCTGTTTTTACAGGGTACTGTATATTTTAGACTACATGATACAAGTATTTCTCAACTTATCCCACTCTCAAGGAAACAACATCTTTTTATTAATATACAAATTAGGTTTAATATAAACAGGTGCATGCAGTTCAATTTTAATTTTTTTTTAGAATAAAATTTTGATATGCCTGAATTTTCTCACTAAAAGATTACTAACTCATTATTTTAATAATGCAAATAAAAACAACCTTATGTAATTTATTAAATTTGAAAAAAAAATGTATACTTTACATAGCTAATACTAAAGTGGTAACAAAACAATTACCATCATTATAAGAAACAGTGGAATGTATGACAACTTTACTCAGATATTTAACAGTGGAATGTAATGAGATTACAGCTAGGTAAATGAGTTACTTTTAATCAAAAGGACAGATATTTATTATTTCACAACAAATATACCTTAGCCATGGTACAAATTTTAAGGAAAAACAAGAAGAAAAGCACTTCAGAAAATAAATTGTAAAATTTTGTGCAAAAAAAAGATCACTTTGTAAGTAAATCATGTATTAAAATCATAAGCATTTTCTTTTGTAAAGAGATTGTAGATGATAAAAACATTTTAGTAAATGATTGAAAGATTTAAAGGAACACTTGTTTGTTACATGATAAAAATAGATCCATCAAAAAACATGAAAAACTGCAACTGAAACAAATATTTGACCACGAGCTACACAGAGGAGGGCAACAAATATGATCATACTTATAAAGATATTAAAATTAGAATTTTTTCAAAATTAGATGATTATTAGTCAGTAAAGTGGAAAATTTGGACTAAAGATAACAAAAAATAAAGATTATCTAAATAAATTAGCAGCTGCTATGACAATCTCGGAATTGTGGCTGGGTGAAGTAGTGCAAAGAATAAAAAAAAAAATCTTCCTTATCCGAATCACTGCTACTAAATGTATTTAACTGCATGACAGCACGTGTCATAAAATCTATGACTAGATTATGAGATAAATTGTATCAAATATAAAAATAATAATAATGTATAAAACATCTTTAATATTACCCTTTAAAAAAATACTACGTTTGTTCTTTCAAACAATTGAGATTTTATACTGAAATAAAATATGGTTTTAAGTAAGCATAAAGTAAATGTTAATAATTTGTTTAGTAACATTTGATTTGTACATTTGATTTTAAAAAGTTATATTTTGTCTCAAATTTCAAACTTTCTCTCAGAAGTCTGAGTGTAAGGTGCTCATAGTGGATTTCAGATCTCTTGCTATTTTGTTCAAGGCATCAATTTCTACCATTCTACAACAGTGATTAGTGTAAACATTTGCACATATTTACATCATAGTTCAATACTGACATAAGCCATGTGAAACAACTCAGCATTCCTTCCCCACCAACAGCTTTTTAAAATTTAAACAAAGACAACAGGTAACAGGTTAATCCATCTAAAGAATCTTCTAGCTAATTTTTTTAAAGTATGTTGTCAATTTAATTCTCTTCTAACTGAATGCAGCCAAGATGAGCTGATTCACAGATGATTTGCCTTAAAAATTAACTGTTTTCTTTTTCTCGAAGGACAGAGTGTGGTTGTGACAACAGAATATGTACTCTATAAGCAAAACCCTATTCGACAAGATTGGATGTACATTCTTGAACTTTGAACTTTTATCTAACAGGGTACATAAGCAAGTTGTTTGAGTTTTGTCATTAAGTAAATGTCCCCTTGTGTTTGATGACTGGCTCAATGAGTTGTGAATTCAAATGTTCATTTAGACGCTGATGTTTAACTTTTTGGGTCACGTGTTTAGATGTTCATCTAGACGCAGGTATTTAACTTTGGGTCATGTGGTCAGGTGTTCATCTTGAGGTCGATGACTAACTTCATAGTCCACATGAACAAATGCACGTTCCACATTACTGAGCTTCTCCAGTTTTTGCTGCACATTACAAGAGAGAATTTTAAAATGAGAGGACTCCTACAACATTAAACACTATGAAAAAATGTCCCCGTCCCCCTCCCTCACAAAACTGATCTTCAACTTCCAGATAAACTTAAGTTATGTGATCATATACCAGTCAGATCACATTGATGTTTTCAATAGTTTTTAGCATTAACTAGTTGATAGGATGTGTCTGACTAGCCAGCAGTATGTGCCTGTCTGACTAGCCAGCAGGATGTGTCTGACTAGCCAGCAGGATGTGTCTGACTGACTAGCCAGCAGTATGTGTCTGACTGACTAGCCAGCAGGATGTGTCTGACTGACTAGCCAGCAGGATGTGTCTGACTGACTAGCCAGCAGGATGTGTCTGTGTGACTAGCCAGCAGGATGTGTCTGACTGACTAGCCAGCAGGATGTGTCTGACTGACTAGCCAGCAGGATGTGTCTGACTGACTAGCCAGCAGGATGTGTCTGACTGACTAGCCAGCAGGATGTGTCTGACTGACTAGCCAGCAGGATGTGTCTGACTGACTAGCCAGCAGGATGTGTCTGACTAGCCAGTAAGACGAGTCTAATTTCGCTCAACATTGTCTGGTATCTAGATCCGGTTGTGACAACCCCCCCCTCCTCCACCACCCTTTTAATTACCCCCTCAAAACCAGTGGACTACGCCTTCACAGTAATGACCAGCTCTAGTCAAAACCTGTGGACCACGCTTCCCATTGTTGACCACAAAAATCCCTTCTAATGTCAAGATCACCAAAACTCTATTGCAGTTGGAAAAGCCACAAGTAACTAACCTGTAAACTTTCTCCGATGTTGTGGGACTCTGACAATACAGTATCTTCCTGTAAAACAATGTCCACCTCCACCAAAAATTTACTACCAAAGTGAAAAGCTCGGACTGTGTCAATGCATAGAATTGATGGGCTGTAATGAAAATAAAGAACAGCAATAAAAATTTAATTAACACCTAAATTAATTAGCTTTTAATTTTTTAAACCACTAGTTAAACTAATCAGGTTGAGCTGACTAAATAAAACCTTCCAGGCTGAACCTATCCAATTTAGGCTGACTAAATATGACCTGCCAGACATGCTAAAAACAAGGAAGTACGTTGTAAATATGTGACAGTTTGAATTATAAGGCTTGTCATGATGAAATTCTTAAAAACAATTTATTATTAACATTATAAATAAATAAGAAAATTGTGCACCCAAAATGATCAAATGTATTTACCTGTGGTTCAATGAAATCCATGTGATCTCACTTAAAAAGCTTGGGTCAGCTGTGTAGCCAGTAATCATCCTTAGCTGAGCTGATTAAAGATTATTTAATTAATAGGAATTTAAATACCTCACATTAATGAACTTTAGTGGTTTGAAAAATGCTGATTAGAAAAAAATTCAAAAGTGTGCTTTAGGCCTATGTTTTAATTTTAATGCTCATGTTTTTTTTTCCGTTAATGATACAAAGGAAACTGATGCGAGTTACCTATCCCTGTCTTCCACCAGTTGATGATGATGTAGAGAGCAATGATGATGGCCCCTCCTGGGTCTATGTAAGCTACTTCTTTTGTGTTAACTCTGTCGGCAAACTGTTGCGAGCCTGTTGGGTTACAAGACAAAATTATATCAGTTTGTGCTGCAACTGTTACATGTGAAATTATACAGAATTTTGTTCAGCAGAAGAACTAGAGAAAATTTGAATACCAATGCCCTCTACTGTTTCCAAACAACCCTCCTGTAGTTAATTCATCCCTGGGGCTAAAAGATTTAATGCGAGTCAAATGTAAAGGTGTAAATGCTTTATTTACAGTAAAAAGGGTTGGTAACTTACCCAAATAACCACAAACAATGGCGACTAAATTAGACACTGTATCATTGCGATGGTCTTGTATAAGGGCATCAACAGGGTTGGACTGCATATTTTTTCTTTTCATCACAAAATAAAATGAAACTGCCAAAGTGAACTTTATCACTACATCATGAGAAAATAAAATATTTAATGTTTAAGATGTATAAACAAGGTAATTAAAAAGTCTAGTGACAATTTTAGCGCAATTTCCTTACGTTATCTAAAAATAGCTCTGTCGTAGCGTAAATCAAGAGCAGGGTTAGTAAAACCATTGGTTAGTTATTAAAACGTTTTTTATTAATTTTTTTCAGTATTTTACATGTTTTATTTACAATAGAGTTACATGACTAAAAACCATTGCGCGCCTACTGAACGTGATGGCGCAGCCATGGAACGCGATGGCGCAGCTATTGAACGTGATGACGCGTGTGGTGTGGTTGGAAAAAATGCCTACTAATTCGGTCCAAATTTAATTAATTCAAAAATTTTTTGTGACCGAACGAAAGGATATTTTTGAAAACTTTCTTCGGCAATATTGTTCTAAATTATGGCAGGAATCGATTGGTACATGTGTCAAGTCGCTAAGTGGTCTGGTTGCCGAGATATGGGCCAAAAACTGAATTTTTTTGAGGTTTTTTGGCTTTTCCGGGAAATACATGAAAGAAACCCGGAATTTTTATTCATTCATCCATACATTCATCCATCCATTCCCAGAAATGACGAGTTAATAAACGCAATTCTCCAGAATGGAAATTGCGCTAAAAACTATGAGATTAGATATGATCTATTTAGTGCTTAGGTCATATATAGATGACTTATATATAATGGACTAAAAATGGAGGCTAGTGTTAAAAAAAATTTCTTTGATGACATGAATAGTTCCAAACAGAGTGAGAATAATATTGAAGTGGGCAAAATTTTTTTTTTAATACAGAATCTTAAGCTGGGCATGTTTTAAAATGTACGCACCTACAGTGCTGGCTGCAATAACAACTGTGGGGATCTCAAAATTAGCAATGTCTTCTTTGCTGGAACTGAGGCTAATCATCTTACGGATGGAGGAAATCAAAACTTCTAGAGAGGCAAGGGACATAATCACAGACAATACAATGATGGCTACTGGCTCTAGACGTGATCGACCTGGGGAGAAAATTTAAATTCTCTTTAATTTTTGTAACATTAGTCCAAATCAATATCTAATACTGATATGGAAAGGATTTAAACATTTTTAAACTCAAGACTTGCAGGACAGACAGACTCAAGTGTTGGAGGATATCCCCTTCAATATACACAACTAAGAATAAAGAAGAAGAAAAGAAGAAGAAAAGAAGAGAAACAGATTCACCAGTCTTCTATGGAATAGACTCAAACTCACCCACTGGATAGACATACAAGACTCACCTACAAGATAGACAGACAAGACTCACCCACTGGATAGACAGACAAGACTCACCTACAAGATAGACAGACAAGACTCACCTACAAGATAGACAGACAAGACTCACCTACAAGATAGACAGACAAGACTCACCTACAAGATAGACAAGACTCACCAACAAGATAGACAGACAAGACTCACCTACAAGATAGACAGACAAGACTCACCTACAAGATAGACAGACAAGACTCACCCACTGAATAGACAGACAAGACTCACCTACAAGATAGACAAGACTCACCAACAAGATAGACAGACAAGACTCACCTACAAGATAGACAGACAAGACTCACCTACAAGATAGACAGACAAGACTCACCCACTGGGTAGACATAGACGCTGCTCTTGCGGATGGCTCGTGTTGTCCACCAGATAATGATACCAGAGACCAGATCCACAACAGAATCCACAAGGCTGGATATAATGGACAGAGAATTGGACATCCCTACCGCAACAGCTTTGGCAATCATAAGGGACTGGAGTGAAGAAATTTTTATTGGCAATCATAAGGAACTGAAGCAAAGACATTTTTATTGGCAATCATAAGGGACTGAAGCAAAGAAATTTTTATTGGCAATCATAAGGGACTGAAGCAAAGAAATTTTTATTGGCAATCATAAGAGACTGAAGCAAAGAAATTTTTATTGGCAATCATAAGGGACTGGAGCAAAGAAATTTTTATTGGCAATCATAAGGGACTGAAGCCAAGAAATTTTTATTGGCAATCATAAGGGACTGAAGCAAAGAAATGTTTAAATAACACCAACTGCAGTATGATTAATGCTAGAAACTGAACTGTACACCATAGTGTATTTAAGTCCATTTCAATAATGTTAACTAAACAGATACCAATTCAATAATGTTAACTAAACAGATATCAATACAATAATGTTAACTAAACAGACACCATTTCAAAAATGTTAACTAAACAGATACCAATGCAATAATGTTAACTAAACAGATACCAACCAAATTAACAAGCAAAGAAATCTGTGAGAGCCTTGTAACAATGGTACTGGATTCTGGAATGTTCCTGGAGAGCATGTCTAGTTTAGAGTCTGTGGCTATACTTTCATAAGCACTAATTAGTTTATCCTGCCTCTCATAGTACAGCCTGCAAGAAAAAGATTACATCATAAATGACTTTTGTTTTTTCTTCTGTTTTTTTTTTTTAAATAAAACAAATAGAAACTTCTTTAGCACTTATTTGTCACTTTTTAGAAATTTACTAAAAATACATTAATTTTCATTTTTGAAGCAACAAAGCAAATGGTACTTAATAAATAAATTATTGTGCTTCTTTTGTGTTGTTAATTGCATAAGCTAATTATTTTTAAAAAACTTGTCAAGCATGAAGATTCTCAGCACACTTCGCCAGAAAAACAGATTTTGACATAGTATGTTGAAAAGTAACTAGATAACAGTTTTAAAATGTTAAATAATATCTAAAAATTCTGTAGCAGAAAATAGCCTACTTGATCCCTTTAGGTAAGCTTTTGGTGTCCACTCCAATCTCATCTGTTTTTTTAGATGAGAATATGTGTAGTGGCATTTTCCAGTTGTAGTGTACAGTTGAATGGGTAGCTCCATCTGTACCTGGGGTGGAAAAACCCAATATTATAAGTACATCATTAAAAGACTTCACACACATAATAAAGTATTCAAATATTTACATGAGCCTTAGTGATGCATTTAATAATATCAATATGAGTTTGGGGTTTGACCAGATAAGAGTAAGTAAATAAATGTGAATCAACAGTTCCACTTACTGGAATCTCTTCCTTCTGATGGTAGGACTTCCATTATACGCACTTCATGTTTCATGTCTTTGGGGGAAAGGTTAGTGTAGGAATTGTGACATGAGCGTTTGGGAGATCGACCCAGCAAATCATCAACAGAATTTTCACCATGGATACTCAGTGGGTCATGTAAATCTTCAGACGGCGACAGCAAATGCTGTAGGAGTATTGTTACATGTTACTTTAGTAGATGTAAGAATTTTTGTATATTTAACATAGGTAGATGTTAAACTTTTTTTTTACATATGTTACATTAATAGATGAAAGAATTTTTAAATATGTTACATGAGTAGATGTATAAATATCTGACATAACAACATTGTCTGGTACACACCATTTCTGCCCCATCTGATTGAGCTTTTCTCATGCCATGGTGCTGGTCTCTGGCAGGGTCAATGACCGTCACTTCCACACCTGGTACGGCATCTCCATACATTCTTTATGTCCAGCTTTAGTTCATCTGTAAAGTGATGGTAGCTACCTTTCTGGGGAAAAAAATTGAAAAAGGTGGGTGTACTGATGCGTTTTTCCATTAACTGCGCATTAACCCATCAGTTTTTAATAATTTAATAGTTAGTTTTTATAATTTAGAAACTGAAAGACTTTTAACTTTTACTTTTTCTAAGTTTAAATTAACCAGTGTATTTTAAAGTTTCACCACTTTATGTTAGGCTTAGGTGTAGATCTAGATCTACTTACTTAAAGTTTTCAGCTAGAAATCTAGATCTAGATCTAGGTCTAAAATCTAGATCTGGTACCGCTAGCAGTCGAGCGGCCTCAAATGCTCCACACTCAGGCTAAACCCGGTACAAACTTAAACAATGTCATGTGACGTCACATGACCATTCCAAATTTAGATTGTACTTTTAAATGCTTAGCTAGCTACGATGACGCCGCATAGGCCTACAATACATGGACTTAATACTCGTTTTTGCGTTGTTAGTGTTCACACTCTTTTATAGATCAAGCTTGACTTAAATGTAAGAAAGTGAGCATTTATTTGCGAAAACACTTTTAAATAATAATCAATTAAAAGCTAGATCTAGATTTACCTTGACCTTAGTTTAAAAAGTAGAAGAACTGCTCTGGTTGCAAGACATCTATTTTAGTCTTCAGATTATAGCTGGAAAAGATCAATATTCTGCATTATCGATTATTGACTGCTGCTACCAGTGACGGATTCGTTCACTTCCCCGTTTGATTACCCGCCACAGCTTATTCATACATGTCTATTTTTAATTTTATTTTCTGGTATTTGGAGCTATGGAATTTTGTGCAAACAACAGCACAATTTGAGTTTTTGCACTACGCGTAAAATCTCTGGTGCGTAACTGCTAACAATGCGTTTACACTTGCGACATGTAGGCCTATAGCCTACTATTCAAGCCTTGAAAAAAAAAATTGCAATAAGTTGTATGCCCCCCCCCCCCCCCATATTATTGTTCTGATAAAATTAACTTATTAATTTTGTGGCGAATTTGTTTTTCTCTAGACTTGTATATAAGTTGCAAGCAGAGTTTCTTCCAGGCATCTCTTCTTGCGGGCTCCGCCCCCCCCCTCGAAGAACGACTACCGCCCCAGCCCCGAACGAAATGGAATTTATATAGAAAACATATATTTTTACCAGTGCCCCCCTCCACCGGGAAATGTTGTCCGCCCCCTCCCCCCTCCCGAAAATATCAAGCCTTCCCCCCCCCCCCGGGAGAAAAAAGTCTGGAAGAAACTCTGGTCGCAAGTGTAAACGCGTTAGACTGCATTCATAACATTACATGACGTCCTAGAGGAAGTATTGTAATCGTGAAAAAAAAACGAAATCAAGAATTTTACAAATCTCGAAGTTTTACACACAGTCGGAAACACTTTTTTTTTTTAATTTTGACTGTACTTCTGTGTGTCTGTCTGTGTATCTGTTAACACGATAACAAATTGTGTACCGCTTCATTTATGTTGACGAAGTTTCATATAGGTCCCTGGTACTATATCAAATTTGTAGTTCTGTAGTGACCCGAACATGCCCCATCCTCAGCATATTGATTGAGCTCTGGTTAATAAAGCTGACATTAAGATAAAACCGGAGACCCTGGCCTCAGACCGCAGCTACTTAACACATATAGCCCCCAACCCCACCCCGAGGCTTATGTGCTTTTTTGTGAAAAGATATTATTTATCCCAGTGAAGTTCGCTGACAAGGCATGTAGAGAAGGTCAAAAGTTCAAGAGGGTAAAGTGTCCAGTTTCCTTTAGGAAGCCATAATATCATGATAATATTATAAACTCTATGAGGACAATGATCTCGTATGGCGGATTTTAAAAATGTGGACAGTCAAGTAATTTGAGGGGGAGGCGGGGGAGAATGGGGTAAACACATGGTTACAAACTGGGAGATTAAGGAATGGAAGGACGTACATTGGCGACAAAAGTGGATTAAGATAGATTTTTAGAGACCTCCAAAGTTTATCTTTCACAGTGCTGAATGCTGTTCGTAAAGGGTTAGGAAGGGGATGAAAAAGGTATACGCAGACTATAAATGTTTTGATATCTATCAAGCCTTTGGTCCAGATGCGTAGCGAGGGGGGGGGGGGGGGGCGGACCGAACCGGGTAACACCATTTAGGGCTGTGACACCAAGGCAAAAAATAGCAAAATATATAGAGAAAAATGATAATTCCGCTTAATCGAAAGTTTGGGGTGCGGGGGGGGGGGGGGGGGGGGGGGGGGTGCAAATTGAAAATTGAAAGTTTGTCCCCGGGAAGGGTCGCTACGCCTCTGTGGGGTGACACCAGTAAGTGCCGCACCGGGTGACACCCGACCTCGCTACGTCGCCACTGCTTTGGTCGACTATATAGCCTAGGCTATTAATTAAGGAAGTAAAAAAAAAAAAGCGAACGATGAATGACTTCATATTTCTTAATAGCTCAAATAAACGGTAAATAGTTGTAGAGTATAGTTTATTTTATAATAGGTCTGAAATGTTGTTCATCTTGTAAGCCTAAGTATACACACAAAGGTACTGCATTATGACATATACATGAGGTGTGTCCATGAAGGATATTACACTCATGGTGGGAGAGGGTGTGCTAGCATTTTTGTGATGACCTGCGCCAAAGGGCTAAACATTGAATGATAAAAGCTGATTCGCATTTTTAGGACAGTTTACTTTTTGTAACTTGTAATCAAAATGCAACAGCTCTCTATTATTATCGTAGAAGAAATTGTTTAAATTTTTTTCAATGGCGATGGCGAGTTGACAGAAATGTGACATCATTTAAGAGAGAGAGGGGGGGGGGGGAAAGGAAGACGGGGGAGGGGAGTTGACTTTTTGTGACGGTGACGACAGGGTGGGGGTAAAGTTCGACAAAAATGTGTCGCCGATAATTTAAGATTCTTAGCAATCAGTTATTTTATAGCTAATTTTAGTTGTGTAAAATTAACAATTAAAAAGAGGGAGGGTATATATTGACGAAAATCGAAAATAGAAAAAAAAAGGGCCGGGGCCGGATTAAATTTTCGGGGAGGGAGGGCAGACGATGACACTAGACTGATGAAAGTAGCCTATATATTTTCTATATCAAATATTTCTCCCCAGAAGAGATGACTGAAAGAAACTCTGATGATGAGCTTTACCGGTCCGACCCCGCCTACGCCGCCCGCAAACCGAGTATCTAAATCTTTTGAACTAAAAAGGGTGCTAAGCGAATATAAGGAGCAAGCCCTCAGGACTCGATGACGTCAATTTCTTAAACTTTAATGCCACGATAAAGATACAACAGCGAGCATTAGCCACCACCATATTGAACAGAGTTTCTTCCATCGCTTCCAGGCGGAGCTACCCCAGAAGAAAGTCTACCGCCCCCGAACGAAATGGAATTTATATAGAAACCATACTTTTACCAGTGTCGATCCCCCCCCCCCCCGCCTAGAAAAAAGTCTGGAAAAAACACTGATATTGAAAATGAAATAACAAAAGTAGGCGCGTATGGGGGATGACGGGGGTCTACAATTCAGCTTTCTATGAGTACGTCATCATAAATAGATGACTCCTTACAGCGGCCTACTTCACCGGTGCCTCGCTTGTTATTTAAGCCTACACTTGAATCTATATCTTTGAGCCCCGTTTTGATGTGGTCTACAAACTCTTTGTGTTAATAACCATCGTACTAACATTTTGTATTGAATTAGGCTCTCGTAATGTTTTGAAACACAAAAATATGAACCGTTACTTTTGGTGTTTAGAGTAACCTACAGCACTTGTGTACATACTTTTCCATGATAGGCTACCATATTGCATTGGTAAAGTCCACAGTAGTCCACACTACGGGTAGATCTAGATCTAACACTCACAGGCCCAGGATCTAGATCTATAATTCATAGAAATGCCGACTCTTTCTGTAAAAAGAGACGAGCTGTTTCAAGCTATTGGTCAATCATACAGTAAGAAAATGGGCCTTTATTTTAAATTTAAAAATATAAGCTAGATCTAGATCTTCTAAATCTAAGTAAAAGTAAATGCCTCTAGAAAAGATTCTAGATCTAAATCGGAACTAAATCCAGTAGGGCCTAAATAAATGACATGTCACACTAAATGAAAAAATGATTAAGCAGTTGAGTTAGGCCTACAACCCTAACTGTAACTGTGTAAACTAATGCCTGTCTAACTAATAGTAGGCCTCTATTCTATAGTTAATATTAAATATTAAATAATAATGACTTAATAATGAGAAATGATAGGCCTACTCTAGTACTCTACTACACTACTACTACATAATTATTTAATTAAAATTTAAATGTAGTCCTAATCAGAAATATATATAGGGCCTATATTATTATATATATCATGTAGCTAGTCTCATAACGCGAGTTGAATTACCTCCCCTGACCCGCTTTTTTATGGCCACTTTCTAGTTCGTTTTTTTCGATCGCGTCTCGGCACTGTTGCTAAAAATAGCATTCGCGCAATACCATACGGGTAAATCTGTTTGGCGTCTGCTACACGTGATAGATCGTTGAATGGCCGACAAGCTGATATAAAAATTATTGCGACCGGATGCGATTTTCGTGGAAATTGAGCTAGATTTAGCAAAAGACAGCTATATTTGTGTAAAATATTATTATTTATACTTCTACTTACACAGATATTTTGATAACTGCAGTTCAGCCGTCCATTTTTCTTTTAAAATGTATCTTTAGAATTTCTGTACCTTTTGGCAATCGGTCAGTAGCATTTGCGCACTAAACCCACCCCCCTACGGCAGATCCGATTTTTTTCCCAGTGAACTCGTACTGACCTCCCACATAGCTAAGATAGTACATTGATACTGATGGGAAAGCCTCTAAATCTGTATTCCTACTAGAGATCTAGAAATAAATCTAGATCGTGGAGTTTTTATAATGACTTTTAAATTGAATGTCTCCAGTTTAAGATATTTTTTTTTCAAAACATAACTACTTTTAGTACTATATTTAAGTATTTCAAACCCTTTTGGTAGTTTTTTCTTAAACTTAGACCTAAATCTAGTGATTAGATATCTATATTTTGTACTTATAACTTGCAGGCCTATTAAAATAATAATAAAACAGTTTGCTTGATAACTTCATTAGGTCATTTCATAAACACAAATGTTATAAACATATAAAAATCACAAAACCATAGGTAATATCTGAATTCTGTAGCCTACCTTACATTTAGGCTAATACTGAATTAAAAAGAAATTACATTAAGATTTGAAATTAATACAACTTGTAATTAAGAAAGAAAGCTTCAATTCTAACTAAATACTACAAGATATAATAACAAACAATGAAACAAATCCAAAGCTTTTTTCAACCCATTTAGTCGAAAAGATTTTTATTTTTTCCGATATTGACCAAAATAAGTTTTTAAAGCTTAGGCCTACTGTTTTTACAAACATAACTCAATTTTATTAGGCCCCTGTAAACATTAATTAAGATTCCTCTGTAGACAAAGCAATCTATTTGGCAGATGAAGTAGAGTTCATGTTTCTTGACCTCGGCATATGAAGTGATTGTCCGTGTGGTTAGCGATATTCACAGCCGCCTTTACTTTTTACCTTTAATTTCCCCAATGTATATCAGGTACCCATCAGAAATGGGTGGACTCTAATTGAATTTTATTAAACAAACATTTTGATATAGGCCTAGATCTATAATCTATAACATTCCAAACAACATCTGTTCTGTAGAATTTACCTTTCTGCTTCCAAATGCAGTATTTTCCAATTGAAAATTCATCACAAAACATACAATAAATTAAATAAATGGCATTTTATAAATTTATATAAACTATTTACTTTCACCTTGGTGTAAAAAAATGTAGGTATAAGCAAACTGATTTCAATAGTAAGAAAGAATCATGTCTTTTCTTGCTTACTAGCTTTAAAACAAGTGAATTTGACTTTTTACCTGCGTTTTTGGTCGCGTTTCTATATATTTTATTTGCGACACTAAAAAAATTATATTTAATCAACCAATTATGCTAAATTAATAAAATTGGTACTGTTGGATAGCATTTTTAAAGCTCTACAATTATATGCTATTTTTTTTATAATTTGAAGAAAATTGAATTTATATGAGACTAACTATATCATGTCATCAGACATCAGTAATCAAAATTTCGAAAATAATCATAGTAATCATATAATCAATCATCTAGTTATTCCGTGAGGTGACTGACAGTCGACAGAGACGAGATTTTTTTTCCCATCGACAAGAAAATAAGAGCAGGCGATCATAGGAGCATCAATGTTAACTTGTAACAGGCCCTATTAAGATTGTTTTTAGTTTAGTTTATAATTTTTTTTTTGTCGCACATGTGGTGAAAAGCATGAAACAAAATAAAATAGCAAGCAAATTGTGTCTCCCTATTTCGCAGTTATGTTGTGCATTTTCTTCTCGCAATTTTACCAACACCCCTTGACCAAGCGGCAGGCTTGTTGCATCGAGTTAAATATAAACTCAAAACAATAATATAGGATAGGCCTATTTGCCCTAATCAATTTATTTAAATAGGTCATGCCACATTCTAGACACGCATAGTGTTGTGTGACAAATTGTAAGTCAAATTTACTAACAAAAATACATTGAAAGAAAAATGACATTCTCAGTAAATAAAGAACTGAGTAAAATTATCTGAGAAATAAAATTTTTTATAAGTTAATCAAAAACAAACTTAGAAGTTAAGAAGTTAACTGCATCCGTTTACACATTATTAGTATTGAAGTTTTAAAATAATTTTGTTAGGCCTATAGCCCATGTGTGTAGCCTGTGATGTTATATTTTTATACTTAATTTTAAAAAACAAATCATTGAACTATTTAATAATGGTCTTGTTAAAATACAGTTTTTGTTTTTCTTAAATACAGCTGATGAGGAGTTTGATGAAGTGTGCTTTCAGTATGGGCTGGAACTTGATGAAGTGGTGAGATCTAAATTTAAAATACACTTTTGCAAAATCTACTTTTCATCTGAAAATAAATGTCCTAGTAAATATGTGATTATTGCATTAAGTAAAAGTACTAATAAGTGAATTAGTTTTCCTTTGAGTGGTAGTGGTAGATTGTACTGTATGTATATCTGAGACTTGGCTATCTTTGTTATGGGCTTTAGCTTTCTGGTTTGTTGTGTACAAATTATAGTAGATAAATAATTGCTTCTGTGTAATTTTAATGTGCAGACATCAGAAAAAGAGCAGATAGAAAGAGAGAAGGGTGTTGGTAAAGCTGTTGGTGCTTCTGAAGCTGTGGAATACAAGATAGAAATTCCAGCAAATAGGTTAGGGAAAATCTTTAATTGTTTTCTAAAGCATGTATTATGTAGTTTTTTGTTTTTGTTAATTAAATTTGTGTATGATTTTTAGGTCTAAAGTTAAAACTTGAATGTTTTAATGTCTGTCTGAGTATAAACATTTTTTTTCACATTTCATTTATTCAATTCTTGTTTTTAAAAACAATCTTGTGTTACAGATATGATCTGCTGTGTCTAGAAGGACTGGTGAGGTGTTTGCGTGTGTTTTTAGGAAAGTAAGTAACTGTTTATAAGCTCTACACACAAGCTCTGTAGTTAAAACAACAAATATTAAATAGTTTTTGAGGTAATTTTTTTATACAAAGTTTGTGAACATTTGTATTGCCTCAAATGTATGAACAACATTTGTATTGCCTCAAATGTATGAACTTGCTTGTATTTAAACAGAGAAAAAGCCCCTCAGTACAAGGTTGTGAGACCAGATGGAGATAAGATACAAAGGCTGGTTATTCAGAGCTCAGTAAGTTGGTCTAACTAAATATAACCTGGAGTATTAACTATAAGAATGTCCCAACATTGTTATTAGCTCATTATGTTTTTTATTAAATTCTTGTTATGTCACTTCTTTTTGACAGACAGCTCAAGTTCGTCCCCATTGTGTGTCTGCTGTACTTAGGAATATCAAATTTAATGAAGTATGTTTATTTTAAAATCTTATTTACTACCAAATTTAATTAAATGTGTATTTGAAATCTTAAATTAATTAACTATGGCTGGAATTTGTTAAGTAATTTATGCCAACCTGTTTATTATCAACACAGCGTCTCCTAGTAAAGGGACTCAATAATGTAAAAAAAAAATACAGCACTTTGCATTAAATATCTACTGGAAAATAAACAATGACAAAATGTTTAATCTAATACAACACTCCCCACTTCTTTCAAAATCCCCTCAAAATACATTGTCTGAAAAATTCGAAATAGCTACATTGTTAAAAATAACTTTAGAATTGAACTGTACTTAGACACCATTATGTGCAATAGAGGAAACCACTTCCTTCATGTCATGTTGATACTAGCAACCAAGAGAAGATTCTGATCTTAAGAACTGACTTAGTTTAACCCTGAGTATCAATGGTGGATATGAGGCAGACAAGAAACATATTTAGTTATTTGAGCATATTGTTTTATTTATTTTATTTTTAGGCTCGTTATAACAGTTTCATAGACCTTCAAGATAAACTACACCAGAATGTTTGCAGGTGAGATGATATAAATGGCTAAAGGACTTTCCACAGACTTATGTTGTGGGTTAAGTTTTTTTATTTTGTTAGATAATTAAGTTTAACCATTTGAACTGACTTATGGAATTTTGTTATCTCTACTAGAAAGAGGACATTGGTTGCCATAGGAACACATGATCTGGACTCACTGCAAGGACCATTCAGTTATGAGGCTCTTCCACCAAAGGAGATTAAATTTAAGCCACTGAACCAAACACAAGAGTACACAGCAGAGGAGTTGATGGACTTGTATTCTGTGAGTTAGTGCTCCAGATATTTACTGAGTTGTTGGCCTTGTACTCTGTTAGTGCTTCAGATATTTACTGAGTTGTTGGCCTTGTATTCTGTGAGTTAGTGCTTCAGATATTTACTGAGTTGTTGGCCTTGTATTCTGTAAGTTAGTGCTTCAGATATTTATTGAGTTGTTGGCCTTGTATTCTGTTAATGCTTCAGATATTTACTGAGTTGTTGGTCTTGTAATCTTTGAGTGCTTCAGATATTTGCTGAGTTGTTGGCCTTGTGTTCTGTGAGTTAGAAATTGACATGTAATACTTAGTTGTGTTGGAGGACATCCGGTCCAACTTTACAATTAAAATCAAAGAAGAAGAAAGTCTGAATTCTGAAAAAATAATGGAATTGGTATTACTTTTCTCTTAATGAATTTTTTTATCTAAGACTTTTTTTTTTTATTATTACAATACTTCAGTGTTATAACTTGTTAGAATAATTGTATCCTCTTGTTTGAAGCCATATCTTTATATCCACTTATTTCACAGGGTGAAAGCCATTTGAAGCCATATCTTTATATCTCTTTATTTCACAGGGTGAAAGCCATTTGAAGCCATATCTGCCAATCATCAAGGACAAACCTGTGTACCCAGTGATCTATGATAAAAACAGGGTTCTCTTGTCCATGCCCCCCATCATTAATGGTACATTTTCTTTGTTGGTCTTTCTAGTTTTAATTAAAATTCTAAATGGTACATTTTCTTTGTTGGTCTTTCTAGTTTAATTAGAATTCTGAATGTTACATTATCTTATTGGTGTTTCTAATTTTATTTATAATTTTTGAGTGGTGTAAAAAAATATCTACTAGTTAACTAGTACTGAAACTGCTGGGTGCCCAACTTCTATCAACTTGTACCAAAGATTTGTTTATGCTAGTAGCACCATCCAGACAGTGTTAAACAAAATTAATTATGTTACTGTATTCAACTGTATTGTCCAAGTGACCTTTTGATTATGTATGACAGGTGAACACTCCAAGATTACTCTAGACACAAAAAACATCTTCATTGAGTGCACAGCAACAGACTTAACCAAAGCCAAGCTTGTACTTGACATGATGGTCACAATGTTCTCAGTTTACTGCGAGCAGCCTTTTGTGTAAGTCCAGCAGTATTGTTAGTCCAGATTTATCTGTAGTGTTAGTCCTGATTTGAAACTGTGTTGTTAAGCCAGATTTAACTGTGATGTTAGTCCCAATTTTAAACTGTTATTAGCCCAGATATAAGTGTCGTGTTAGTCCCAATTTTAAACTGTGTTGTTAGGCCAGATTTAAGTGTAATGTTAGTCCCAATTTTAAACTGTGTTGTTAGGCCAGATTTAAGTGTAATGTTAGTCCCAATTTTAAACTGTTATTAGCCCCTATTTATTTGTAGTGTTAGTCCAATTTGTATCTGTAATGTTAGTCCAGATTTATCTGTAGTGTTAGTCCTAATTTGAAACTGTAGGCAGAAGTGTAATGAAAGTTGAAAATTAGTGCCACTTTTTTTCTGTAAATTTGAACTTTCTGAAATGTGGACTGTAGAATTGAGTTAGGGAAAATTGTATTGAATGTTGCTCCACTTTTTGGTCTATTCAGACATTTTTTTTCTTACAGTGTTGAAGCTGTGGAAGTAGTCCAGCCTAATGGCACAGTTTGTGTTTATCCAGTGAGTCGTTGACCCTATTCCTTTTTGTTTTGAGATTTACAACTGGACAGTACTTTAAAATTATTGCCCACCAAAATTGTTTTAAAGCTAGTTTTTGTGTGGAGAATTGGACAGGAACCTCAGCATTACTTGTCTAGAGAACTTACATTATTATTTGTTTAGATGGGCTTGCTTAAAGCAGATGTACTTATTTCTACGCAACAAAATAAACATTAAAAATATTTAACCACCTCTCCACTCCAGGAACTGCCCTACAGAACAGAGACTGTGAATGTTGGCCGTATTTCTAAACAAGTTGGTGCGGAGTAAGTTTCTTTGTGCCACTCACTTCAGAGTCTGTTTGTTGTAGTGCCACCAACTTCAGAGTGTGTTTGTTGTAGTGCCACCAACTTCAGAGTGTGTTTGTTGTAGTGCCACCAACTTCAGAGTGTGTTTGTTGTAGTGCCACCAACTTCAGAGTGTGTTTGTTGTAGTGCCACCAACTTCAGAGTTTAATTGTTGTAAAACTATTTGTCAGGCTAATTTTCCACCAACCAAATGGCCAAATATTAATGTTGGTTACCTATCTAATCACCAGTCCAGTTTATTTACTCTCTGTTGTTAACCATCATACAAAAAACATTTTCCTGTGTGTTGTTTATTTTACAAAACCATTTCCAGGATAGATGCAGCAACAATGGCCAGGCTGCTGACTAAGATGTGTCTGGAGAGTGAAGTTCTACCAGGTGGGGACACACTCAAGGTTGTCATCCCACCCACAAGGGCAGATATCCTTACACTACTCACTGTTTTCTCACAACTGTAACTCTCTAGAAGAGGAATCATTTTTAACTATTGAGTGAATTGTTTATTATTATAGAAAAGGATATTTGAGTTTTTAAGTTTACAATTAATATATCATTTTAATAACATTGGTTGAGCTAATTACTAGTCCTGTGAGTAGACTAATTAACTAGATAGGATTCCTTAACGAAGCTCACATATCCTACATGAGTGTGACATCATGGAAGATGTAGCCATGGGGTATGGTTTTAACAACATCAAGAAAACTTTTCCAGATACCAACTGTATAGCCCAGCAGGTGAGTCTATACCAACTGTATAGCCCAAAAGGTGATCATTTTTACATTTTATTTCCCCTTTTCCCTATCATTAAGTGACTTACTGATGTGTGATATTTTTTCCCCAGTACCCTATCAACAAATTAAGTGACTTATTGCGGAGAGATGTTGCAGCTTGTGGCTTCACTGAGGTTCTGACTTTTGCCTTGGTAAGTCTGTGATTAGAGTAACCTCCCATTGGAGCCTGGGTGAGATGGGGGGGGGGGTTGCCAGTTTGTGTGCAGCTGAGTTCATGAGATCCTATAAAGAAATGATTGCTATAAAAGATGTGTTAACATGTTGTCTTGTTTAACCTTTGTCAATTCTGTACCTCAGTGTTCCAAGTCAGACATTGCAGACAAGTTAGGTAAAAAAATTGAAGACTTGAATGCTGTTCATATATCAAATCCAAAAACTGCAGAGTTTCAGGTACCTTGTACACCTTTACATTACCTTGAAGAATTAATCTGTTATTGTCAGGTAGTGCCATGTTTTAGAGCTAGTTTATTTACTAGCACATTTAACCCTCATGACTCATCCACAGGTGGCCAGAACAACTTTACTTCCAGGCATTCTAAAAACTGTTTTCCACAACAAGGGGATTCCCCTTCCTCTTAGGCTGTTTGAAATATCTGATGTGATCTATCAGGATCCATCTAAAGGTTGGTCTGGCCAATTTTATTTCACGGGGTGCCGTGGGAATATTAGGGAGAAGTTTATTTATAGATGAGTTAACTTGTACAGTATATGGGTCATGTGTCACAGCAAGTAAACAAGTTTAGTTTTGAATTATCTAAAATCTTTCACTTATTTGCTGTTGAAGGCTTGTTTGCTTGTGACATTGGAATACATAGATAGGCAGAAGTGTGGAAAGAGATGTTAAGCTCCACAGTGGGGTGGGCTTACACATACAATCACAAACACACCAACTGTAGTACAAAAAGTTGACCTGTAGATTTAAACATATCAAGGTAGAACAAATAGAATTTAAAATTTTTAGACCAAGCTTTTGAAATGGAGCTTTCATCTTGGCTAACCAACAGCATCTGCTAGTTTCAGTTATTAAAACTTGGTTTCCCTTGTTTTGACAGCTTGTGATATTTTTTTATTAAGAATTAGTTTACTGAAAGTTTATAAAGATTCTATGATAATGTAGGCTAAACTAGGTATAAGAGCTAAGTTTCATCCATATTCTTTTTTTTTCTTTTTAAATGTGATACCAAGAAAACAATTTTTGCTTATAGGTTTTCTTACAAAAGAAATCAAATTCCTGGGGTTTAATAAAAATATTTTTTTCCTGGATGATGTCCCCTAGATGTTGGAGCTAGGAATGAGAGGAGACTTTGTGCCATCAACTACAACAGATCTTCAGACTTTGAGGTCATTCATGGGCTCTTGGACAGGGTCATGCAGTTGCTGCAAGTTCCATTTGGTGGTGCTGGAGGTTATACGCTAGAGGCTGGAGATGGTAGGTCAAGACACCTGTGTGTTGTTTTGTCTTGTACATTTAGGTCCAGACATCAGACACCTGTGTGTTGTTTTGTCTTGTACATTTAGGTCAAGACACCTGTGTGTTGTTTGTCTTGTACATTTAGGTCCAGTCACCTGTGTGTTGTTTTGTCTTGTACATTTAGGTCAAGACACCTGTGTGTTGTTTGTCTTGTACATTTAGGTCCAGTCACCTGTGTGTTGTTTGTCTTGTACATTTAGGTCCAGTCACCTGTGTGTTGTTTTGTCTTGTACATTTAGGTCCAGTGTTGTTTTGTCTTGTACATTTAGGTCCAGACACCTGTGTGTTGTTTTGTCTTGTACATTTAGGTCAAGACACCTGTGTGTTGTTTGTCTTGTACATTTAGGTCAAGTCACCTGTGTGTTGTTTGTCTTGTACATTTAGGTCCAGTCACCTGTGTGTTGTTTGTCTTGTACATTTAGGTCCAGTCACCTGTGTGTTGTTTTGTCTTGTACATTTAGGTCCAGACACCTGTCTTCTACATTTAGGTCAAGACACCTGTGTGTTGTTTTGTCTTGTACATTTAGGTCAAGACACCTGTGTGTTGTTTGTCTTGTACATTTAGGTCAAGACACCTGTGTGTTGTTTGTCTTGTACATTTAGGTCCAGTCACCTGTGTGTTGTTTGTCTTGTACATTTAGGTCCAGTCACCTGTGTGTTGTTTGTCTTGTACATTTAGGTCAAGACACCTGTGTGTTGTTTTGTCTTGTACATTTAGGTCCAGTCAACTGTGTGTTGTTTGTCTTGTACATTTAGGTCCAGTCACCTGTGTGTTGTTTGTCTTGTACATTTAGGTCAAGACACCTGTGTGTTGTTTGTCTTGTACATTTAGGTCCAGTCACCTGTGTGTTGTTTGTCTTGTACATTTAGGTCCAGTCACCTGTGTGTTGTTTTGTCTTGTACATTTAGGTCCAGTGTTGTTTTGTCTTGTACATTTAGGTCCAGTCACCTGTGTGTTGTTTGTCTTGTACATTTAGGTCCTGACACCTGTGTGTTGTTTTGTCTTGTACATTTAGGTCCAGTCACCAGACACCTGTGTGTTGTTTGTCTTGTACATTTAGGTCCAGTCACCTGTGTGTTGTTTGTCTTGTACATTTAGGTCCAGTCACCTGTGTGTTGTTTTGTCTTGTACATTTAGGTCCAGTCACCTGTGTGTTGTTTGTCTTGTACATTTAGGTCCAGTCACCTGTGTGTTGTTTTGTCTTGTACATTTTGGTCAAGACACCTGTGTGTTGTTTGTCTTGTACATTTAGGTCCAGTCACCAGTCACCTGTGTGTTGTCTTGTATATTTAGGTCAAGACACCTGTGTGTTGTCTTGTCTTGTACACCTGTGTATTGTCTTGTACATTTGAGTGAGTGCTATAAACAACCTTTGTTTAACCCTCCCATCCACAGTGTTGCTTGTCTTGTACATTTCAGTGAGTGCTATAAACAACCTTTGTTTAACCCTCCCATCCACAGACCCAACTTTCTTCCCTGGCCGATGTGCCAAGATAGTAGCCAGAGGTCAAGTGATTGGCACCCTGGGTGTGTTACACCCTGAGGTCATCACCAAGTTTGACCTGAACATGCCGTGTGCTGCCATGGAGATCTCCATAGAACCTTTCTTATAACGTGTTGTGTGTGATCTGTGTAATCTTCCCTACACTGTCTGGGCTATGTGTGCTACTGATGTAAGGGACAGTATAACTGGATATGGAATGTTTTAATATGTTTTATTTGCCTGTGTTAAACATTCTGCTTAATTATAGAAGAAATGTTTCAATTGCTACATGGAATAACTTTCAAAAGTTATTTGTTTTATTTTCTGCGTATGAAACAATGATCTTAAGTGATCAGGTTATGCAAATTTCTGTTGTTACCATTAATTATTGGTCACTATCATGAGGCTGTTCTAATCCCACTTTTCCACTTGACCCTTACCTTAATCCTAACACTCCCCCTGTATTAGAAAGCCTTTGTGTAAGCTATGCTTGTGTAATGTAGAAGGAAATATGGGATCAAGGAATTACTTTAGGAAAGAAATCTAGACAACGTTCACTTTGTTTTTTTACCCTGTGTAAATGAGATTTTGAAACTTACGTTGAGAATCCTTGGTTTGTTATGTCAACATGAAATAAGATATCTTTGTTAGGTGACTAGTGTTTATGATGATCCCAGTTAATATCAATAAAAACAAATTTAAATGTCAAATTTTTAGATTGATTGTCATGTTGTAAGCCTCTCAAGTCAAAAACTAGTGTATGAAGTTTTGTGTGATGACAAGCACTTTTCTATTGTAGTTAACAAAACATTTGATTCTGTTTATTTATCTTTACATGCAGCTTGTATGACTTGTATTAATCCAATAAATCTATTCAACAAACTAAAAAAAAACCCTAGTTGACCAGGTGGTATTTTGTTGACCAAACCCTAGTTGACCAGGTGGTATTTTGTTGACCAAACCCTAGCTGACCAGGTGGTATTTTGTTGACCAAACACTAGCTGACCAGGTGGTATTTTGTTGACCAAACCCTAGCTGACCAGGTGGTATTTTGTTGATCAAACCCTAGCTGACCAGGTGGTATTTTGTTGACCAAACCCTAGCTGACCAGGTGGTATTTTGTTGACCAAACCCTAGCTGACCTGTGGTATTTTGTTGACCAAACCCTAGCTGACCTGTGGTATTTTGTTGACCAAACCCTACACTATTGTACTGTATTACTTAAGGTCCACTCATCAGGCAACCCTAAGGCCCAGGAAGGAGTTTGTTGACTAACATAAATAGAAAGGGTTTTAAAAGCCACATGAAAATGGTCTACAACCAGAAGCCACCTGACACCTGTTCAATGTTTGTGGTGGTATTTGGGATGATAGAATTTTAATTACATGTTCAATGTTTGTGGTGGTATTTGGGATGATAGAATTTTAATTACATGTTCAATGTTTGTGGTGGTATTTGGGATGATAGAATTTTAATTACATGTTCAATGTTTGTGGTGGTATTTGGGATGATAGAATTTTAATTACATGTTCAATGTTTGTGGTGGTGTTTGGGATGATAGAATTACATGTTCAATGTTTGTGGTGGTGTTTGGGATGATAGAATTACATGTTCAATGTTTGTGGTGGTGTTTGGGATGATAGAATTACATGTTCAATGTTTGTGGTGGTGTTTGGGATGATGGAATCAGAATTACAGATTTGAAAACAATGATAGTATTTAGACAGTATTTATAGCTCCTGTTCTGGTTGTGTCCAGCACGCAACTTGCCAACTTTCGGTTCTTATACACAATTAAACAGTTCACAAAATTAACACAGCTCACAATATTAACACAACACAGCTCACAGTATCAACACAACACAGCTCACAGTATTAACACACAACACAGCTCACAATATTAACACAACACAGTATTAACACAGCTCACAATATTAACACAACACAGCTCACAATATTAACACAGCACAGCTCACAGTATCAACACAACACAGCTCACAATATTAACACAACACAGCTCACAGTATTAACACAACACAGCTCACAGTATCAACACAACACAGCTCACAGTATTAACACACAACACAGCTCACAGTATTAACACACAACACAGCTCACAGTATTAACACACAACACAGCTCACAGTATTAACACACAACACATCTCACAATATTAACACAACACAGCTCACAGTATCAACACAACACAGCTCACAGTATTAACACAACACAGTATTAACACAGCTCACAGTATTAACACAACACAGCTCACAGTATTAACACAGCTCACAGTATCAACACAACACAGCTCACAGTATTAACACAACACAGCTCACAGTATTAACACAACACAGCTCACAGTATCAACACAGCTCACAGTATTAACACAACACAGCTCACAGTATTAACACAACACAGCTCACAGTATTAACACAACACAGCTCACAGTATTAACACAGCTCACAATATTAACACAACACAGCTCACAATATTAACACAACACAGCTCACAGTATTAACACAACACAGCTCACAGTATCAACACAACACAGCTCACAGTATTAACACAACACAGCTCACAATATCAACACAACACAGCTCACAGTATTAACACAACACAGCTCACAGTATTAACACAACACAGCTCACAGTATTAACACAGCTCACAGTATCAACACAACACAGCTCACAATATTAACACAGCTCACAGTATCAACACAACACAGCTCACAATATTAACACAGCTCACAGTATCAACACAACACAGCTCACAGTATTAACACAACACAGCTCACAATATTAACACTACACAGTATTAACACAGCTCACAGTATTAACACAACACAGCTCACAGTATTAACACACAACACAGCTCACAATATTAATACAGCTCACAATATTAACACATTACAGCTCACAGTATTAACACAACACAGCTCACAATATTAACACATTACAGCTCACAGTATTAACACAACACAGCTCACAGTATTAACACAACACAGCTCACAATATTAACACAACACAGCTCACAGTATTAACACAACACAGCTCACAGTATTAACACAACACAGCTCACAGTATTAACACAACACAGCTCACAGTATTAACACAACACAGTATTAACACAGCTCACAGTATTAACACACAACACAGCTCACAATATTAACACACAACACAGCTCACAATATTAACACAACACAGCTCACAATATTAACACAACACAGCTCACAGTATTAACACACAACACAGCTCACAATATTAACACAACACAGCTCACAGTATTAACACAACACAGCTCACAGTATCAACACAGCTCACAGTATCAACACAACACAGCTCACAGTATTAACACAACACAGCTCACAGTATTAACACACAACACAGCTCACAGTATCAACACAACACAGCTCACAGTATTAACACAACACAGCTCACAGTATTAACACAACACAGCTCACAGTATTAATACAACACAGCTCACAGTATTAATACAACACAGCTCACAGTATTAACACACAACACAGCTCACAGTATTAACACAACACAGCTCACAGTATTAACACACAACACAGCTCACAATATTAACACAACACAGCTCACAGTATTAACACACAACACAGCTCACAATATTAACACAACACAGCTCACAGTATTAACACACAACACAGCTCACAATATTAACACAACACAGCTCACAATATTAACACAACACAGCTCACAGTATTAACACACAACACAGCTCACAGTATTAACACACAACACAGCTCACAGTATTAACACAACACAGCTCACAGTATTAACACAACACAGCTCACAATATTAACACAACACAGCTCACAATATTAACACAACACAGCTCACAGTATTAACACACAACACAGCTCACAGTATTAACACACAACACAGCTCACAATATTAACACAACACAGCTCACAGTATTAACACACAACACAGCTCACAATATTAACACAACACAGCTCACAATATTAACACAACACAGCTCACAGTATTAACACAACACAGCTCACAATATTAACACAACACAGCTCACAGTATTAACACACAACACAGCTCACAATATTAACACACAACACAGCTCACAATATTAACACACAACACAGCTCACAATATTAACACAACACAGCTTACAGTATTAACACAACACAGCTCACAGTATTAACACAACACAGCTCACAGTATTAACACAACACAGCTCACAATATTAACACAACACAGTATTAACACAGCTCACAGTATTAACACAACACAGCGCACAGTATTAACACAACACAGCTCACTATATTAACACACAACACAGCTCACAATATTAACACACAACACAGCTCACAGTATTAACACACAACACAGCTCACAGTATTAATACACAACACAGCTCACAATATTAACACAACACAGCTCACAATATCAACACAAACAGCTCACAATATTAACACAACACAGCTCACAGTATTAACACAACACAGCTCACAGTATTAACACAACACAGCTCACAGTATTAACACAACACAGCTCACAGTATTAACACACAACACAGCTCACAATATTAACACACAACACAGCTCACAATATTAACACACAACACAGCTCACAATATTAACACAACACAGCTTACAGTATTAACACAACACAGCTCACAGTATTAACACAACACAGCTCACAATATTAACACAACACAGCTCACAGTATTAACACACAACACAGCTCACAGTATTAACACAGCTCACAGTATTAACACAACACAGCTCACAGTATTAACACAACACAGCTCACAGTATTAACACAACACAGCTCACAGTATTAACACAACACAGCTCACAGTATTAACACAACACAGCTCACAGTATTAACACACAACACAGCTCACAATATTAACACAACACAGCTCACAGTATTAACACAACACAGCTCACAGTATTAACACAACACAGCTCACAGTATTAACACAACACAGCTCACAGTATTAACACAACACAGCTCACAGTATTAACACAACACAGCTCACAGTATTAACACACAACACAGCTCACAGTATTAACACAACACAGCTCACAGTATTAACACAACACAGCTCACAGTATTAACACAACACAGCTCACAGTATTAACACAACACAGCTCACAGTATTAACACAACACAGCTCACAGTATTAACACAACACAGCTCACAATATTAACACAACACAGCTCACAGTATTAACACACAACACAGCTCACAATATTAACACAACACAGCTCACAGTATTAACACAACACAGCTCACAGTATTAACACAACACAGCTCACAGTATTAACACAACACAGCTCACAGTATTAACACACAACACAGCTCACAATATTAACACACAACACAGCTCACAATATTAACACACAACACAGCTCACAATATTAACACAACACAGCTTACAGTATTAACACAACACAGCTCACAGTATTAACACAACACAGCTCACAATATTAACACAACACAGCTCACAATATTAACACAACACAGTATTAACACAGCTCACAGTATTAACACAACACAGCTCACAGTATTAACACAACACAGCTCACAGTATTAACACAACACAGCTCACAATATTAACACAGCTCACAATATTAACACACAACACAGCTCACAGTATTAACACAACACAGCTCACAGTATTAACACAACACAGCTCACAATATTAACACACAACACAGCTCACAATATTAACACAACACAGCTTACAGTATTAACACAACACAGCTCACAGTATTAACACAACACAGCTCACAATATTAACACAACACAGCTCACAGTATTAACACAACACAGCTCACAGTATTAACACACAACACAGCTCACAGTATTAACACAACACAGCTCATAGTATTAACACACAACACAGCTCACAGTATTAACACAACACAGCTCACAGTATTAACACAACACAGCTCACAGTATTAACACAACACAGCTCACAATATTAACACAACGCAGCTCACAGTATTAACACAACACAGCTCACAGTATTAACACAACACAGCTCACAATATTAACACAACACAGTATTAACACAGCTCACAGTATTAACACAGCTCACAATATTAACACATTACAGCTCACAGTATCAACACAACACAGCTCACAATATTAACACAACACAGCTCACAGTATTAACACACTGCACACAATAGACACATTTCACACAACTTTATTAACACAGTTCACACAATATGAAAACAGTTCAACTCAATTTCTCTTGTCATTAAAATCATATGATCGTGAACTCTTTATTAATAAAAAAAACAAAAAACAACCAATGTTTTTAAATAAGAAATATTAGAAACCTAGGAAGTTTATTTCTAAATGAGAAAATCATGACAGACAGACATCAATTAAATAGTTTTCACGTTTGCTGATGTGAGTTCAAATTCTTTTAAAATATTGCACCAGCTCGCCATTGGATGAATTTGTTACCTACAAAAGTAAATGAAAGAATAAATTAGCTTCACAAAGTAGTTAATGATTTAACCTATGGATAAATTTGTTACCTACAAAAGTAAATGAAAGAATAAATTAGCTTCACAAAGTAGTTAATGATTTAACCTATGGATAAATTTGTTACCTACAAAAGTAAATGAAAGAATAAATTAGCTTCACATAGTTAATGAATTAACCTATGGATAAATTTGTTACCAACAAAAGTAAATGAAAGAATAAATTAGCTTCACAAAGTAGTTAATGAATTAACCTATGGATAAATTTGTTACCAACAAAAGTAAATGAAAGAATAAATTAGCTTCACAAAGCAGCTAGTCCATGAATTAACCCAGTTGAAGTTCATTGTCAGTAAAATGCATCGCGCTGGTCTGAACAATTATAGCTTTTAAAGTCTTAATGTTAGATGCAGCCTAAATACGAGAGAGGATCACCTTCACATACATCTATTGAAATGTTGGCCTTTTTATAGACCAGTCGAGTTTGGTTCAACACAAAGCAGAGGTCTAATACAGCAGTGGGTGTTAAAAGGGGCAAAGTTTTTTTAATCACAAGTGAAGCTGACTCAAACTACGGGACTGACGGTGCTCATTGGAGTGGAGCGCATGTAGCAAGTGAAGCGTGGATATCAGGTGTTGATCTGTAGGAAACGCCAGGTAATAAAGTGCGAAAAATGTGTGTGTGTGTGGGGCGGGGGGGGGGGGGGTAGAAAGACTGGCGTTGTTAGACTTAAAATGTGTGTTTGTGGGAGGGGTTGACAGGTGATAATCGGTCATGCAGAATGTACTCTGTCCTCATAATATTGACACATAGATATCGCTATTGCCAATGTCTGCATACAACTGTGTGAACTCACCTGACTAAAGCATCCATACATTATCAAAAGCATAAAGCATCTAATAACTACTTCTACACCAAAACATATAGGCTACTCAACAACCAAAGGAAATAAAGCACACTAAAACTACCATTGAGAAAAATTCCCACGAAATAAAAAAAAAACAACGTTAAAGTAACTATACAAAAACATCTGCACATCGCATCCACCCTAAAACACCAGCACACCACCACACATTGAATCCACCCTAGAACACTAACATCATCCACACATTGAATCCACCCTAGAACACCAACACACCATCCACCCTAGAACACCAACACACCATCCACCCTAGAACACCAACACACCATCCACCCTAGAACACCAACACACCATCCACCCTAGAACACCAACACACCATCCACCCTAGAACACCAACACACCATCCACCCTAGAACACCAACACACCATCCACTCTAGAACACCAACACACCATCCACCCTAGAACACCAACACACCATCCACCCTAGAACACTAACACACCATCCACCCTAGAACACTAACACACCATCCACCCTAGAACACTAACACACCATCCACCCTAGAACACCAACACACCATCCACCCTAGAACACCAACACACCATCCACCCTAGAACACTAACACACCATCCACTCTAGAACACCAACACACCATCCACCCTAGAACACCAACACACCATCCACCCTAGAACACTAACACACCATCCACCCTAGAACACTAACACACCATCCACCCTAGAACACTAACACATCATCCACCCTAGAACACCAACACACAGCCACACATCGCATCCACCATAGAACACCACCACACCACCACACATCACATCCACCCTAAAACACCAACACACCACCCACACATCTTACACTTACAGATTTCATTTCACCGTTGATAATCTCCTTGACGCTGTCCATCTGTACACCGTGTAGGCAGACACTTTCTTTGATCTTGTCGCCATCCACGCTCACTTTGGCCTGGGGGTGGAGCAGACAAAATGTGAGGTGGGGTTAACATAGACAAAATGTTGGCTGGGTTTAACAAAGACAAAATGTGAGGCGGAAATGTGCGTTTAACATGTGTCTATAAGTATAATACATGGCAGGCTCGTACAATGGTCGAATTGATTTGTCAGTGTGTGTGTCCATGAGTGTTTGTGAGTGTACTTATCTGTTTGTGTGTGAGTGTATGTTTGAAAGTGTTTTATATGTGTGTGTGTTTGTGAATGTGTGTTTATGAGTGTACATCCATGTTAATGAGCGTGTGTGAGTGTGTATGTTTATGAATGTGTGTGTGTGTTTGTGAGTCTGTATGTGAAAGTCGCACCCTTCAGTTTGAAATTATTATTCAGTCAATTTTCCCCTGCTGCCATTATTAATGCACTAGATAACATTGTGTGTCTGAGCAAACTCATTTTCTGGATTGTACTTTTACCCGGGGGTGGGGGGGGGGGGGGAGGGGTGGAAACAATCAAATGCCATTACGACACGTAATAAGCTAAATATGAGTGCATTAACTGTAGGCATTTTTAAGGATTACATCTAAACACTGAGCTACTCGCTGAAGCTCATAAAATGGATGAGTGTTCGGGATAAGTTAATTATAACCATCGCTTGCCTGCTGTTTACCCTGAGTTTCTGACCTCACATTCAAGGCTGAGAGTGCCAGGGAACTCTTCATGTGCTAAAAAAATATTCAGCAGTTGTTTATTTTTTTCTGGCAAGCACCGCTACTTGTAAAGGGAGGGTGGGAAACAGCGTGTGTGTTTGTGTGTGGGTGTGTTTGTGGAGGGGAAGGGTGGGTGGTGGTGGTAATTAACCGGCCTTGAACTATGACCACAAATTAGACTTGAATGTTTGCCAACAGAAAGTTGTCCACGAAACAGATTTGTACTTTTGACGTCTAGCAAAATGAGAAGTTAACTCTGTTTAACTAAATCACATTTTTTGCACCGTTTCACATTTTTCGTCGGTTGAGCATTGGCTCGCCCGTCGTTCCGCTAGAAAACTATTTCCTGCGAATGTCTACTTGCTTGCTACTCGCTGCTAACGCTGGAAACGTACTTTAAAAAAAAACAACTTTCTGAAGTTGTTATCTTTGAATTTTCTTATTTTGTGATAAGCGATTTACGTCAAAGTTTAGAACCCGTGTTACAGGGAGTTTGTGAGTTGTTTTTTTTTACCCACGTGTTGTTGAATTATTTTTCATGTGGTGGAAAATGGGTTTAAGAGACGGGTAAGCGTTTTAAGGAAAGTTTATTCTAAGCTGGGTTTCTTTCGGACATTTTTCTCCAGTGGTAAGGGGGAAGGGGGGGGGGGTACTTGAAACTTCACTTCCGAGGAGGGGGGCGCACTTTAAATATTCTGTGGGGTGAGGGGGGGGGGGACAACGACGACACTGGTTAAAGTATTTATTTTCCATTTAAGTTATATGGTTATATCTGGAACATATTCAACCACACAACAGTTTAGTTTCTATCTGGGACATATTCAACCACACAACAGTTTAGTTTCTATCTGGGACATATTCAACCACACAACAGTTTAGTTTCTATCTGGGACATATTCAACCACACCACAGTTTAGTTTCTATCTGGGACATATTCAACCACACAACAGTTTAGTTTCTATCTGGGACATATTCAACCACACAACAGTTTAGTTTCTATCTGGGACATATTCAACCACACAACAGTTTAGTTTCTATCTGGGACATATTCAACCACACAACAGTTTAGTTTCTATCTGGGACATATTCAACCACACAACAGTTTAGTTTCTATCTGGGACATATTCAACCACACCACAGTTTAGTTTCTATCTGGGACATATTCAACCACACAACAGTTTAGTTTCTATCTGGGACATATTCAACCACACAACAGTTTAGTTTCTATCTGGGACATATTCAACCACACAACAGTTTAGTTTCTATCTGGGACATATTCAACCACACCACAGTTTATTTTCAATCTGGCACATGTTCAACCACACAACAGTTTAGTTTCTATCTGGGACATATTCAACCACACAACAGTTTAGTTTCTATCTGGGACATGTTCAACCACACAACAGTTTAGTTTCTATCTGGGACATATTCAACCACACAACAGTTTAGTTTCTATCTGGGACATATTCAACCACACAACAGTTTAGTTTCTATCTGGGACATATTCAACCACACAACAGTTTAGTTTCTATCTGGGACATATTCAACCACACAACAGTTTAGTTTCTATCTGGGACATATTCAACCACACCACAGTTTATTTTCAATCTGGCACATGTTCAACCACACAACAGTTTAGTTTCTATCTGGGACATATTCAACCACACAACAGTTTAGTTTCTATCTGGCACAAATTCAACCACACAACAGTTTAGTTTATATCTGGCACAAATTCAACCACACAACAGTTTAGTTTCTATCTGGCACATGTTCAACCACACAACAGTTTAGTTTCTATCTGGGACATATTCAACCACACAACAGTTTAGTTTCTATCTGGGACATATTCAACCACACAACAGTTTAGTTTCTATCTGGGACATATTCAACCACACAACAGTTTAGTTTCTATCTGGGACATATTCAACCACACCACAGTTTAGTTTCTATCTGGGACATATTCAACCACACAACAGTTTAGTTTCTATCTGGGACATGTTCAACCACACAACAGTTTAGTTTCTATCTGGGACATATTCAACCACACAACAGTTTAGTTTCTATCTGGCCTGGTTCAGGGATTAGTAAACTTCAGACAGCAAAGGGAAGATAAAATCTCATGGCATGTTTTTATCCGATGTAATCTACGAATTTTTATCCATCTTATTACTATTAATAAGAGCCGCATTAATGTATTCAAAGCATTTTAGTCGGGGAAAGGCTGCCAAATTGGCAATCCGTAGAAGTGTACGTGAATGTACTAACCCAGCTAATCAGTGCTGATTGAAGTCATCTTGTTTACACTTATCTAGTTTGTATTTACAGCGTGTATACAAAAACATTCAATATCGTCGTGCTAGAATACTTTTATCTTTGTAGAAATAGAAATAAATGGTGAATACACGAAAAGTGGGGGAGGGGGAGATGTTTGTCTCACCTTGACCTTCTCGCCAGTGGCCATCTCAAACAGAGTCTCCTGCCCCAGCTCAAAATCGTTTGTCGTGTCGGGCATTCCCGGGCAGACGTGGACATAGCGGTACTTGTTGTTGGCTTGTTTAGAGATCTCCAGGCTAACGCCGCCAGCCTTGTATTTCTCCGCCATGTCTGCGGGGATTCCTGCAACACACAAGGTCATTTAAAGGTCATTTAAAGGTCATTAAAAGGTCATTTAAAGGTCATTTAAAGGTCATTTATAGTTATTGGGGGTCTATATGTAGTTAAGTACATACATGTAGCATACGTGATCTAATAGGTAGATCAAAGGTCATTTGAAAATCTGACCTAAGGTCATTGGATAGCCTAATTGGCATTTGTAGGTCTGGCCAAAGAATTTGAAAATCAAGGTTATTATTGTGGGTAGGAGAGGATCGGCATGGTCGGGCCGGTTAAGTTCATAGATGCTAAGCCGGACATCCAGAGTTCGAACCCCCGAGTAGATGAGGCTCGATGGCTGGGGCCAGCAACACATCAAGGAGGGACAGCGGGCAATATGACGCAATTGCATGTATGGGGTGACGCCATTTAAGGGGTGAAATAGAACCGAAAATCACAAAACAATTTTTTTTCTTCAGTTAAAGTAATAAAATGTAGGGCGGGGTGGGCGGGTGGGGGAGATGATTGTGGTGACATTGAAGCAAAAAAAAAGTAAATTGTTGGGGCAAGAGGGGGGGGGGGCATCTCACTTGGTAACTCAATGAGTTACCCCAACACATCTGGTAACACAATGAGTTACCCCAACACAAATGGTAACACAATGAGTTACCCCAACACAAATGGTAACACAGTGAGTTACCCCATACCACATGGTAACACAATGAGTTACCCCAACACACATGGTAACACAATGAGTTACCCCAACACAAATGGTAACACAATGAGTTACCCCAACACACATGGTAACACAATGAGTTACCCCAACACACATGGTAACACAATGAGTTACCCCAACACAAATGGTAACACAATGAGTTACCCCAACACACATGGTAACACAATGAGTTACCCCAACACAAATGGTAACACAATGAGTTACCCCAACACACCTGGTAACACAATGAGTTACCCCAACACACATGGTAACACAATGAGTTACCCCAACACAAATGGTAACACAATGAGTTACCCCAACACACATGGTAACACAATGAGTTACCCCAACACAAATGGTAACACAATGAGTTACCCCAACACAAATGGTAACACAATGAGTTACCCCAACACACATGGTAACACAATGAGTTACCCCAACACACATGGTAACACAATGAGTTACCCCAACACACCTGGTAACACAATGAGTTACCCCAACACAAATGGTAACACAATGAGTTACCCCAACACAAATGGTAACACAATGAGTTACCCCAACACAAATGGTAACACAATGAGTTACCCCAACACAAATGGTAACACAATGAGTTACCCCAACACACATGGTAACACAATGAGTTACCCCAACACAAATGGTAACACAGTGAGTTACCCCAGCCGGTGACACCCGACCTAGTGACGCCCCTGGAAACACCTTACCTTCCATGTTGAGATACGCCTCCTCGCCCTTGTCTCGACTCCTGTCCAGTAGCCACTTGCCCAGAAAAGCGTCCATTGCGCCGGGTCAAAGGTCGTCTAACTGTCAACAAACCAGGGAAAACACCTGAACCTAAACACGAACCAGGGAAAACACCTGAACCTAAACACGAACCAGTGAAAGCGGCTGATGCGGCCGGGCTAACGTTTTATAAGCAAAAGTGGAAGAGAGGCGGACAAGCTGGTGCTGGGCGGACTGAAAGCCTGGCGCACACCTCTAATTAGACCTTGAAAGCCGACACCTTTCCCGTACAACCCTCCCCGTACCCCAGCCTCGCTGTACCACCCTACCCACTCCACCCTCCCAATACCCCCACACCCACCCTCCCCGTACCCCCACCCCACTCTCCCTGTACCCCACCCCACCCTCCCCGTTCCCCACCCTCTCCGTACCCCCACCCTCCCCGTACCCCACCCTCTCCGTACCCCCACCCTCCCCCGTACCCCCACCCTCTCCGTACCATCCAACACACAGCGCCCGTACCAGACCCATGGGAAAAGATCAAAAGACTAATTATATATGCAGCAGGCGGCTGATAATGCACACTTGAGTGAACTTTTAGCCCCCCCCCCCATAGAGTGGTTCTCTTATCGCTGGAAATCGCTTCCATAAAATCATGATACAACACGGTACACGGTACAGCACGGTACACGGTACAGCACGGTACACGGTACAGCACGGTACACGATACAGTACGGTACACGATACAACACGATACACGGTACAGCACGGTACACGGTACAGCACGGTACACGGTACAGCACGGTACACGGTACAGCACGGTACACGGTACAGCACGGTACACGATACAGCACGGTACACGATACAACACGGTACACGATACAACACGGTACACGGTACAGCACGGTACACGGTACAGCACGGTACAGCACGGTACACGGTACAGCACGGTACAGCACGGTACACGGTACAGCACGGTACACGGTACAGCACGGTACACGGTACAGCACGGTACACGGTACAGCACGGTACACGGTACAGCACGGTACAGCACGGTACAGCACGGTACAGCATGGTACACGGTACAGCACGGTACACGGTACAGCACGGTACACGGTACAGCACGGTACACGGTACAGCACGGTACAGCACGGTACAGCACGGTACACGGTACAGCACGGTACAGCACGGTACACGGTACAGCATGGTACACGGTACACGTTACAGCACGGTACACGGTACAGCCCGGTACACGGTACAGCACGGTACACGGTACAGCACGGTACACGATACAGCACGGTACACGGTACAGCACGGTACACGGTACAGCACGGTACACGGTACAGCACGGTACACGGTACAGCACGGTACACGGTACAGCACGCTACACGGTACGGCACGGTACACGATACAGCACGGTACAGCACGGTACAGCACGGTACAGCACGGTACAGCACGGTACACGGTACAGCACGGTACACGGTACAGCACGGTACACGGTACAGCACGGTACAGCACGGTACAACACGGTACACGGTACAGCACGGTACACGGTACAGCACGGTACACGGTACAGCACGGTACACGGTACAGCACGCTACACGGTACGGTACACGATACAGCACGGTACAGCACGGTACAGCACGGTACAGCACGGTACAGCACGGTACACGGTACAGCACGGTACACGGTACAGCACGGTACACGATACAGCACGCTACACGGTACGGCACGGTACACGATACAGCACGGTACAGCACGGTACACGGTACAGCACGGTACACGGTACAGCACGGTACACGGTACAGCACGGTACACGGTACAGCACGGTACACGGTACAGCACGGTACACGGTACACGGTACAGCACGGTACACGGTACAGCACGGTACAGCACGGTACACGGTACAGCACGGTACAGCACGGTACCCGGTACAGCACGGTACACGGTACAGGACGGTACAGCACGGTACCCGGTACAGCACGGTACACGGTACAGCACGGTACACGGTACAGCACGGTACACGGTACAGCACGGTACAGCACGGTACACGATACAGCACGGTACAACACGGTACACGGTACAGCACGGTACACGGTACAGCACGGTACACGGTACAGCACGGTACACGGTACAGCACGGTACAGCACGGTACAGCACGGTACAGCACGGTACAGGATACAGCATGGTACAGCACGGTACACGGTACAGCACGGTACACGGTACACGGTACAGCACGGTACACGGTACAGCCAGGTACACGGTACAGCATGTATACGGTACAGCACGGTACACGGTACAGCACGGTACACGGTTCAGCCAGGTACACGGTACAGCATGTATACGGTACAGCACGGTACACGGTACAGCGCGGTACACGGTACAGCACGGTACACGGTACAGCCAGGTACACGGTACAGCATGTATACGGTACAGCACGGTACACGGTACAGCACGGTACACGGTACAGCACGGTACACGATACAACACGGTACACGGTACAGCACGGTACACAGTACACGGTACAGCACGGTACACGATACAGCATGGTACAGCACGGTACACGGTACAGCACGGTACACGGTACAGCACGGTACATGGTACAGCCAGGTACACGGTACAGCATGTATACGGTACAGCACGGTACACGGTACAGCGCGGTACACGGTACAGCACGGTACACGGTATAGCGCTGCGTGAACTTTGTTTATATCTGACTTAGCTAGCAGAGATGATATTGTTCGAACTGGGGAAAATAGTCGGAACTTTTTGAGCGAATCGTACAGGCCATATTTATTTTTAAACATCAAATAAAAGCCGCGTGATGTTTGTATATCTAAAAGATGTAAACAGTGAAACATTAATTAGTTTACTTAATTAGCACAGTGACCAAGGCGAGTGATCGTCCTACAATCGATTTACATTGGCCGAATAAAATCTTTAGAAATTGACAGTATTTGATCGGTTTAACAAAATAAAAAAAAAGAAAACTTCAAAATAAATAATTACATGAAGCAACGTGAACAGTCTGTTGAAGAGAAATTTAGAAACTTACGACAGTTTGACTGCTAGGTTCGATGAATAGCTTTAAAAGTTGGCCCCTGTGTTATATGAAACTGTTTAGCTCAGTTGGTCACCATCTGTTGCCTCGGGTTGGTTCGTTAATTACACGAGCCGCAGACTCTGAGGGCGGAGAATTTTTTTTTAACCGTTTCTCTGTTGATCAGCGGTCCACTCGTTACGGTTGATAATGATATCACGACCATGATGGGGGAAAAAAACACACGCAATCGAGCCTTTGGACGCACGAACATACAGCACCTCACACAGACACACGAACAAACAGCACGTCACACAGACACACGAACATACAGCACGTCACAACACACATCTACACGAACATACAGCACGTCACACAGACACACAGACAAACGAACATACAGCACATCACAACACACATATACACGAACACTAAGCACTCACACCGCACAGACACACGAACATACAGCACGTCACACATACACACGAACATACAACACATCACAACACACTGTTTTTTAACACACTTTGCCATCACATTGCATAATCAACAAAATTGCCTGCATAATTAATCATTGGGAAAAGCTGAACAGTTGGTGTATAGCAAAATAATACGAAACATGAAAGGACCCAGGCATACGATCAGGGCGTCACTACATGGATACTAATCTCACTACATGGATACTAATCTCACTACATGCATACTAATCCTAACATGGATACTAACCCTAACATGGATACTAACCCTAACCTGCTAATATAGTGTATTGCGTGTTTATGGTTTAAATAGCAAACACTCAGAAAGTTTGAAGAAACAGCCCCCCCCCCAGGTACATCGCCAATAACACCACCCCATGATTCCCACTTTCTTTCTCCTTGGGGGTGGGGACAGTAGACGTGCTTCAAGGGGGGGGGGGGGAAGGACAGATGCCTGAAATGAACTCTGATGATTCCTAATACACCTCTGGGATGAGCAGTATGTGGGAGTGGGTGTTATGGGTGTTATGGGTGTTATGGGTGTTATGGGTGTTATGGGTGTCATGGGTGTTATGGGTGTTATGGGTGTCATGGGTGTTATGGGTGTCATGGGTGTCATGGGTGTTATGGGTGTTATGGGTGTCATGGGTGTCATGGGTGTTATGGGTGTTATGGGTGTTATGGGTGTCATGGGTGTCATGGGTGTTATGGGTGTCATGGGTGTTATGGGTGTCATGGGTGTTATGGGTGTCATGGGTGTTATGGGTGTCATGGGTGTCATGGGTGTCATGGGTGTTATGGGTGTCATGGGTGTCATGGGTGTTATGGGTGTCATGGGTGTTATGGGTGTTAGGTTTATTTAAATGGGCCCCTGGATTAAAAAAAGGTCTGCTACAGTGATAATTTAAAATCCATTAACGCGAGTCAAATGATACACCCAGTCGAGGCTTGTGTACAGCGATACATGTTTTTTTAAGGGTAGAAAAAAGCCCGCTTAATTTGTTGGGGACCAGCAACCATTTGTTAATGGGGACCGACAGCAATTTATATTTATGGGGACCGACAACACCACAATTATGGGGACCAACACCACATCTAATTCTGTGCCAGATTTTTAACGTTCAAGTGTTCTGACAATCATCAACTTCTCAACAATCTTTTAGTCCAGGCGGTTCAACACTAGAATATAGTTTGTTATTGGAGCATAGATGTAGCTTCCAACACTAGACTATAGTTTGTTATTGGAGCATAGATGTAGCTTCCAACACTAGACTATAGTTTGTTATTGGAGCATAGATGTAGCTTTCAACACCTAACCCTAACCCTTAGTGCTAGCTGCTCTCTCATCGGAGTAAGACCTCACTCGTTATGGTGGGAAGATTTAAATTGGCCTTAAGTTTCGGCTGACGGTTAATCTCACCACACGACCTGCCAGCTCTTATTAACAAGTGGATTGGACGTCGTGGCCAAGATCTAGAGCGCTCTGGTGGGTACCTAACCCACGTTATAGAGTAAAGGTGGCTGAGCATAATGCTGACCACAGTATCCCTTCATATGCCGAGGTCACAGAAACAAGTGAACTCTACTTCACTTGCCCCATGGATCGTCAGGTTAAAAAAAAGAAACTTTGCTTAACAAGTGGGGAGTTCTAGACGTAATGGTCAGTAAAAAAAAGTGTACAAAAAGATGCTAGAAATACACAATTAAAGTTTTTGGCTAATGTATGATCATAATCAGTCCCTCTCAGTCTAATTTTCAGCCAACTAGGCAGATGCTTTACATCATTTCCGCTGTGGTGCCTAGCAACTGCTAACACATCATCATGATGGCAGGATCCAAGTCAAAAAACTTAAAAAAGGCTGCTAGAAAGCGCCTAGTGGAATACTTTTGTAAAAACTGTAAACCAACGAACAGGTTCTTTCTCAGCAACACATTTTTACTTTTTTAACCTCAGGACTAATATCATTGGACAAAGTTCTACCGCCTCGTTACGGTACAGTTCTAGGTTTTACTTTTGGCAAATTATAAAAAACGTCTTAAAAAATAGCATAGTGAGTGCATAGCCTACTCCCTACTAGTACTACTAAACAATTAGTACTACTTGGATGTCTTAGATATAAATCTATATCTTATAGTACATAGTAATAGGCCTACCATCTACTTGCTTAATGCTTAGATTTATTTAACAGCTTACTAAAAAATACCAATAGGCCCTAATTAGTAATTACTAACATAAAAGTTATATTACTATTATTATAGTTTAGGTTTGGTTAAGGGTTTAGTGTGTCATCCCTCCTGGGACATAGACCGCAGACAAGTTGGTGTCAATGGCTTGCTTGTCAGGCATCTCTCCCTAACCATTGATTAAAAGATACATACATACTTATTTATAGGCATATAGGCCTATATATATATATATATATATATATATATATATATATATATATATATATATATATATATATATATATATATATATATAGTGATGGTAGATGAATCTCTACAAATGTTGAATTTCATTTATTTCCAATAGCCAACACTATGTTAAATGTTAGGATTGAATTGCTAATGATAATGAAGGGGGGGGGGGGGGGGAGAGGGGTTCGTAGACTTTTTCTGGGGGGGGGGGGGGGAGGGCAGATGCATGGAAGAACCACTGACCAGTACATCAGGGTTGAGATTCACAACACCAACTTCATTTCTCACTAAACTCAGTCAACAAGCCTTTTGATAGGGGGTTTGATAGCTTATAACAAGCTATATGATTGGATGATGTTAAATTTGATAGCTTATAACAAGCTATATGATTGGATGATGTTAAATTTGATAGCTTATAACAAGCTATATGATTGGATGATGTTATAACTGAAAAGACTCATCAAGCCATATGATTGATGTGTGACATTATTTTACTGTATATGGACCTAACCCAGCCCAGTCATAGAGCCCTATCAACACCCAGCCCAGTCATAGAGCCCTATCGACACCCAACCCAGTCATAGAGCCCTATCAACACCCAACCCAGTCATAGAGCCCTATCAACACCCAGCCCAGTCATAGAGCCCTATCAACACCCAGCCCAGTCATAGAGCCCTATCAACACCCAACCCAGTCATAGAGCCCTATCAACACCCAACCCAGTCATAGAGCCCTATCAACACCCAACCCAGTCATAGAGCCCTATCAACACCCAACCCAGTCATAGAGCCCTATCAACACCCAGCCCAGTCATAGAGCCCTATCAACACCCAGCCCAGTCATAGAGCCCTATCAACACCCAGCCCAGAGCTAGAGCCCTATCAACACCCAGCCCAGTCATAGAGCCCTATCAACACCCAACCCAGTCATAGAGCCCTATAAACATAAACATTCAGCCCAACACACATAACTCATAGACCAAGAGCTCTTTATGCTCCTATCACTAAATTGAAAAGTGTAGGGCCTACCTTAAAAAACAGTTAACCTATTTGTTTGGCTGCAAAATATTGATATTTTAAATAATTTCTGTTAATTTTTTTATTTTTTTCTACTCTTTGTAAGCCGTTGCGAAAACATGGGTGGATTTTCTGGCCAGGAAGCTGGGACTTGACTATCCGGAAAGCGAGGATTATGTCATTCATGTTTGATAGGTAAAACCACTACAGTTGGACTTTTTTATATGATTTAAACGTCTTGTCTTCAAGACTATTATTAATTATAGGCCTACTCATTATTCATTATACTAACTAATACTACTAATAGTGCGCAGATATTAGGCTACAACAGCCGCTCCAAACCGCACGTAATATTAATAAAAGCTGAAGCAGCATGGTTGTGTCTGATGTTTGCCAATCATCAAAACATAAATTGATTTAACAAAAAGCAATACAAAGATGATAATGATGATTAAACATCAATTTAGCAGAAGCAATTAAATAATTCAAAGTCTGTTAAAAATATTGAGTACATTAATTAAATATTAAATAAACATATTAAATAAACACATTAGATAAACGCATTAAATAAGCACATTAAATAAACACATTTAATCTCATGGTATCACTTAGATACCTTACCTGGTAAGTTGCAAGATAATAAAATAATGTGCATATCTTTAGTCACCGTTAGAATCCAAGAAAGAAATTATGGAACCAGAGCTCTTCATCAATCAACAAGGCATATATATTTTAAAATTAAATAGCTATTTTTGTCACTGGTGTCACAGGGGGGGGGGGCAGTTTGCACTGTGTGACACAAGTTATGTGGGGGGGGGGGACACGCCACGTTAAAAAATTGTAAAATAGCTGTCAAAATAATGTTTTATCTAGTTAACATAACAAAATAGTTGAGGGAGAGCGGTGACACCAAACCTAAAAGGCAAAGTTGTGGTTGGGGGGTGGGGGGGGGGGGGGGTGGTGACGACACACATTGTAGTAATGCCACTGTTTGTAGTAGCTATTAAGTGTTGCTATTGCCAGTAGTGTAGCACATTAGAGTAGCTAAAAGAGCAGTGTTAATACAGATTACCCTACTACAGATAAAATATATGGCATAACATTTGGCAGATTATTGATCAATGTATTACATTTTAAAACTTCAGTGATAATTCTAATGTGTTATAATATAAAATCATTCACATAAAGTTTGTTATATTGTAAAAAGTAATTTATTTCTTGATATGTGATGATATGTGTGTCACTCAAAATTTATATAATGACAAAGGTGCTTTTGTTTATAAGGTTTGGATTTATTTATAGTTGTGGAAGCAATTATTCAAGACAGCTTGATTTTCGCTATACAATGAATCATAATTATGTATCTAATGAAGATAATTCTATTTCAATTCTGTGTGTCACTATACTTATTTTGGCCTGTGGCATTATGACTAGAGTTGTAATAATTTTTTAAACAGATCAATCCTGAGTTAGATCATCTCTAAAACCAGCAGCATCTCTTCATAAGGTTCTTATGTCACTATATCTGAAAATATTTTTCACTAATAAAATTTGAATTTTTATTTTGGGTGTTTAGCCTGCACTATTATTATTTTGAGGAATTGTTTTGTTTCAAGTGTTCACCCTTCACAACTTTTATTTTCTGGATTTTAAAATTATTTTCCAGATGTTTAGCCGTCACAATTTTTATTTTCTGGATTTTAAAATTTTTTTCCCCAGATGTTTAGCTTTCACTAATTTTATTTTGTGGGCTTGTTGTTTTGTTTTAGATGTTTAGCCTTCACTAATTTTATTTTGTGGGTTTGTTGTTTTGTTTCAGATGTTTTGCTTCACTATTTTTATTTTGTGGTTTTGTTGTATGAAAACATGTAGCTCTATCTTACACGAACAAAAGAAAGTCATTGCTTGAGAGAATGTTTTATTGCTAGTTTGTAGAACATTCTTTACCAGGATAAGCTCAGAGGACAATGAAGTCATTAATGGTAGTAAATTAAACAAATGTGCTCGTCTTATTGTGTTAGCTACCAATAAAATGTACCATTATTGTTAGCTATTGATAAAATGTACCATTTTTTTTCGCTACTAATAAAATGTACCATTATTGTTAGGTACTTATAAAATGTACCATAATTGTTAGCTACTAATAAAATGCACCATTTTTGTTAGCTACTAATAAAAAATACCATAATTGTTAGCTACTAATAAAATACCATTATTGTTAGCTACTAATAAAATCTACCATTATTAATTATTGTTAGCTACTTATAAAATGTACCATAATTGTTAGCTACTAATAAAATGTACCATAATTGTTAGCTACTAATAAAATGTACCATAATTGTTAGCTACTAATAAAATGTACCATAATTGTTAGCTACTAATAAAATGTACCATTATTGTTAGCCATTAATAAAATGTACCATAATTGTTAGCTACTAATAAAATGTACCATTATTGTTAGCCATTAATAAAATGTACCATAATTGTTGGCTACTAATAAAATGTACCATTATTGTTAGCCATTAATAAAATGTACCATAATTGTTAGCTACTAATAAAATGTACCATTATTGTTAGCCATTAATAAAATGTACCATAATTGTTAGCTACTAAACCTAATGTACCATTATTGTTAGCTACCAATAAAATGTACCATTATTAATTATTGTTAGCTACCAATAAAATGTACCATTATTGTTAGCTACTAAACTAAATGTACCACATAAGCTGGTAGTAGGAAACCGTTGAAGGAAACTATCAGGGACACAGGTTGTTAAAAACTCTAAAAATAAACACAAGTACAACACAGGCACGTTATCGATGCATAGAACTCTCTAGCTTTGATCAATTCAGGTAGAGCTAAAAGTAGTTCCATATATATATATATATATATATATATATATATATATATATATATATATATATATATATATATATATATATATATATATATACCTATATATATATAGGAGGGCTATCTACTTAGAATTGTGTTGTTATATCTCCTATACAGCATTTGCGTGTGGATATGGGAAGGTGTGGCTTCAAATAAAAGTCTTAGAATGTATCTATTTAGTATTTTTTGTAGGTCTAGTAGAACCCTGTACTTAGGGTACTTAATTGCAACACGCTCTACTTTATAGTTACATAAAAGTGGTGCATTTTATTAATAAAGCAAATCATTTTATTGTGTCTTTTTAGTTAGTGCATATATAAAAGCTTGTTGTTATAAACGTTTTACTTTTACAAGCTTTTTTAAAAAACTTATTTCTCGGTCTGTTGTGCTTTGTCTTTCGCCTTATTTCGTCATGGGTCGAAACTTGTGAGTGAGATTTCAACCACTTCTAAAGAACCTAGATCTAGATCTTTCAAACTTGACAACTGCGTGAAGACTAGATGAGTGAGTGACAAATTCCTGGAGACAAGACGAGGAAGCAGAACAACAGGGTAGCCTTACGCTTGAAGGTCACGAAACCTTGGTCTGAAAAGCTTCAGAACCTCTGCAACATGCTGAAGATTGGGATACGAATGTGGTTCGTTGTTTACTTTTCAGAAATTAAATTGAAAGTAAATGAAAGTTCCATCTTTGTGTACAAAACATGGTTTGTACAGCAAAGAAACATCGCAGGCAATTCCACATAGCTACAGGTAGTACAAGCATAACTGGCCAGGTGATACAACACTTCCTGATTGGTGGACACTACATCACTCTACATATCACCCCAACAACAAAAACAAGTACATCTTTGATAATACTGTCTTTATTTCTACTACCACTGATAAACAAAAACATAATAACCTTTTTTTTTATTTGATATGTTTAATTTAAGCTCCATTATATTTATAAATTGATTCCTCTAATACAAAGTTGTAAAAAACTTACCTTAGCATACACAGAAATAATAACAGTTAACTTTACGTGTTAGTTGATATCTAAGTTAATCTAACATCTTTTAAAAAATTGAGTTGATATCTAAGTTAATCTAACATCTTTAAAAAAAATTGAGTTGATATCTAAGTTAATCTAACATCTTTTAAAAAATTGAGTTGATATCTAAGTTAATCTAACATCTTTTAAAAAATTGAGTCATAACCCCGGCTGAAGAAGTGGTGACCTAAAAGAGTAAAAAAAAAAGTGAGTTTATTAAAATTTTTGTATTGAAAAATGGAATTAATTAATAAACACGGACATTAGTGTGGCGTTTATTTTGTTTGTGTCAGTTTATGATGAGTTTATTAATAGTTGCAATTAGTGAAAATAACACAGACCCACACAATTACACATACCCACACAATTACACAGTTCACAATATTGACACAGTTCACACAAATTCATACAGTTCACATAAATACAAACAGCTCACAATATTGACACATTTGACAACAATCAGGGGCCGCCACCCGAACAAGAACCCACTTACTTCCCTTGTATATTTAGAGTTACTACAGCCATTACTAAGGCACGTTGGGTAGGCGAAAACAAAAGGCAGGGCCTAGCTACAACCGTGCAGGGACTGAGTTGTTTCATTGAATGTACTAAATACATGGGCATAGCTTTGGTAAACCTGAGGAGGGGTTCCACAGTAAGCGATGTTCAGGTAGGTAAACAATATAGCCAGGGCCGTACCAGGTCGTGAAGGCTTGTGATTCTATAGACAGGCTAAGCTAGACTAGACATCTATCATAATCATACGTTAGTGTGTGGACCAGTCACCTATCTAACGTTAGTGTGGACTAGTCACCTATCTAACGTTAGTGTGGACTAGTCACCTATCTAACGTTAGTGTGGACTAGTCACCTATCGAACGTTAGTGTACAAGGTTGTGTATAAGGTTGTGTGCGGCCAAGTGTTAAAACTTTCTTCAATCTGAGCCGTGTTATCAGCTACACCACAGAGAGCGAGGACTTCTGCCGCTTCACTTACTCAAACTTACTGTTGACGGGAGGGAAATGATTTATGCAGGAATTCACTCTCCGGTCTTCTCAATATCTGTGTATTCCCCAGTGAATCCAATGTGGTATACAAGATGTGTACCATGTAGACTATATGTGCAACATATAGATTACGTGCACCATATAGTCTATATGTGTAAAATGTGGACTATATATGTACAATATAAATTATATATGTACCATATATACTATGTGTACCATTTATACTATGTGTTGTAAGGGGGGGGGGGAGTAGAAAGAGGGGGGGGGGTTAGGGTAGAGGCATGTTTAAAATGGCTGAGTTTCTTTTTGCTTAACGTCGGATGCCCATGTCGTTACTTTCTTACTGGATTCACTGGGGGGGGGGGGTTGATTGAATGGATATGACTAGACTTCACATTCAACAGTGCTCAGTAATCCCAGAGTAGGGGCTTTAGAGGGGGACACGCGTGTGTATTTTGATTGGGGGTGGGAGCATGGCATGTCAATACCTGTGTGGGACAATTGTGTAGTCAGAGAGATGTTGGTAACGAGGACATGGTGTGTGTTTTTAAGTGTTGGTGTGTGTGTGTTTGTAGTTATGTATGTGGTCATCATAAAGTGTGGGTACGCAGTTTTAGATAGTTGTAATTCTTCTTCTTCGTTCTTCATTGAAAGAGTGGCGGGAATATCCTCCAACACAATTATTTAATATTACATCTCAACTTTTCATGTGCCATATGGCTGTTGACTCCTATTTCAGCCAGCTTGCAATCTGTATGTGTGCCATAGCATTTGTCTACACAAAAACACTCTACAAGGCAGCAGTTGTTTGATTTTGGAGTTATCTCTCCTAGATGGGTTGCTGCCCCCAGCTAACGAGCCTCATCAGCCCGGGGATCCGACATCAGAACTTGAGTTAGAAATCACGCGCTCTACCGCTCGACCACGCCATCCACAAGTTAGTACCAATTGATGGAGTAACATTCTCATACGGTATTTACAATACACGCAACATAAAACACACCATACACACAAAACAACACACTAACGCATACAACAACCACACACATACTTCAACCTTGGCACAACGCCCAAACACAAACAACACTGACGTCATTCCATTCACACAACACACTGACTATCACACACCATCGATATTCACAAACACCACACACACACACACACACACACAGAGAGAGAGACAGACACACACACACAGAGACACACACACACACACACCACACGACCTACTGATTTCAACTCATTGTTGACTATCTCCTTGACCCCCTCCATCACTAGCCCCTGGGTGTAGGTGGCGTTCTCTCTGATCTTGTTGCCGTCAATGGTGATTGTCCCCTGGGTACGGGAAATATTCAAATAAGGCCTATTATTATATGGGGGGGGGGGGCTACACTTTGTTGCACTGTATCGAACTGTTGTGTACGGGTAAATGATAGATCAGGCTTGTTAATACATTAAGTAATGGAAGAATACATGCAGATTTGTAAACATAATGTGTTGAGACAAAATAAAGATGTAACATATAACGGTAATTGCTGACATTTATCATGAATAATTCAGTAAAATATTTAAATTTCTGAAGCAATGCTTGTGTTATTCACTTATTAAAACTGAAATTCACCGAGAGTGATTTCGATGATTTACATTTCTTTGTCTTACACGTGTTTAAAGCTATCTTTCACAATACCTAAAGTGACATATAGTCATCTTGCCCTTAAACTTGACACGACGCACCACGTGATAACCGTTGCCCTCACGTTTACTCACCTTAAATTTCTCGCCACCGGGCACCTCAAAAAATGTCTCCTTCCCCAGCTCGAAGACGTTGGCAGTGTCGGGCAAGCCTTCACAGGTGTGGGTGTAGCAGTACTTGTTGCCCTGTCTAGAGATCTCCAGAGTCACGCCATGAGACTTGTATTTCTCCACCATGTCGGCTGGGTAGGCTGAGACGGAATCAACACAAACATTGTCACCTTCTTCTTTTTTTGTTTGGAATCAACACAAACATTGTCACCTTCTTCTTTTTTTGTTTGGAATCAACACAAACATTGTTACCTTCTTTTGTTTGTTTGGAATCAACACAAACATTGTCACCTTCTTTTTTGTTTGTTTGGAATCAACACAAACATTGTTACTTTCTTCTTTTCTTCCTCTACGTTCTTAACTATAATAATGGACAGTATGACCACCAACACAATTAAGTATTTCGTGTCAACATGTTATGCGCCATAAGGCTTGGACTCAGATTTCAGCCTGCTTTTCTTTTTGGATTTGCTTCCATAGCCTTTGTCCACCCAAGAACAAACTACTGAGTACAAGGCAGCAGTTGTTTGATTTGGGAGTTGTCTCTCCAGCTATCGAGCCCCATCTACCCGAGGTTTCGAACTCGGGACTTTTCTGTTTAGCAGCTATGAGCTTTACCTACCCGACCACGCCGTATTATCTCTTGTAGTAGATGCTACACATTTATAATGCTAGATTGTTTAAATAGTTAGATATTGTAAAAATAAAAGATGTTTTAAAAAGCTTTTAGATAATAGTGCACCAAAAAGGAGAAAAAAAACAATTTTCTTTAAATAAATAATAATGGTTCACTATTTAAATCACTTACAAGAAAAACCGTGGGTTGCTATATTGTGTTTGAATACCTTTACTCGAATTTACTATAATCAATTCCTTGAAAATTAATTAAGGATCAAATTAAATCAAAGTTAATGTCAGATTGCCAAGTTGAAACAAATTGGTCAGTTAGAAGTGATGGAAATTTTGCTCGGTAGTTTCGATCCATGACCAAGCACGACAGACAGACAAAAGAACGAGGAAGCAAGTTAAATTAAAGCTTGTAAAAGGTAATACATTCCAAACGCAACGTGTAATGTCAATAATCCAGTCCCAATGTTTTCACAGAATGGGATATCACTTTTCACCGTAATGAAATGGACAGATAATTGTGGCATGTTTTATCTCCTATAACATAAAATGGACAGATAACTGCGGCATGTCTTACCTCCCATCTGCAAGTAGGTCTCCACCCCCTGGTCCCGGCTCCTGTCCAGTTGCCATTTGCCCAGAAAAGCGTCCATTGCCGCAGACAAGATTCTGTCAACAAAAATAAAACCAGAACTTTAACCATATCACAGTATCAATGATAACGTTGTCGGAAGAGGCTGACTTGGATTCGAACCCACGTCTAGGGTGTTGCATGGATCAGATCCTGATCTCACTATCTCAACCAGATGCCGAATAAAACGTTTTTTCTCCTGGAGAAGATTTTGTTTCCCACCAACAAGGTGTAGGTGCCGCCATTTTTGCTTGCAGTCGTCACGCTGTTTGATAGAACTAGCAGACGACAAAATTTGCAGTTTCAGGTTCGATCTACAACAATCAGGATCGATATATTAAATCGTGATTGATCTGCTGGAATCAAAACTCAATCCACAGCTCGAGATGTCGGAGAAAGATTTGTTCCGCCAAGGGCCGCTACTGGCCTTAGTGACGCAATGATATAATACTATAGGGCGGCTTGTAAGTCTACGGTCTCGAAATCTGCTACGTGGCAAGTACAAGATCGAGAAGTTGTGGCCTACTTACAAGCCCTATACTAAAAAAAAAACACAGTCGCATTAAAATAAGATTCAAAATGAAATATTTTAAGGACGTCGAAAATTCCATTTGGTGTTTCGTCACTGACGCATCCATTTGTAATATATATATATATATATATATATATATATATATATATATATATATATATATATATATATATATATATATATATATATATATATATATATATATATATATATATATATATATATATATATATATATATATATATATATATATGTGTGTGTGTGTGTGTGTGATCGTAAAAAAACAACAACAGCGATTTCAAAGGCTGATAGCGTGTAATGACTATCACAAGAGCAGACTTTGCTTTGTGTGGGTTGTCTAAATAATAATGTACAACCGCTCACCTACTACGGTAATAAAACTTGTGAGATTTCAAATCTTTGTAAAAATTATTCAATTTATGTCCGGTTTTATACCGTCGCAAGTTTTGTTTAAAGGGGTTTCTGGGCCACCATCTGGTACCACGTCATGGTTCGGTGAGTAGACGAGCCGCGACCAGCTGAGGTAGAATTACTTTGTAGCTGCCCTTATCATGTGATCACTGCTGGGCAGTTGATGGGAAGATTTCATTACATTGCAACAAGGGGCGATAATTGCAAAAAGGGGTGATAATTAGTGTCAGCCCTCGGCTTATGGCTGATAGGGAACCCTAGATGTGGAACTACATGCTCGTATGCTTTCTTTTAAAAACACAATTTAAAACAACATAAATTCTAAAACTCAGACATATGCATAACCAACACATACACACACTCACAAACACACACTTTAGTTATTATAACGACTAAACAATCAGAAATGTCAGAAATTATCACAAGGGGCACTACCCGTGTTTAATGGAGGATATCAAAACAAGGCGAGCAACCTGTCTAGTATACTACTGATAGTTTGATATGTTTAAGGGGAGTGTGTGTGTGTTTGTGTGTTAATTAAAGCGTAACTTACACCAAAATCGATTTGACTGTTTTAATATTTTGTCATTGAAAGTCCATTATATGACACTTGAAAAGTGGATTATAAGTCCCACTTGGCAACATGTGGTTAGATTAGTTGGATATTGTAACCCTAACATGTGGTTAGATTAGTTGGATATTGTAACCCTAACATGTGGTTAGATTAGTTGGATGTTGTAACCCTAACATGTGGTTAGATTAGTTGGATGTTGTAACCCTAACATGTGGTTAGATTAGTTGGATATTGTAACCCTAACATGTGGTTAGATTAGTTGGATATTGTAACCCTAACATGTGGTTAGATTAGTTAGATATTGTAACCCTAACATGTGGTTAGATTAGTTGGATATTGTAACCCTAACATGTGGTTAGATTAGTTGGATGTTGTAACCCTAACATGTGGTTAGATTAGTTGGATGTTGTAACCCTAACATGTGGTTAGATTAGTTGGATGTTGTAACCCTAACATGTGGTTAGATTAGTTGGATGTTGTAACCCTAACATGTGGTTAGATTAGTTGGATATTGTAACCCTAACATGTGGTTAGATTAGTTGGATATTGTAACCCTAACATGTGGTTAGATTAGTTGGATATTGTAACCCTAACATATGGTTAGATTAGTTGGATATTGTAACCCTAACCCTACCTGCTGTGTTTTGTGAGGTCCCATTTATTGGATGCTAGGGCAACCTGATTAGGTCACATTTATGATAAGAGACCTGGATTAGTCCCATCTATGAGAGGCTATGGGATACTACCGTGTTGCATAGTTACATTCTGTTTCAATATATAACATATTTAAGGCGTTAGTCTACTGTGGTCAGTTCCCCCCTCTCGTCTTCGTCTGGTCGGGCGATACTTTTCCCTGTGTTCACAAGATGTTAGACTGTGCTGGATATCTTACACCTGACCCACGGGACGTGCCCGTCAGGTGCAGGGGAAACTTAACTAGATGATGACCATTCTAATTTTTTAAGACAGGGTGCGCACATTCAACTGACAGGGTGCGCACTTTCTACAGACAGGGTGCGCAAAAAAGTGTAAAATATGTGCACTGGCCCAGATGGCTTGTGAACATATCAATCCTGCTGGGCAACAAATTGTGTTCTGGTATCCAAACATTCTACCTTTGATCATTTCAGTCGACTCAGGTTGTTTTTTTGGTGTGTTAAAGATTATTTATTCAGCAAAGTTTAAGGAGTTAGGTAAAACCGTTTAGCTCACAGGTTTCAGGTAAAACCGTTTAGCTCACAGGTTTCAGGTAAAACCGTTTAGCTCACAGGTTTCAGGTAGATTGTGGATATCTTGTCAGAGAGACTTGATGATTTAAATTGTGGATATCTTGTCAGAGAGACTTGATGATTTAAATTGTGTGGACATCTTGTCAGAGGGACTTGATGATTTAAATTGTGGACATCTTGTCAGAGAGACTTGATGATTTAAATTGTGGACATCTTGTCAGAGAGACTTGATGATTTAAATTGTGGATAACTTGTCAGAGAGACTTGATGATTTAAATTGTGGACATCTTGTCAGGGAGACTTGATGATTTAAATTGTGGACATCTTGTCAGAGAGACTTGATGATTTAAATTGTGGACATCTTGTCAGAGAGACTTGATGATTTAAATTGTGGACATCTTGTCAGAGAGACTTGATGATTTAAATTGTGGACATCTTGTCAGAGAGACTTGATGATATAATGGACCAGATGCATCTTAACATAGCTGGAAACTAAATTCACTGACATTTGTTCTAAAATTTTCTCTTGTACGCCACATACAATTTTTATATGGGCTAAAAAAATCACAAACCTTCTCTGAAATTATTTTTTTATACAATCTTCGAAACAAAATTCTTACTGTCCTTTTCTAAAAAAAAAATATTTTGTACTGTCAACTTTTTTTTAATATCTAGATTGAATGAACTCAAGTTGACTGGGTTACTATATATAGCCAGTAGTTATAGACTGAAAATTGATCAGGCATGGACGACCTGCCATCGAACAGCCTTCCCTGCGATCCTATTCCAGAATTAAAAGGCCCCGACTTGCTGACGTTGTGTGGAGGGTGCCAGGAAAAAGTCAAATATTTTCTGAGCTTGAGAGAAACTTTGGCCCATCACCGCGCGAATGGCGAGCAGCCTCGATGTGATCCCCGGGACCACGAGATGGTCAAACGACTTGAGGCAGAAGACTGGAGGCCACAGGTCACAGTCAAATATTTCGAAGACGTTAACTTCTCAAGTAAACAAACAGCAGTTGACGCTGATGATGCAGAGGCTGAAGAGGGTGATCAGACTGAGAGTGCTCATGACAGTGATCCCAAGTGAGCTACAATTATCTGCTGTAACACTGTTTTAAACATTTTTACAAGCTTTATTAAGTTTGCAACGTCTGTTTGTTTGTTTATTTGTGGGTTTGCGGCAAATCTTGTAACTCAATTTTGACCAAACTTCAAACTTTCCAGATACGTCCCACTTCGATGACAATACAAGTCTATCTATTTGTTAATTTAATTAGACGTTTAATTAGTCATTAAAATTAATTAAACGGTTTCAACACTAAGAGAAGATAACAAAATTGAATCACTAGATAGATTACTATATTCAGTAACAGAAGGGGAGATAACTATCTAGACGCGATCACCCTAACAGTCTAGTGAGCTGTGGTTTACGACAATGTTTACAATCGTAGAGCCGGTCGATCTGGTGAAGGATAATAGGGTCAGATAAACATTTTAAACGATTTGAAACTGAGGGGAGGTAAAATAATAATTGAGAACTTGATGTCGTCTGTAAAATGTGCTCACAGACGGCTGCTTTTCAAGGAGCAGATAATCGTCTTTTAGATATCGCTAGCTACTGCTGGTGTTTTAAAGCAAATATTTTTAGTCATGTCGACTTCATAAATTATGAATCACTAAAAAATATAAAAAAAAATATAAAAAAAAACCTTTATAGCAGCAAGCTTTTAAACTGAACTGAAAATGAGAAAATAAAACAAATCTTTCTTTCATGAAAGCGTTGGTCGTTTATGAGATCTTTTACATATTTTAGCGACAAAAGTTTTTATGAAAGAAAGCAGATTGATTATATTTTCTTATTTTCAGTGCAATTTAAAAGTTTTTGCTATACAGTTTTTTTTTATATTTGTTTTATTTGTTCTAATCTATCTGCTTCCCCCTCTTAACAAAATTGTTTGTGTTTTTATTTTGGAACTTTAGGAAAAGTTTTTTGTGTGGAGTGAATGGCTGTCATCAAGTATTTACCACAATAGCCAGGTACAAAAAACTGATTTAATTAGAGGCAGACTAATTAATTGACAGTTCGGATAAAACTTTTGTGTGTGGATAGAGAAATTAAAACTTTTGTATAGGGATAGAGAAATTAAAACTTTTGTATAGGGATAGAGAAATGAAGTGTCATAAATTAGAGTTGTCTCTCATGTCTAATTTTTATATACAAGATGCAAAGATGCTTTTATTTTATTTTTACTGTTGTGGTATTTAAGGTTACTAATTAAAAACTATCAACACCGTTTGTTTGGACAACTTTTATACCACGTGACACTTGTTGAATCCACAGCTTCGACTCTCACTACCAGAACAGCCACGCTTTTGTCTGCGACACGTGTAAGAAAACTTTTGTCTCGAACTTTCTTCTGGACATTCACCTAGAGGAGTCACATGACTCATACTTTCAGATACTCAGCCAAAAAGTTGACATGGTAAAAATAGAAATGTACATTTGGACTTGTATTTTCTTTAGCCTGAAAGTGACATGTGTTGTTACCTCTAGGATTTTCAAAAGTTAAATGTGTTGCTACCTCTAGGTTTTTAAAAAGTTAAATGTGTTGCTACCTCTAGGTTTTTAAAAAGTTAAATGTGTTGTTACCTCTAGGATTTTAAAAAGTTAAATGTGTTGTTACCTCTAGGATTGTCAAAAGTTAAATGTGTTGTTACCTCTAGGATTTTCTAAAGTTAAATGTGTTGTTACCTCTAGGATTGTCAAAAGTTAAATGTGTTGTTACCTCTAGGATTTTCTAAAGTTAAATGTGTTGTTACCTCTAGGATTTTCTAAAGTGAAATGTGTTGTTACCTCTAGGATTTTCAAAAGTGAAATGTGTTGTTACCTCTAGGATTGTCAAATGTGAAATGTGTTGTTACCTCTAGGATTTTCAAAAGTTAAATGTGTTGTTACCTCTAGGATTTTCAAAAGTGAAATGTGTTGTTACCTCTAGGATTGTCAAAAGTGAAATGTGTTGTTACCTCTAGGATTTTCAAAAGTTAAATGTGTTGTTACCTCTAGGATTGTCAAAAGTGAAATGTGTTGTTACCTCTAGGATTGTCAAAAGTAAAATGTGTTGTTACCTCTAGGATTGTCAAAAGTGAAATGTGTTGTTACCTCTAGGATTTTTGTTTTGACAGTATCGCTGCCTGGTAGAAAGTTGTGACCAAAAGTTTAGAACCGCTGAGCTACGCAATGACCACCTGGTCTCTGACCACAAATATCCTGACAACTTTACATTTCACGGACTCATTTCACCCAAGTGAGCTTTTAAAAGATAACTTATAACATTCAGGAATTGAAAAAAATAATCTGAATTACTTTAAAAAAAACCCCACCCAAATACTCGATTTTACCCTAGATACTGATTTTGTATTGTCATTTCTCACATAGAGTCAGAGGCGTAGCGAGGGGGGGGGGACATATGTCCCTGGGCGCCAACCTTAGGGGGGCGCCAAATTGAAAGTTTGAGGGGGGGTGCAAATGAAAAGTTCGAGGGGGGGTGCAAATGAAAAGTTCGAGGGGGGGGGGGTGCAAATCGAAAGTTTGTCCCCGGGCGCCGGGTAGGGTCGCTACGCCTCTGCATAGAGTTGATGGTGATTCGTTGATAAGGGCTAGGCTTTGAGTATTAGGTTTGGGCAGATAAAATATTTTTAGTGAAATAAATTGTAGTGTATACAAATAATTTGCAATTACTGAATGAACATGTTCAAAAATAAAATTTTACAATTGTTGTTTCAATAAAACTTTTTTTTGTTAGAACAAAAGTTCAATCCAACGAAACATCAAATACGAGTTGCGGTGAGATGGTAACTGAAGGCATGGAAGGTCAAGATGTAAAGTCTAAAGGGAACAAGAAATCCAAAGGCAGAGGGAAAAGGTAGGCCTACTATAATTGTGTTTAAAGCTCATCTCCATTGTTGTGTTTATTAAAGCCCATCTTCATTGTTGTTGTGTTTAAAGCTAATCTCCATTGTTGTTGTGTTTAAAGCAAATCTCCATTGTTGTGTTTAAAGCTAATCTCCATTGTTGTGTTTATAGCTCATCTCTATTTTGTTGTGTTTAAAGCTAATCTCCATTGTTGTGTTTAAAATGATCTCCATTGTTGTGTTTAAAGCTAATCTTCATTGTTCTGTTTAAAGCTAATCTCCATTGTTGTGTTTAAAGCTAATCTCCATTGTTGTGTTTAAAGCTCATCTCCATTGTTGTGTTTAAAGCTAATATCCATTGTTGTGTTTAAAGCTCATCTCCATTGTTGTGTTTAAAGCTCATCTCCATTATTGTGTTTAAAGCTAATCTCCATAACTGTGTTTAAAATGATCACCATTGTTGTGTTTAAAGCGAATCTCCATTATTGTGTTTAAAGCTAATATCCATTGTTGTGTTTAAAGCTCATCTCCATTCCCTATTAACCAGCAATGACTGAACTATTTGTTTTGATTCTGTAGAGTACCTGCTGTCGTTAACTTTGGCTACCATGCGTCACATAGATCCTTTCAGCTTAGTGGCGGGGATAGCCACTGGCACCAACGGGGCAAGACGGATAGCCACTGGCACCAACGGGGCAAGACGGATAGCCACTGGCACCAACGGGGCAAGACTGTGGACATCAAGACGGATCTGGACACTGCTGTGGACATCGAGACGTTCGCGTTTTCAGATCTTGCTGAGATATTGGACGAAGGATATCTGCAGCTTTAGCTTTAGAGTTCTCCTGAAGGGGAGTATGTAGGGGGTGGGATAGGGGGAGAGCCCTGTAGGGGAGGGGGGGGGGTCTGTAGGGGGTGGGGTGGGACAGGGGGGAGCCCTATTGAAGTGTTTTTTTCTTAACAGAGTGCCAGAGTTGTTATAGTCCTGTTTTATTCACTCTAAGGGATAGGGGGGGGGGTCTTGGTTTAACACTCGACTTAAGTTTTAAAGAGGGATAGGGGTGTTGGTTTAACACTCGACTTCAGTTTTAAAGAGGGATAGGGGTGTTGGTTTAACACTCGACTTCAGTTTTAAAGAGGGATAAGGGGGTGGGGCTTATGCAGCATGTTATATCATTACCGGCGGGGTGGGAGTAGAATGTATTTCTTACACAGCATTTTATATCATTACCGGCGGGGATGATACGGGGCGTGTGTGTAATGTGTGTCAGTTGTGTGTAATGTGTGTCAGTTGTGTGTAATGAGTGTAAGTCGTGTGTAATGTGTGTTAGTCGTGTGTAATGTGTGTCAGTTGTGTGTAATGTGTCAGTTGTGTGTAATGTGTGTCAGTCGTGTGTAATGAGTGTAAGTCGTGTGTAATGTGTGTTAGTCGTGTGTAATGTGTGTCAGTCGTGTGTAATGTGTGTCAGTCGTGTGTAATGAGTGTAAGTCTTGTGTAATGTGTCAGTCGTGTCTACATTAAAAAGATAGGCCTACGTTTGAATCTACTGGTAGTTGGCGAATATTAAACTGCATGTTAATATTTATTTTGTATTTTAAATTAAAACAATTAAATACATTTCAAAAATTGAATTTAATAATGTTGTTATTTATTACTATGTCGTATATCTTAATGTATTTTCTCATTTAATAAAATACACACGCACATACGCACTCACGCACACACACACATATGCTAAAAAAGATTTGTGTTGTACTGAAATAATTGTATTTGTATTTAACAGCAGCTTTTTGGTCGAGGGAGCTAAATACGAAAATACTTCACGGTTTAATCGAGTTTATCGAAATTTTTATTTTATAAATATAATATTTATTTATATTTATAATCATTAATTATCATTCATTGGTCTAATGTTTGCATTGGTGACGGCGTGGCCTAGCGGTCGAGATCTAGACTGCTAGCACGAAAGACTCGAGTTCGAACCCTTGTAACATATTGGTACATAAAACATCTTTGTGTATAGTTCGGGCAAACAATCGCTTTAAGTGCCGAGGTCCAAGCAACGCGTGAACTCGGCCGTCATTTTTGGCCAAAGGCAAACAAATTTGGAAATATTTCATTTCACTTCAAAATTTAAACCGAGATAATCGCTTTTGTTTTAATATTGATATTCATTAATTGCAATAATATTAATATTTGTAACTGATAGAAAGGTATTTATATTTATCAGTTTGATATCAATTTTTTGTAGCCAAAGGAGAACAAACCATTAAAAAAATTCTTTTCAAAATATTTTTCAAGAATATCTCAATGAAGTACAATTGATTGATATTAAATTAATATTTATGGATGTCAATATCTATTAATATTTTTATGAATCGGTATAAGTTATATTTAACAGTATATATTTTTATATTTATTTTTATCTCATCTCTCTCTCTCTCTCTCTCTAGCAATGTAGTTATTAATATTATGGTCAAAGGGGAACAAACATGAAATTATTTCCATTTGTAGTTTTGCCGCGGTTATATATCCTTAATATTTTTTAGAGATTTTAAATATTTAAAAATTCTATTGTCTATTAATATTAAATGTGTTACTTCATTCCTAAATTAAGTAAATTTAGTTTTATATATTTATTATAATTTAAAATAAAGTATAATTTAGTTTAATTTTGGTTAGTATCGGTACCTTTAAAACTGTTTTGTTTCTCATTCTAAACATACTTAAAATATTAAAGCGAGGTAACCTTTGCTAAACTATGGAGTGATCAATTTTCATGTTTATTCCCCTTTGACCACACATTTTCTGTTCAAAAACACTAACATGAAAAGCAAAGAAAGACAACCATAGCGCTGAAAAATAAAAATAAATTATTATCGGGATTATATATCTTTGGCCATTGAAAAAGTTTTCTTGAATATTGCAATCCTAATATATAAAACCCATGTGCGCACTTTTCTCTCTGTCTGCAACATATTTCCCAAGGCTTTGAGATTTTAAATAATTTTTAAAATTTTGACATTCATTAATTATGATAATATTAACATTTGTAACTGATAGAAAGGTATTTATATTTTTCAGTTCATTAATTAATATCAATTTTTATAACCCAAGGGGAACAAACATGATAATAATTTACTTCAAAAGGTTATTCAAGAATGTCTCACTGAAGTACAATTGACTGATATTAACCCTTTATTTACGGAATTAGGTTCCGAATGACATTTTTTCTTAAACAATGTGTTATCATATTGCTTTTGGCACATTTAAAGCATATGTCGAAGGAAATTTTGTTTCATACATTTTTAAGGGCCCAAACATGTATTGGTACTTATAAGTACCGTCAGGAATGTAGGACATTTTTTCCAAAAATAAAAAAATTTACAAAACAGGAAAAAACGATACAACTTATTAAATAATAACATGGCAATCATTATAACAATCATTTTTTATAATTTTCACACATAAACCCAGAACAAAAGTATATTTTGAGTACGATTTTTACTGGATTTTCTATAGGAACACATCTTAGACCTCAAACACAGCAAAAGGTGCCGACATGTCATGCTCCCTCCTTCCTCATTCCTAAGACATTCTTGTCTGTCGTCTTTTTGGTGTGGCAACAGTTGCCGGACTGAACCTGCTTTTGCTGGAGGCTTCCAATAGCCATTACAATGAGCCGCATAAACAAATATTTTGAAAACGAAAGCCTAGTCATTCAGTACACTACTACCAGCATTACTAGTAAAATTGTAGCCTACTAGAATGTTATGACAAGTCTACACTACAGTGTAAAGTTCATAAATAGAAGTGAGCTCAATGTGTTTGGAATAGCCGTAGTGGCATACAGTTTTGTGTTTACTGATTCAAAATTACAAAACGATCTATACTACATGCAGATGTATGGACTATTACTAGTCTACATGTATACATTACGTATACGCTAGCTATTGTAGGCAAGGCAGTTTTTTGTAACAAATATAACTTACAAATCTTACTTCTAGAACTGGACTTTGGTATACAAATAACTTATACTAAACCTAGTAAACGAGCCTGCAATTGCCACCTCTATTCTTGTTTTTCTTTTACTACTAGAAATCTGCAATTAATTACAATATTTCTGAGGAAAACCCTATGCTAACCTTCTTATAAATGCATAAATTTATTTTTTAAGTACATTTTGATAATTAATTATGAAAATAATATTTATGTCCTTCCACATCGAAAATCATCAATTTCCAAGAAATCCCAAAAAATGTCCGTGTGCCCTGACGGTACTTATAAGTCCACTTGTAAACATCGATCTATTACAAAGACAATTTGATAAAAATTGTATAACTAGAAGTTAAACGCAAATGCCTGACTATTGAAGATGCCAATAAAAAATATTCGGTGTTGAAAACGTGCAGAATAAGGTAAAACAAAGGGAAATCAGGAACACATGTGAGATATGTACAGAATAGTTGTGAACTACCGATACAGGTAGAGATTGAAAATGGCGCCACACCAGTAATTTTCAAAAAACATCGTTCCCTCCACCTACCAGTGACTCAAGGGAGATAATGCTATCAATTACATCAATAATTTTTAAAATTCGTCTTAAATTAAAAATAATACAGGTAGTTAATTAAAGTGGTACTTATAAGTACCGTCAGTAGATAAAGGGTTAAAATAATATTTATTGATGTCAATATCTATTAATATTTTTTGGAATCATTATAAGTTACATTTAACAGTATATATTTGTATATTAATTTTTATCTCACAATTTCTCTCTCTCTCTCTCTCTCTCTCTCTCTCTATATATATATATATCTCTCGCAATGTTGTTATTAATATTATGGTCAAACAAAGGGGAACAAACATGAAATTATTTCCATTCGTAGCTTTGCCGCGGTTCTTTAGCCTAAATATTTTTTAGAAGCTTTAATATTTAAAGACTCTATTATCTATTCATATTGAATGTTATACTTCATTCCTATATTAAGGAAATTTGGTTTTTATTTATTTATAATAATTTAAAATAAAGTAGACTTTAGGTTAATTTAGTTTAATATAATAAAAACGTTTTTTTCACCACTAAACATACTTAAAATATTAAAGCGAGGTAACCTTTGCTAAACTATGAAGTGATCAATTTTCATGTTTATTCCCCTTTGACCACACAATTTCTGTTCAAAAACACTACCATGAAATGCAAAGAGAGATAACCATAGCACTGAAAAATAACAATCGATTATTATCTCGATTATATCTCTTTGACCGTTGAAAAAGTTTGGCTAGAATATTACAATCCTAATATATAAAACCCCTTGTCGCACTTCTCTCTCTGTCTGCAACATATTTGTATTAAATTTTAACATTAATTTTATTTTAAGAAGGAAAATAAAAATAAATGCAAATTCGAATGTAGAAACTCATTTTTAATTATTCAGCCGGAAAAATGTTTATGGTTTTGACAAGAACGAAAAAAAAAAAAAAAAAAAAACCAACGACATCACATGTCGCATGTTAAAGCTAATAAAAAGTACACAACACTAATTGTGTCATCTTTCAATTTTTGAAAATGAAGTAATGAACTATTTTATTCATATTGTATTTAGATCTATATATCTACTTATCAAGACGTACGCCAAAAGTTATACAAATTACTTTTAAAAAAGCAACATAGATCTAAATACCATTTGATGATTGGACAGCCGGGTTTTACGGAATCATTTAATCCTCTTAATCAGTGTGTGCATTTAATATGGTGTTGTGTAGCCTATATAGTTTGGTTTTTATTTTTCTACTAGGTATTGGTAGCCTATGTTATTTTAAATGTGTCGGATTTTTAGCTGTTTAGTTATTTCTTAGTTTTTCACAAATATCGTTCAACGTGTAGTACAGCACATTGCGTTTGGATCAACAACTATTTAATGACTTTTTTTTTCCAAACAAGAATAACTTTAACATTAAAAATATACAGGCCTATAATTCAGGTGAAAAGGGTACCCGTGGCTAGTAACCTTGAGAAAAGAGATTCGTTTAAAAAAATGTAATATATCTCTGTAATAGATTGAGTTAATTGTGAGGTCAAGGGAACTCACTCTCTGTATTAGTATTATATTTATATTGTTATCTTGAGTGATGTCCCTTACATGTTGTTATCTATAAATAGTTCTCTCTCGCCATTTCTCTCTCTCTCTTGGCTTCATGGCGTCTGTACATAATAAAGACTGTTAATAACCAACGCGGCTTCTCGTCAGTCATTACAATCCACGTCATTTGGCGACGAAGGATAAACATCTACTAGAAAGAGCACCTACTTACGCAAAAAAGAGGTTTGCTAGAGCTTATTAGCTAATTATTTCTAGAATTATGGCGCTGTATGGCCAAATAAAAGAATTTGATGCGAATGATGAAATCATTCAAGATTACCTAGAGAGGTTAAGCTTTTACCTAGAAGCTAACGACGTGACGATAGAAGCCAAAAAGAGAGCTGTTTTGTTAACAGTCATAGGGCCTCAACAATTCAGGCTACTAAAGGACTTATGCGCACCAGCTAGTCCAGATACCAAGAGCTTTAACGAGCTGAGCAAATTGCTAACAGACCACCATGCGCCTACCCCATCAAAGTTTCTATGTCGAGCTAGATTTGACAGTAGGACTCGTCAACCAAACGAGTCAATATCAGAATATGTTGCTGCTTTACGTCATTTAAGTGAATTTTGTGAATTCGGAGACACGCTGTCTGACAGACTATGTGAAAAGTTTGTGACAGGTGTAAACAGCCCTGATATTCAAAGAAAGTTGCTGCTCGAGTCAGATCTAACATTAGAAAAAGCAATACAACTTGCAACTTCATTCCAGCAGTCATCAGATGCGGCGAAATCTCTAACGCCTTCAGGGATCCATGCAGTAAACAGCAGGTTAGTCAATAAACATCAACCACATCAGAGCATTCCAACTTATGCTAAACAGCCTGCTCGTTCAAATCCTAGATCTAAATCTAGTGATAATTATCAAAAATGTCATCGATGCAAAGGTCCCCATGCATCTCATCAGTGCAAGTTCAAGTCTGCAACTTGTTATAAGTGCAGTGAGCAAGGTCACATTGCTAAGGCCTGCTTTGCAAAGTCTTCGTCTGTTGCTAAATCTAGCCAGTCAAGACAGTACCGCAACCAAAAGCAGCACTATGTTAACTCTCACCAAGACTACCTAACCCAACCAATGAACCACTCTACCTGTGAAAATGCTCAAACTGATTCGCAGCCGGATTTCAACCTGTTCTCTGTGAAATCAATAAGTCATGCTCCCATCAATGTACAAGTTAATATCAACGGTAAGAGCATCAGCTTCCAACTTGACACTGGAGCATCACTAACAGTCATCACAAAGAAAGATTTTGACGCTGTCACAGAAGGATCAGTGCCTCTACAGCCATGTCACAAGTGTCTAACAACATACACTGGTGACAATGTTCCGGTAATAGGAGAGTGTATGGTTCATGTAAGTTATAATGGTCAAAGTGTTAAACTTCCTCTTCTTGTGGTTGAAGGAAATGGACCGCCATTACTGGGTAGGAACTGGTTAAGTGATCTTAAGTTAAATTGGGAGAGTATTTGTTCATTGAAGAATGTAAAAGAATCTAGTCTTACTTCACTAGATAAAGTTATATCTGAAAATAAATGTGTTTTTGGTAACTCTGGATTACTAAATGATAGAACAGTGAAGTTAAGCATTAAAGATACAAATCCAAGATACTGCAAAGCTAGAGTTCCACCTTATGCAATGAGGAATAAAATTGAAAATGAGCTAAGTAGATTGGAATCTAATGGCATTATAAAGAAGGTAGACTATTCCGATTGGGCAACGCCCATTGTGCCAGTGTTAAAGAAGGATGGTTCTATAAGAATTTGTGGAGATTATAAAACTACACTGAATAAGCAAATAGAGCTAAATAGGTACCCTATACCTAACATTGAGGAAATTTCTTTGAATTTGGCAGGAGGAGACAAATTCACTGAATTAGACTTTAGTCATGCTTACACTCAATTAGAACTGCATCCAGATTCAAAAGTCTATACGACAATAAACACACATAAAGGACTCTACCAATATGAAAGACTATGTTTTGGCATATCATCTAGCCCTGGAATTTTCCAAGCTGTCATGGACAGTATTTTTAAGGATATTCCAAATGTTTGTGTTTACTTTGACAATGTGTACATAACTGGTAAGAATGACACTGAACATCTTAAAACACTTGATAAAGTATTAAAAATTGTTGGTGAAAAAGGTTTAAAGATAAACAAAGATAAATGTCAATTCATGTTGACAGAAATTAGTTTTCTTGGTTATATATTGAGCAAACAAGGCATCAGACCTCAACCTGAGAAAACAAAAGCCATTAAAGAAGCACCCAAACCTGAAAATACCCAACAACTAAGAGCTTTTTTGGGCTTAATAAATTACTATGCAAAGTTCATAGGAAATCTGTCTGGTAAACTATCACCACTGTACAAGCTGCTACAGAAAAATGCAACTTGGCACTGGGGTAAACAACAAGAAGCTGCTTTTAATACAGCAAAAGAGGCTTTGTCTGCTGACACCTTACTAACTCACTATGACCCAGGGAAAAGACTTATATTAACATGTGATGCTTCACCAGATGGTGTAGGAGCAGTCTTGTCCCATATGGATGAGAAGGGTGACAGACCCATTGCTTTTGCCAGTAGATCTTTGAACCAGGCTGAGAAAAATTATTCTCAGTTAGATAGGGAAGGCTTAGGCATCATTTTTGGTGTTAAGAAATTTCATAAGTTTCTGTTTGGTAGGAAGTTCACCATCTTTACAGATCATAAACCATTGCTAGGTTTATTTGGAGAAAACAAAACCCTACCTGAGCATGCCTCACCAGGAATTCAAAGATGGGCTATCACACTAACTGCATACAATTATGAATTGAAATACAAACCTGGATCTGAGAATAGTGCAGATAGTCTGAGTAGATTACCTTTAAAAAACCAAAGCCTGAGCTATGTACCAGAAGAAGTATTTGTTCTCTTCACTATCATGGATAACTCCAATATAGATGTGAATGATATTAAAAGAGAAACACAAAAAGATGAGTGCTTAATAAAAATATATGAGTACTGTAAGAATGGTTGGCCTGAAGAGTCTGTGAATGATGACTTAAGGCCATATTAAATAAGAAATAAAAACCTTTGTGAAGATAATATAAAAGATGGAGAAGATGCAGTCCATTATCAGTCAGAGTTGCCTAAACAAAGTATTTGTAACTTAATAAATGATTATGGTGATAGGGCAATTTCAAATATTTTAAAGAGAATACATTAGTAAGAAGGAATGTGATCATCAAACAACTTTGCTAACATCATTAGCACTTACAGAAACTAAAAGGGTAACATCAAAAGAAAAGAGCAAAGATTTTTGCCATTGAATACACCCACTTCAAATACTGGATCACAGTTGCAAAGTGATATTGTCCAGGATATTACTTTTAAACAGTATTTTTGGTTACCAAAAAGCACTATCAGATTACCTGAGGAAATTGATCAATCAAAGAAATCTATGTCAGTCAAGGATCTGAATAACGGCATAATACTTCCAGATGCCAATTCAAAAATAGTTCCATTAAATCATGACAACTCATGCATTGAAAGAGAATTTGGTATTGATGAGAATGTGTATCTAAGAAATTATGGGAGAAAGGAAAAATGGATACCAGGTCAAATTGTTCAAGGTACAGGACCTGTGCCTTATAAAGTTAAAAATAACGTGTGCAGATAATAAGTGTGAATCTGTCAATCCCACCAAATCTGAACAGTTGACACCAACTCTGTTCCACAACCAAGTTCTGTTGATATGAGTGAACCAAGTTGTCTGGAGTCAGAAAATGTAAATTCTGGAGTTAATGATTTAAATCCTAGACCTCCTGAGATAGAGAATCCAGATGGTCAGAATCTTGAGTCACCAAATCAGAAGCCACTGAGAAGGTCAAGCAGGACAATCAAAGTCCCAAATAAGTTAGACCTATGATTCTAAAGGTCAAAAGGACTTTGACATTGACATTATTGTTTTGTATTTTGATTATGTTGTAGCATATTGTGCATTGTTTGTAAGGATGTAATCTACCATAGTGTTCATGTTACAATATAATTGGTGATTTTAGGATACTATCAATTGTTCTATTGAGAGATGTGTTATTGTGTTCTAAGGGTAAAGGGATGTAATAGATTGAGTTAATTGTGAGGTCAAGGGAACTCACTCTCTGTATTAGTATTATATTTATATTGTTATCTTGAGTGATGTCCCTTACATGTTGTTATCTATAAATAGTTCTCTCTCGCCATTTCTCTCTCTCTCTTGGCTTCATGGCGTCTGTACATAATAAAGACTGTTAATAACCAACGCGGCTTCTCGTCAGTCATTACAATCCACGTCAATCTCACTTTCTAATTTTAAAGTACAATTTAAATTTTAATAATAACTAGATCTAGATCTAGATTTAGACCAGATCTAGAATCTTGATCTAATAGTATAATTTTTTAGCTGCATGCATATAAGAACGCCTTTTAAACTGGAATGGTTTTTTTTGCAGTTTTAAGAATGAAATCATTCACACATTTAGAATCTACTATCAAAGCTTTTCACTATTAAAATAAAAAATAAAAAAAAAGAATCTTTTTAAAATTTTTAAATTGTTGGTGACATTTAAAAGCTTATTATTTTTTTGGTCTTGCGGATTTGTTTTAGGTCTAATTCTATTACTACTTTTTTATTGTACCTCTTCGTACTTAAAAAGTATAAAGAGACAAATAAGTCATTCTAGCTCTTTAGTGTCATAAGTCTAGATCTATCTAGGTCTAGAGATTTAACATTGAACCTGTGTCTTAGGATTCAACAAACTATTAAATAATTCCCAGGCCGTTTAAAGCGACTGGTAAGTTTAAGTGTTAAAATGACAGTTTCAACTAAAATATTATTAATATTAATTTTTTTTTTTGCCTTTTCATTAATTTGAAGGTGAAAAACTCATTTTTAGCGTAATTAATTAGTAATTTACTTTAGGCCTTAGGCCTACTCAATTAATTAGGCCCTAGGGCCTATAAATTTATTATTAATTACAATTATTGAATTAGTTACTAGTTACGTAGTTAGCAATACAATTAGATCTAGATTCTACTTACTAATTACTGAGTAAATTACTGACTAAAAGTTAAAATAAAAGTCATTAAAAGTTTTCAAAAGTAAAGTCTAAAGAAAGTTAAAAGTAGTAAAAAGTAAAAGTTGATTCACCGTGTTTCTAGTTCTACTTCTACGACTTCTAGTTTACGCTACTAGATCTAGATCTACTAGTTTAGTTACAGTTTAGTTTAGTAGTACTAGTAGTACTAGAGTGTAACTAGAGTAAGTTAAGTAAGTAGATCTAGAAGTAGAAGACTAGAAGTTTGCCGACTGCCCAGTAGTTAATTGAGCGCTTCGCCTATTTAATATTTAAAATACAGCTGAAACACACACTAAGCACAATGAGTTGGGCGTAACAGACGTAACTAACTACTTATAATTACATTAAGGCCTACCGTACTTTTTTCTCTAAGTATTTGAGACATTTAAAATTAATGACTAGATCTAGGCCTATATGTCACTCTGACCAACAGTAGTGAGTAAAGTCAGTGATAAGTCTAACTGAATTTTGTAAATAGGCCTACTATAACTAATGTATACTAATACAAATAGTTTACTTATAAATTCAACAAAGACAAAGTGACAGTACTGTGACAAAACAGTAGGGAGTAGGCTTAGTAGGAATTTATTTTGATGAAAATCTGAATAAAAAGGTCCAAAATATTTGAAAAGGTCAATTATCTTAAATTTATTACATCGTTTGCAGTCAATTGAGCATATAATAAATGTTAACATTGTATCTAAAGTAGGGCTAAGAGTCGGCCTTCATCACCATTATAAACAAGCTTGTTGTCAGGCTGCAGAGTAGAAATGACCCCTGACCTCAAAAAAGCTTAGGGTTGTTTTACAGTTTTTTTGTTTTTGGCTGAAAAAGGAGAGGGAGTGGTTTTCTCAATGTGATGAAATTTTACTAGCCTTGTTAAATCTTATTATAAATTTAAATACTATTTTTTTGATTCTTCTGATTTAATAAGCTGCTCTGCCTCCATTTTATTTTTAGAACTCAACCCAACATACCTTAGCTACTGTGTACAAGATAATTGGTAAACTTTTTTTTTCAGAATGACAGCAAGCTGTTTGAGCAAAACACAACCATGTTTTTATATAAACCACTTGTAAAAGCATTAGTGACATCCTTTACAGCTGATAGTGGTTCAAATTATTATGTGAGTTTTTAATACTTTATTTTTTTTAAAAGGAGCACTACTTAATATATCAATATATCATAAAAAATCAAATTGACCATCTTGCTTTTTATTCACAGCGTTGTTTTATTAGATGTAGCAGCACAATCAAGGATTCAGTCAACCTTTTGGCAACTTATAAAAAGGAGAAACAAGTGATCTCAGCTGATAGATCATTTGAACATGCCACGCCTTCCCCCTACATCAAACCAGGTGCACGAAGATATGGATATAGAAAGACGTATATGACTTCAGGTGGGTCACGTCCTTGCTCTCTCATAAAATAACTGTTTGTGTTGTTTCCTCACATTCACCCAGCTGATTCACCAAGCTACAAACTTATAGAAGATTGCTACACGTAAACTTATTGATGTCTCAGAGTTCAGTTGAGAGCTTAAAACAAGATATATTCAATGGGAATTATTATCTGAGTCTTTTATAAAGAATGAGTCAACCCGCTGTGCAGCATACGCCACTATTTAGTTGTTTTATTTTCTACTTTTAGGTTATTCATAATTTGTAAATTCAGCACTACCAATGCTGCGACTGAAAATATTTTGCTTTAAAACACTATTAGTAGCTCGTAAAGGACGATTATCCTCACCCTCCTTTCCACCCCTGTGAAAGCATTAGTTTCAAATCATTTAAAAACTAAATTATCTGCCCCTGATAGCTGTCACAATTCGATGCGGCTCCACGATTGTAAACATCTGAAGTGAACTACAGCTCACCAGACTGGTGGGGGTGGTAGCGATATGGTCTGTTGTGCATGCCTGGAGAGCAAGGGAGGGGCGGGTCAGCATACATACATGGTGGTGCCCCGGATGGTACCATGTAGAGAATTATATATATAGATCATTTGTTACAGTAAATTTTCATGTTTTCCATCCTCCTGTCTAATGTCTGCCCTCTACCAAACCTTTTTAACATCACCTTCTACCCTCTACCATTCAACTTCTGCGTCATATGTATGCATGGTGAAACATAAGCGTTAACTTCAACAATTATTTTAATAAATAAAATGAAAATAATTTAGATTAGATTATATTGTTTTTTTTTTTGTTTTAAAAGTTGGTTATGAATTATTTTATGAATTTGATGCACCCAAAGAATGTATTGAGGAAGTACTAGTATTGCCTTTTTTTTTCCATGTAGTAATATTTTAAATTCTTAAAGCCAATTTATCACATTTATTTTTTGTAGGAGTTCTACCTCGTCCTGATGGTCCTCTCAGATCAATTCCACCATACAAAGTCAAAGATAGTTGGTCAAAACCAAAGGCATTGTTTGGTCAAAATGACTATATTGGTAAAATATTTTTCTTTATCTGCCACATTTATAGTCAAAACCCATATAGCTGTATTTAACTTTCCTGTTGTACAATGTTAGTTTGTTGGACAGTAGTCACTTTCCTGTTGTACAATGTTAGTTTGTTGGACAGTAGTCACTTTCCTGTTGTACAATGTTAGTTTGTTGGACAGTAGTCACTTTCCTGTTGTACAATGTTAGTTTGTTGGACAGTAGTCACTTTCCTGTTGTACAATGTTAGTTTGTTGGACAGTAGTCACTTTCCTGTTGTACAATGTTAGTTTGTTGGACAGTAGTCACTTTCCTGTTGTACAATGTTAGTTTGTTGGACAGTAGTCACTTTCCTGTTGTACAATGTTAGTTTGTTGGACAGTAGTCACTTTCCTGTTGTACAATGTTAGTTTGTTGGACAGTAGTCACTTTCCTGTTGTACAATGTTAGTTTGTTGGACAGTAGTCACTTTCCTGTTGTACAATGTTAGTTTGTTGGACAGTAGTCACTTTCCTGTTGTACAATGTTAGTTTGTTGGACAGTAGTCACTTTCCTGTTGTACAATGTTAGTTTGTTGGACAGTAGTCACTTTCCTGTTGTACAATGTTAGTTTGTTGGACAGTAGTCACTTTCCTGTTGTATGATGAACCAGGGATGGCAGCATGAATCTATTTTATTTTTCTTACCATAATGTTGAAAGAACAATTATTGTAATTTTATTTGAACTCTCTGTCCTAATTGAGTCCTTATGTTGAAATAGTTTCTTGCACAACTGAAGAACCAGATAAATGCTCTCATTTTGTCGTGTCCAGATATCCTTGGAGACGGCACCCTTCATCCTGCTGACCTGTTGACTGGCCCACGCTGGTTGATAGCCTTTAAAGGCAATGAAAGGGAAAGGCTAATGCGTAAGATGGAGTGGGAGGGGCCTCGTCTCAAGATGTTTTATCCGACAGAATATAATCGCATGGATAAGAGGATCCGCTACTTGACTAAATTGTACAATCACAAAAGGTGTAAAAGATGGCGTGATGGTCCAATGGATGACTGATCATGTGGTGGATGTTTATGTTGTAGTGGTAAGAAAAAATAAATCATACTTGATGGGACTGTCTGATTCTTTATTTACTTACATTGACTTGTGCCATGGCACAACAACACAAGCTAATTGCACATAGCTATTTAAAAATTGTCTACAATAGTGAATAATTTTCTGCATAATTTATTCTGTCACAAATTGTCATAATTTTTTTCTTTCATAAATATTTTTCACAAAACAGCCTGCACATAATTTGTACAGGGTTTACAAAAAAACGTGTTTAATCCAAGGCTAGTACACTGTACTCTATACAAAAATTGATACACATTAATCATTTGTGTATAATCACATCAGTATCTGAATGACATACTTGATATACAAGGACTGGGATAAATGAAAGCACAAAATCTTTTTGAATGTAATGTCAAATCAAATTTCAAGGCCATAAAAAAATCATAATTGTATAAGAACCATAGTGTTATAAAACCTTGCATGAGTTGCGATAAGGAAATTTTTTTACAAGTTTGCCCCTCATTGTAATCAAAACTTAAAGCAACATTTTATTCAAGATGGAAGACCTGTTGTAGTCATGAGCAATTTTCTAATTGGTGAGGAGGGCATTCATGTAGAGAGTGGGGGCATTCATGTAGAGACATGGGGACAGCACATAGTCCAGAAACATTCTCAAGTTTTTTTTAAAAAACTAACCATACAGTGACAAGCCACAGGCATCAAGCATTTCATTTGCTGGACTGTACACAAAATTAAGTAGATACAAATATGAATTACAATATAATATATAAGCTTAAAATAATTTAATAACATGATTACATATAATTTACACCTGGTTTGTAGAAATTCAAAGAAAACTATTTCATTACTCATCCCCAACACAATTTTCATTAAGATAATTTAAAGGGTGGATATTATCTGCTTAAACAGCTAGACTATTTTGTCTTCCATACATTTTAAAAATGTCTCCAAACATGCACAAATTCATGTGAACTCTAAAGATGTCTTTCCAAGACATTCAAACAAATGCCAGAAATTCGACATGTGTGAAAATTTCTTCAAATTGAATATTTTTACAAACTATATTTTTGTCTAGCAAACAATGGCAGAGCATCAACAGATTTGATGAGCTGTCTTACAAATAGGAATGGCAAGATCAAACATTGAAGACAATCATGTCAATAAATGAGAAAGGTCCTGATAACCTCTTCATTTCCTTGCAAATAATATCTGGAGTAACATAAGGGAATGTCCAGTACAATGGCTGGATGGTCAAATACCCTAGTGGTCAGGGATCACGTCTTTTCCACTCCTGAATCTCATACACACGACACATCAAGTATAGCACTTCACATTAAATATCACACAACACATCAAGTATAGCACTTCACATTAAATATCACACAACAGATCAAGTATAGCATTTCATATTAAATATCACACAACACATCAAGTATAACATTTCATATTAAATATCACACAACAGATCAAGTATAACACTTCACATTAAATATCACACAACACATCAAGTATAACACTTCACATTAAATATCACACAACACATCAAGTATAACACTTCACATTAAATATCACACAACACATCAAGTATAACATTTCATATTAAATATCACACAACAGATCAAGTATAACACTTCACATTAAATATCACACAACACATCAAGTATAACATTTCACATTAAATATCACACAACACATCAAGTATAACACTTCATATTAAATATCCATCTAGCAGATACACTGGATATCTATAGCTATAAGGTTAATAACATTACTTGTGCTAATGTTCAGGCAATTTTCCAACTATTACTACATATTTTAAAGCATCACAAGTATATCCATATGGCAATTTTTAAGTTAAAGTGTGAAGAGCACAAAAATAATAAGAATACAATAACTGTTTTTCATTTACTGATGTCATTCCAAATATTAAGATTACAAAGAGTTGGCCCAATGTAGTCACTTGCTCAGGGGTCAGCAACTTCATGCCACTAAAATGTAGGCTCATCTTGGTGGGGACATGAAACAAATCTCATAGTCTGCCCATCTAGTAGTCTGCCCATCTAGTAGTCTGCCTTATGGCTATAGCTGGGTTCACAGTGTCAACAGCTAGACAAAAAAAGTTTTGACATCTCTATAAAGATTAACTACACAGCTGGTTGAGGTCTTCTTATACACATCTCCTTAATACACACATCATTTTCTTATACACATCTCCTTAATACACACATCATTTTCTTATACACATCTCCTTAATACACACATCATTTTCTTATACACATCTCCTTAATACACACATCATTTTCTTATACACATCTCCTTAATACACACACCATCTTCTTATACACATCTCCTTAATACACACACACCATCTCCTTATACACATCTCCTTAATACACACACCATCTTCTTATACACACACCATCTCCTTAATACACACACCATCTCCTTATACACATCTCCTTAATACACACACCATCTCCTTATACACACATTTCCTGATATACATTAGGTGTGTGTGTGTGGGGGGGGGGGGTGTAATAATCAAACAGAGTAATCAAAGTGTAACAGTAAATATATACATTATATTCTCATAAATAATGCATGTAGAATTGTGCTGCTTCTTCCACTTAAAGTGATGAAAGCCAGATAAACAGGAATGTTTGTCCACAATAATTGTGTAAATTGACAAGGTTTGAATATAGTACAGTACCTAAGCACACTTTGCTAAGATGCACAATAAACATAAATAAGTAAATTAAAATAATACAAAAATAAGATTTGGAATGTTGAGGTTACTTCAAACAAAAAAAGTAAATGCCAGTTAAGCTTTAAGTAAATTAGTTTTTAAAATGTTTTACAATTATTAGGTTGGAATGAATTAAATCACAATTTATGTGTAAATAAGAGTTTCACAATTAATGTGTAAATAAAAGTTTCACATTTTCACAACTATCTGTCAGTAAGATTGAGGTGTTTTAACTGCTGGTTACAATGAATATTCTACACATAAAGTTATTATTACAAGTAACAAACATTGGCTGGTTTTAAACATTTTTACCTATTCCATTCATTATAGTCCAAATAATGATAACACAGTTACACAAAAAATTACATGCTGTTAAATTACATTATTAAACATCTTTAGCTATTTTATGAATAAAAGGCAAGAAAGAATAAACTTGTTACTGATGTTTAGCCTCAGCTACTGAGGGGCAAGTTAAGTAGAAATCTTGTCTACTGCTACAACATTATGCTAAGGTTACCTCAATTTCTCACTTTAAAGTTAAAGGTAACAGTGAATAAAACATTGATTTCCTGAACAGTTTTGTTTTGTCAAATCTTGACAAAAGTTTTCATATTAAACATCAGTTTCTATAATAATTTATTATTTTAGTGGTTGGGCAAAGTAATAATTACCTGAGCTATATATTTAAAAAAAAATAACTATAACAAAAGATACCATCAACATAAATCTATAAATAGCACATTACCATTTGTCTATTTGGTTTCATATTATGCTGTGGGGCTCTACAGATATTTTATTACAAGCGCTACCACAAGACATCAACAACAGGTCAACGAACTCAGGGACACATCTTTGACCAGACCTAGAGCTACATCACAGAATAGGTCGACCTGCCAGGTACACAGGTCAACAGGTGTGTACATGACCTGTACAAAACTACAAAGTGAACCCAGGACTAAATCAACACTAAATCCTGGTCTTTGACACAGCTTTTCATTTCTTGCTTGCTGCTGCTTCTTCTCTGATAAAAAAAAACAACAACTTATCAGCATATAATAATTTGTTTGGACAAGTGTTACATATTTATAGAATCCCTACTCTCTGATTATATAGCCAGTAAACTTATTTTACAAAAAAAACCATACTAAATGTATTTTTATTTTGATTATTAAGCCAAAACCAAATTCATATGTTATAGTTAAAGGGATATAACTATAAGAGCTTCCTATATGTTGTAGTTAAAGGGAAATAACTTACTTTGCCTGAGCTTCTTTCCGTTCAATAAGTGCTCTTTTCCATGCTGGTACATTCCTGAATCTCTCCTCATAATCTTCAACCTGACAATCATGCAGATGGTAAAAGAAATAAAAAGTAAGAAACAGATGTACAGTTCACACAATATATGCAAATGTTATTTAAAATACACTACTTCAGTTACAGAGAAATAAGCCTTCTACAGTTTCTATCTTGTAGGCGACTACTGAAGATTTAGCCTCTGTTTTAGATTTACTCCAATAACGTTAAGGTTGATTAGGTTCAGCAACAAAAGATTGATATGATGATTTTTATTTAAACAAGTGTATGTACAGATAACTTTTTTTGAAGTTGTCTAATGGTACTGATTCATAAGCTGTTTCAATGGATAATTTTGGTAATTGTACTGATTCCTAACCTGTTTCAATGGATAATTTTGAAATTTAACAATAAAAAGCTTAGTCATTGTAAACAGCTAACATTAATATACAGACTAAAAATTAATTTAAAGAAAACAAACTGCAAATATTGTCATTTTTGTTCAAGTAAATTATGTGCTGATTATAACAATTACAAATGTCACGTGATCTACCTAGACTTGTAACCACATTAAAACCTTTACAAATGTCAAGTGATCTACCTAGACTTGTAACCACATTAAAACCTTTACAAATGTCAAGTGATCTACCTAGACTTGTAACCACATTAAAACCTTTACAAATGTCAAGAGATCTACCTAGACTTGTAACCACATTAAAACCATTAAAAATGTCAAGTGATCTATCTAGACCTTTGCAGCCCAGCAACTTACAGTTTTCCTTTCTTCAAACTCTTTCTGCGCCTTCTCCGCAGCATGTTTGGCCAACACCTGGCGCCTCCACTCTGGGATGACCAGGCCTGTAGCGTCCACCTTCTCAACTTTATCCAGAAAGTTTTTGGGGTCAAAGTCACCAGTAAGTGGCCTGTGGTCATTCTAGTTGTAAAAGTAAATAAAAACATCAGCCACATTAGATATTGCAAAAATTGGGCAATAGTAAATTAATAAATTAGGCACATTATTTACTGATTAAAAAACAAACAAACAACTAATTATCAATGTTATGTATCATTTATTATATCAGGGTAGGGTTGGATGTGAGATAGCAAGGTCAATGTCATCAGATGGGAACCTACCTTAGCATCATCAGATGGGAACCTACCTTAGCCTCCCCTGGTCCTCCTCCACCTTTCTTTGACTGGTACACCATGCTAACCCCTTCACCTCTAACCTTTGCCCTCCTTAGAGAGAGATTGGATGAGCCACTGACAGCTGACTGTATATCTATCAAAACAACAGGACACATCATCATCTAGTTTCTACTGCCCATGAAATCAAACCAAATAAAGCACTAATCATCTTGTGTACCCATATACAGGTACCACTAAACAAGAGGGGGGGGGGGCTGGATGTAAACTTGATCTATATTTTAGACCAAACATTTCTCTGTCCTTGGATGGTCAATAAAAAAATATCTTAATACTTTAAAAAGTGCCCAAGTTAATCTGTACATATATTATAAAAAAAACATCACACTTGAGTTATGATTTTTTGTTGACATCACTCTGCAGCTATTTTAACAACAGTTGTACATATTTTCTTTTGCCACCAAGCTAAACAGGTACTTCAACAACAGTTGTACATATTTTCTTTTGCAACCAAGCTAAACAGCTACTTCAACAACAGTTGTACATATTTTCTTTTGCAACAAAGCTTAACAGCTATTTTAACAAGAGTTGTACATATTTTCTTTTGCAACAAAGCTTAACAGCTATTTTAACAACAGTTGTACATATTTTCTTTTGCAGCCAAGCTAAACAGCTATTTTAACAACAGTTGTACATATTTTCTTTTGCAACAAAGCTTAACAGCTATTTTAACAACAGTTGTACATATTTTCTTTAGCCAGCACTCACCAGCAATGAGGTTATGTTTACTTTCTTCAGGTGTGCGAGGCTGTGACCCTGACCCCACTGATGACCCCACTGATGACCCCACTGATGAACTACTGGAACTTCGAGAGTAAACTTTGGAAGATCTGGTCATAAATAAAATAAGTTAAGAAACCATCATATTAACAACCTTTTAAATGCAGTTATATTGTACCCCATTAATTAGGTTCAATGTTAGCTATACTTTGTTATTATATTTTACTAATTTTAGACAATAGAGAGCTATTCATCTTAATCTTTTCCTGTTCATGCCCACGACACATGAAGTTGAGTTCATCGGTTTCAATGACCTCTGCAAACAGGGGGATAGCGTGGTCCGCACTAGGCACAGCCACCCTGATTTCCCCTAACGATAGTCATGTACCCGTCTGATGGATGTCATATAGACTTGAGTTTAAGACTTTTAGCAGTGGTAAAGCTCTACCATTCAACCATGCCAAACTCTTTGAACATTGAACAGTTTTTTGCCTTAAAGTAGGCCTATGACATTTAAAATGTTTTCAGAAAATACATCTTACACAAATGCCCCTAAGTTTGCTTTTTTAAAATGTTACAAAAGCTTTTATTTATAAGAATCATATTAAGAATTTTATTTACATGTTACATTTTTTTTATATTTGGATATAATTTTCATGTTAGGCATATCTTGCTTCCCTTTAAAATAAAACTAAATGTATGAAAATAATAAAAGATATGTACATTCAGATAAATATGAACAACACAGATAGTATTCTGTTTAACCCTGTATGAAAATAAAGATGTTTACAGTACAAGTTGACCCAGCCATTGGACTAACAAGAGAAACCACCACTGGTAGTGGTGGCTACTTACTGTATGTCACCATTTCTGTTGGCAGAGATCCCAAGTCCCGCATGTACTGATGCTGGTCTCACCATAGAGGCTGAGACCTGGCCTGATTGGCTGGAGTGGCCATTGACCAGCTGACCATCAGGTGAGTCCCCATTGGTCAAAGTTTTGTTCCTGACAGAGAGCTCTTTCATCAGGGCTGAGACTGGGTCGGAGGATTTGGCAGGCAGGACCAGGGGTGTGGCGCTGGCCTTGACCAGGGGTGTGGCGCTGGCCTTGACCCCAGACACAGGCCTGGTGTTGTTGACAGCCTCCCCCGTGTTAGTGCCGTTGGGTTTGGTTCCCGTGGAGATGATGGTCACATGACCTCCATGGATGTTGACGACAGATTTGATGACATCCTCAGGTTTTTGAGCTCCGTTGGTCAGATGGTTGTTTTCAGGAAGTGGTGGGGGTGGGGGAGGAGGGGGTGGGGCAGTTGTCTCAGGCTCCATCCTGGATGACAGCCTCTTGTGCTGCTGAGCTGCGAGGCTGTGTGGGTCAGGGTAGCAGAGCTCCCCACTGTCAGGACAAATGTGGGACTTGTACTCTGGCGTGTCCTGAGACTTGTACTCTGGCGTGTCCTGGGACTTGTACTCTGGCGTGTCCTGGGACTTGTACTCTGGCGTGTCCTGGAACAAAGCTTTGGCTTTGGCAAAAGATGTTTTGGTCAGGGTGTTGAAATCTTCTTTGTGCTGGGTGCTGTAGTAAGGCTTTCTCACTTTTTTCTCTGTGGTGCTGCTTGAAGGCTTGACGTCGTGGGAGATGTTTAGCTGTGTTGGTCTGACAGTCACGACATCAGAGCTGGCGGTTGAGATGTCACTGTGTAGTGACGCTGTACTGACAGACAGTGGGGAGCCAGAAGACTGTGAGGACAACCTTTGAGGCTCTACTGCTGTAGTTTTGGGCTTCTTGCTGTAGATGTTGACCACCCCTGGTTTCTGGTAGCCCAGAGAACCCCCTGGATGACTAGTCAAAGAGGTGCTGCTAATGCCTGCTGATAAAACTCTACCCTGTGTGGGCTTATGGGTGCTGTCCCCTGGACCACTGCTGTAACTGACAGGCCGAGGGTGAACATCAGCTTTCACTGTTACAGATGCAAGAAGTAAATATAAGACTTAACTACACAGTTCATACATGCCAGAAGGATAGGATTGGCATTTTTCTACATTACCTGTAAAATGAACTCACCCAACTTCATCTGTATAACAAACCTACCCAACCTCACCTGTACAACAAACCTACCCAACCTCACCTGGATAACAAACCTACCCAACCTCACCTGTATAACAAACCTACCCAACCTCGCCTGTATAACAAACCTACCCAACCTCACCTGTATAACAAACCTACCCAACCTCACTAGTATAACAAACCTACCCAACCTCGCCTGTATAACAAACCTACCCAACCTCATCTGTATAACAAACCTACCCAACCTCACCTGTACAACAAACCTACCCAACCTCACCTGTTTGTATAACAGCCCCCTCCTGTTGCTCAAATACTCCAAAGTTTGAGGCAGTTGAGTCAACTGAAATTAAAAGTTTGAAGCAGGTGAGTCTTTTTTCCAAGAAACAAATATTACTTTTAAAATAGTATATAAGCATATAGTATTTTATCAGGTAGTATATAAACATATAGTATAAAAGCATATAGTATATATTATAAACATATAATATAAAAACTAGGAAAATATTTATACGCTTCTTTTATTATAGGGCCTACGATTTAATAAATAAAACTAGTAGCCAAATCTCATGAGCTGTAAAACATCTCTTAAGATTTACAGAAACACTTTTTATTAAAAAAATTACATTCTGCCTAAATATTTTAAAAATGTTTAGGATAATCTTACAATAAAAACAAAGTTTACAGTAGACAAGTAAAAGGAAAAAAAAAAGCAACAGTTTATAAATCTATGGGCTTGCTGTCATACATTAACTACCAGGAGGTAATACCACAGGAATTTTTCTAAGCTAAAAAAATTGAATGGGGTTTAAAAAAAAAATTCAAATTTTTCAAACTAAAAAAAAATATAAAATTAAAAAAAAAATGGTGAAAAAGATGACACTAAGCTAATTTTATCCTGAGCTATTGAGACCAGACAAAAGAAGATTTACACCCAACCTGATAAGGTTAGCTGAACCTCATGTTAGCCTAGCTGTAAATAACTCTAAACAGGGAATAACACTTGTCTAAGAAAGTCAAAACACAAAAATGTTTTCTGGTCAAAAGAAAACAACTACACTGACTCTACTCATTGATCTAGTTACACATTTTTTCTGGTCAAAAGAAAACAACTACACTGACTCTACTCATTGATCTAGTTACACATTTTTTCTGGTCAAAAGAAAACAACTACACTGACTCTACTCATTGATCTAGTTACACATTTTTTCTGGTCAAAAGAAAACAACTACACTGACTCTACTCATTGATCTAGTTACACATTTTTTCTGGTCAAAAGAAAACAACTACACTGACTCTACTCATTGATCTAGTTACACATTTTTGCTGGTCAAAAGAAAACAACTACACTGACTCTACTCATTGATCTAGTTACACATTTTTGCTGGTCAAAAGAAAACAACTACACTGACTCTACTCATTGATCTAGTTACACATTTTTGCTGGTCAAAAGAAAACAACTACACTGACTCTACTCATTGATCTAGTTACACATTTTTGCTGGTCAAAAGAAAACAACTACACTGACTCTACTCATTGATCTAGTTACACATTTTTTCTGGTCAAAAGAAAACAACTACACTGACTCTACTCATTGATCTAGTTACACATTTTTTCTGGTCAAAAGAAAACAACTACACTGACTCTACTCATTGATCTAGTTACACATTTTTGCTGGTCAAAAGAAAACAACTACACTGACTCTACTCATTGATCTAGTTACACATTTTTGCTGGTCAAAAGAAAACAACTACACTGACTCTCCTCATTGATCTAGTAACATGTGATTTCTCTGAGAACATTTTTAAAAAATTATTTGAGCAGCTATAACTTAATATCTTAATATCCTTGGCTAGTAAATTGCTGTTAGTAGAATGAAACAAACCAGATTCACTGAACAAATGTTGCTAAAACTGGCACAAAGAAATGTGATTCTGGTAGCAGATAATCATGCATCATAGGGGCATGGGACTGGCAACATAAGACAGCAAGCAGTGTTGGTATTCTACACATCAGCACACACACACACACACCAGCACACACACACCAGGGAATATCACTTCCTCCTGGTCCTACTGGGCCCAATAATACTTTTTTTTTTATTCACATTCAAATTTGATCCAACATAGAAGAGGAAGCTGATGTCAATTGTAATGTCTCTATCAGTGGCATACACAGGATTTTGTTATACAGTGGTATGGGGTTAATCAGTGGCATACACATGATTTTCTTATACAGCAGTTAGGGGTCATACACAGGATTTTCTTATACAGCGGTTAGGGGTTAAAATGTATTTCCATCTACGAGTATATTAAAATTACCCCAAACTCTCTTTGCCTATACCCTTCACTCAAGAAATGAATTAAACAAATCTACTTTTATATCTATATTACAATATCTCTTACATTTTTTAACCCAATAATCAAGATAATTAATAATATAAATATGCACACAATGTATATCAGTATTTAAAATTATTATCCTTATGAAGCATTATCTATCTATGGTATTATATTTTCTGGTGGGTTAGGTAACTGATGGAAATGTTTTGAAAAAAAGATTGATAAATGTGAGACAGAAACACAACTATGGGGTTTATTAAGCTTTGGCCACAGATTTAGGTTTAAGTTAGTTTAGCTTTGGCCACAGATTTAGGTTTAAGTTAGTTTAGCTTTGGCCACAGATTTAGATTTGAGTTAGTTAAGCTTTGGCCACAGATTTAGGTTTAAGTTAGTTTAGCTTTGGCCACAGATCTAAGTTTAAGTTAGTTTAGCTTTGCCCACAGATCTAAGTTTGAGTTAGTTTAGCTTTGGCCACAGATTTAAGTTTGAGTTAGCTTAGCTTTGGCCACAGATTTAGGTTTAAGTTAGTTTCGCTTTGGCCACAGGTCTAAGTTTGAGTTAGATAAGCTTTGGCCACAGATTTAGGTTTAAGTTAGTTTAGCTTTGGCCACAGATTTAGGTTTAAGTTAGTTTAGCTTTGGCCACAGATTTAGGTTTAAGTTAGTTTAGCTTTGCCCACAGATTTAAGTTTGAGTTAGTTTAGCTTTGGCCACAGATTTAAGTTTGAGTTAGATAAGCTTTGGCCACAGATTTAAGTTTCAGTTAGTTTAGCTTTGGCCACAGATTTAAGTTTGAGTTAGATAAGCTTTGGCCACAGATTTAGATTTGAGTTTAGCCTTGGCCACAGATCTAAGTACCATTTTTTCACAGCCCCATATTTAAAGTTTGATAATGTGTCAGTAGTTGGAGCCTACCTGATATTCTTGAAACTGTTCTTTTGATTGGTTCCCGAGACTTTGCATCAAAATGGCTGCTGTGTGAGTGCCTGTGCTCAAAACTTGTCTCTAGACTTGTTATAGTTTCATCTTCAATTTCACTGATAGGTGTAGGGGGGGAGATGGGGGAGCCTTGGGTAGAGGGGGGTAGAGGGGGTGGAGGTGGGTGGGGAGACTGGGAGTGGTGGGGGTGGGAGGGGAGGTGAGGATGTTCCAGGGAGGTTTTTGCTGGTGCTGGCTACACCAGTCTCTGGGTCGTCTGGCGGGAAGGGGGGAGGGGGTGGGAAACGAATATGTGGCGACCTGAGTTGATGATTGGTCTGAAAATATAGAAACAACTGTTTAGTTCTTGTATTTGCAAGGTTTTATTTTTCATTTTACTTTTGTTTTTTTTTAGTTTTTATTTCTAGCAAAATATGGACTGTTACCCAATGACATTGGTCTCTAGATCTATCTACGCAATGCATATCTAATCCAGTAATATCCAGTTCTAGTTCCACAATCAGTTCAAGAAATAAATGTATTATTTAATTATTTCTTATGATTCTGGACATGCACGGATCAGCTACTTAAAAAATAAAAACTTAAGCCAAAAAATAAGTCAGAAATTTAATATTTTTCAATCAATGTTATAAAAGTTGCAAATCCAGAGAACTTGAAAAATTTTTTTGAGTTAAAGGCTACATTTCTATTTATTTTTACAGGGTTCCTACACCAAAGTTAACTTGAAATTCCAGGAGAATTCCAGGAGTTTTCCAGGAGAAAAAACCAAAATTCCAGGACATAATTTAACCTATTTGACAGTCCTTAATTAGGAAGTGGTCTTTATAAAATGCTATGAAGCATAGCATTTGTAATTTTTAAAAGTAACTGTTTCTAAACCATTTAGTTTAGTTAAAATAGATTCAATTTTGCACGCCACCCCTCCCATTTATAAATTGTTATTCAAAAAATTGCTATCTCTCCTTTCTCTCCTCCCCCCTTTGGAAAATTTGGTGACACTTTTTACCAGTCACTATCCTGTTACAATTTTTATCTTTGTACTACATAATTGAGGTAGAGAAAAGTTGAATCAGTGTGTAGTCTTGTAGCAGTTTCTTTTCTTAACTTTGACTCTGTATAATTCAATACTTCAGCATAAAATGAGCTTTTTGTAAACAAAAATGTTATCCCTTTTCATCAGCCCCCCCCCCCCCCCACTTATGCCAATGAGTAGTTAAATATATAAATGTGACACTTCTTAAACAACTAAATAACACTGAACAGTTCTTCTTTATTATCCCACCCACCCACCCCCCAAAAAAAAGTAAAATTTCACAACTTTAAAAATATTAGAAAACAATTTCAGCAATAAACTAATTTAAAATGTTAATCAATTATATGTTTGCACTTTTGTTTTCAATTCAATGATTACTGAAATAGTGTGAGTAAATTCACTTAGTAAAATAATTATAAATTAATTCAGATGTTTGCTACTGAGAAACATATTGAGCCTAGCAATCATAGCTATATCCCAGTGTCAAGTGACTTAACCCCTCACCAATGTCATCATCCATACTAACAATGTCAATTATAAACAAACAGAACAGCTGAAACCATGTCTTGTCTTTTAAAAATGGACATGGCATTGTGATTTAAATGGGAGTCTTAAGGGGGCAGGTACACCCAGAATCATTGAAAAATCGTTTTTTTCGAATATTGTTGTATGGTGAATGTTATTTTATTCAGAATCCATTTCTCTATCCGTCTGTATGCATTAATTTGACCTGAGTGAAGTAGTTTTTTAGTTATTAGCTTCCAAAGTGGGTAGGGGTAGTCCGTCAGAATGTAAAAATGGGGAAAATGTCGGACGGCAAGCCTTTTACAACACTCGGAAACGAACGATATAATAATAAATATAAACAATAAACACTCCCTTTACTATTAGAATAATTAGCTACTCCCTATTTCAAAATAGATCTACTTCCTATTTAATATTTTTATTCTTTTATACTTGGAATAATGACACATTTCACGGTTGAGGTATTAAAATTTACTAAAACTAAACTAATATAGAAAGTGAGTTTTCTAAGTATAAAAGATTGTTATATGCAATCTACAGCTAGTGAAACTAGAAAAAGACATAGATTATGTTTATTTAAAATAAAACAGACTACCTTGCTGAGTAATAAAAATACATAAATAAAAATAAAAGTTTGTTTACATTTGGTAACCAGGTGGACACACCCACAAAGTCAAAACAAAAAATATAATATACATTGATGCAGACTCAAGATTCTACTAAATAGAATTATACATAGGAAAAGTACTTCTCAATGGTGATGCTGAATAAAACAAAACTAAATATTAAAGTCAACCATCTGGAAAATTATGTTGATAATGTGATAATAAATTATAAAATTAGTATAGACAGCAATTCTCTGAGAAACTATTTCATCACACTTGTGTGTCATTGATGTAACTGTTTCTTAGAAATGAAAGAAAGGGCTAGCCAGTTCATGCATATTAAATTGTAATAATACAAAATGAAACAGATAATCTGGTTGTTTCTAAGCTTATCCTCTCAGCTGTTGGTATTTTTTTTTAAAATATTGTGAACAGATGAACTGCATTTGTGATGCAAAGCCGAGGCGCGGAAAGGTCAGATTAGTTTTTTGCCTTATAATGGACTTGCATAAAGTAAAAACACCAATGCCAATGGTCATACCATATAGAACACATTATTACCTCCTTACAGAAGTCATTGAAGCTATAAGACCAGTCTGCAGAAGTCCTTGCTAAGACATAGGAGGTAACAAAGTGACTCAATAACTACACCCAAACCCAGAATGAGTCACTCAGCAACATGATAGGGAAGTAATTCCAAAAGAAAAGGAATCATTCTGTAATAATTGGAGACTTCTATAGCAATGGCAGAAGCTATATTTAGTTATGGAACACTATTCTGATGGTTTGCTGAGGGTGATAGACAAACATCCAGGATAACTGTTGGAATTCTGCTAAACCGCAGATGTGTCGTATACAAAAAAACAAAAAAAACCAGACATTTTGGGCTTTCAAGACTCTTTGTCAGGTCAGAAAGCACTAGGAATTAGGTGCTGAGGAGAAAGAATCTGAAAAACAGTGCCATCCTTACTAAGCTGGAGTGTATTGGCTGTTTTCATGGAAGAAAATCAACTTTTTTTAGTATACGAAAAGTTTGCGAAAAACGACATGTTTGCAAATTGTCTTCCAGTTATTTTCCACAATTATTGTTCGATTGTGATAAAACTTTACACACACATTCCCTGATGTAGTGGCTATGGTATGAACCAAAATCTTTTACCTAGGTGTTATACTTTTTTAGATATGTAGGGCTATGTTCTGCTGTTTTCTCAAAATTTTAGCACATTTTTCAAATTTGTGTTATGGACAAACCATAATGGTTAGTAACATGAGACTGGTTCATACCATAGCCATACATGTCTTTTAGATGCATTGAAAGTGTTACAGCTGTGTACTTGATACTTTGGTTTAAATTAGTTCTACAGTTGGGGTCGTTTTTTTATATCGCGGATGACTTACATTTTAAAATTATTATTTTTTAAAATCTTTACTTCATACATAAACTTATTTCCTTACATTTGCCATATAATAGATTATGTAAGCTATACTGGTACCAAATTTGGCAACTGTAAGTCTAATAGTTTTTTTTTGGTAAATTTTTTAGTAAGGTAACCATGTTCTGGGTGTATCTGCCCCCTTAAACAGTAAATAGCCTAACTGTAATTTTAACTTTTTATCATTTGATGAACAAGTAGACCAACCTGAGTAGGTTAGATTTGTCCTACTAAAAATAAACTCTATTTTGGAAACGTCGCGCTTTTTTGACGATTTTTACCCTCCCCCCCCTCCTGCCCACTTCGTCACAAAAAGCCAGACCCCCCCCACCCCTAAAATGACGTCACACCTCAGCCTACAACCCCTCTCAAAATTGATGTTGATTTTTTCTTAAAACATCGATATTTTCCAAAATCTTGTCAGAACGCCGTCAACATAGAGTATTTTGATCAATTCCTATTACAATTTATTAAAACAGTTTTCTTAAACGGAAATAACGGCTAAAATTCATTTTCTAACATTGCTTTTTATGATGCAAAAGTGTGACGTCCCACCATCTGAACCCCCCCCCCCCCCCCCGCATCACACACCGTCACAAAATTACGGACCCCCCTCCCCCTACGAGTGTGACGTCATTTATGGACGACCCCTAATACTTGAAAAATTTAAAATATTTCAGCCAAAAATAGAATTTCAGATAGTTTTTTTTTTTTGCCGGTAGCGTATTTTTTTTCCTCCAGCTAGACACCGTCGCGCGGGGTCAGTTTGAGTTCATCTAAGATTCTAAGCTTACAGTTGGCCTGTAGTACACTGCTGATGACATCACTAGCGGGTCACACAGAGTTCACTTCAGGTACCCAACCAGCGGTCCTCCCTCCTCCACCCTGTCGTGATCTAAAGCCTATCGGACTGTAGATTCAAATTAGCTGCGCAAAAACTAGATTTTGGCCTAGGCCTACTCGAAATTTCCCATTAAAAAAAAAAAAAGTCACGCCTATTAAACAGAGCTGCAAACATAGATTCCCGCGGCCTCCTGAAATTCGGCATAATGTTAAATTGGAATGTAAACACAATAGTTCACAACTGGAAGTGGAATCCAGAAATCTCTCACAATGACGCAGTCAAAATGAAATATGAATGAACATCCGAAGAATCAAACTCAATAGCTGACACTTGAATAATCGAAGATCCCGCCAGACGGACCATTATATAGACCAAGGCTAAATCTAGTTTTAAACCAACATCCGATGTGCGCAGAATTTAAAAAAAAACGGAAACTCTAAGCGGCGGCGTAAACAAAATACCGAAAATGCACAAAAAATTCACGGAAAATTCGTTACGCGCGAAAATTCCAGGAGATTTTTCAAAATTCCAGGAGAATTAAGTAGAAATTTTGAAATTCCAGGAGAATTCCAGGACTTTTGGTTTTTTTTTCAAATTCCAGGAGAATTCCAGGACATCCTGGAATTTCAGGAGGCCGCGGGAACCCTGTTTTTAACAACCTTAAGTTATAACCGGATGTTTCACTTTTGTAATTCAAACATTGATTGGCTGTACAGGAACTCCGTGAATGATTTTTATTTGTTTACAAAACTTTGCAGATAAAGTTTTTAAATTACACAATACTATTTTAAACCACACGGCCTAGTTCCACTATTTTGGTTACATTTAGTATAATAAAATTTATGCTAGCCTATCAAACTGCAGGATGTCATATGAAAACCAAATTTATTTTGCCTTTATATAAAATTGTGTTTAATTACTGAAAATACTAAAAGGTCAAAATAGTCAAATACATCCACTCTTTTTTTAAGTAAAAAAAAAACAAAACAACAACAACCAAACAGTCAGTGTTTTTTACCATACTAATTTTAATTATACTGCACATGATTTTAAAAATATTTAATGGACCTTTCGAATACCTTTGAGAATATTATCCCTTGGGTCCATTAAATCATTTAAAAATTCTTTTTATATCTTTTAAGTACGTAAAAATCGTCCGAGGCTAGTAACGTGAAAGGTGACTCATTATTATTTATGGCTTTAATACAAGTATATTGTGATATATTTGTGTCACATATATTAGAATAGATAATTGAATAATAAACAATAGTTTGAGAGCAAGATTTGCTATAGACAGCCCCCACCCGTAAATTGAGTGGTTTCCCCTGAATCTCTAACTAAAATATTACCAAAAAAACTTAAACTAGATGGCTGCTGAAGTAAATGAGCTTGGTTGCATCTGATGAAAACATCGCTAATCATTATTCAATATTTATTACTGAAAGGTTTTAATACAAATGTTTAAAAACAGATACAGATACATGAATGAAACCTAGAAACATTTATTAATTTTTAATTTTGTAAGTTTCAAAACATAATAAATCCTTCTAAAAATGTGAATATTATTATACAAATTTAGTGAGTCCCCTTATTTTCACATTACTTATGTTATCATTACTAGACTTGCCTCATCTGATTTTACGTAAGGTTAAATTAAAATAAAAGTTAGGTAACTGTAATATAAAAATTAATATTGCAAAGTTCCAGATCTAACAGTATTATTTCTGTACTAGAATCTATTTCTATTCCATGGAATCTAGCCTTTATCACACAAAACCAACCTATCATAGACTTGTGGACTGATAAACAAAGCTAATATAACCAAAGAGTCTTTGGCAAAGACCAAGATTAAATATCACACCTTGTTTGTTGACTGTTGGTGAATGAAGTGCTCGAGAGTGATCTCCCCTCTAACAAGAGCAGCTACTCCCGTTTGCCCACATTTGTCAGCAAGTTCTGCAGCAGTGAGTCCCTCATTATCCACCAGACTGACGTCACATCCAGCTTGTAGCAAAGCAACCACAGTCTGAAATAAATTCAGTCAATAAATAGACACTAGTTATAAATACGACAAGCTATTTTAAAACAAATCTGAAACGGATACGTGATAGGAACACATAGAGATAGCCAGACAGCCACGATAACTGGATTTAAACAATACCCTGAGGTCATCTTTCAACTAGCACAGTAGTCAGATCTATTTTTACATATTTTATTTTACATTACAACTTCCTGGTTCGATGAATTCTACGTGTGGCACCTCAAAATGTTAACTTTAAAAACAAGACAATAGTAACGGAACAATTACACGCAATGTAGCACACGTGTATTGAGATGGTCGTCCACAACTTTTGCCGGCATCACTTGCAGCCACACACCATCCCCACCCCTCCCCCATAAACCGACGTCATACAATCACAACCACTCTAATACTAATAGCTCAAATGTTAAAGAAAATCGTTTTTACAATAATTTTTTACAAATATAAAATGTAGACCTACTTTAGGTCGTGTGTTGTCTACCCCTAACGACAGACGTCGCACATCGTAACATGTCAAAAATCTACCCACCCCCATACTCCTCCGCCATTTTTAGGTGCTTGACATCATTTATAAACGGCACCGAAAAACAAATGGGGCATGCGCAGACCAAGAGGATGACGTTATTTAGTGACCCAAAACTTGTGAGTATAAAATGTAGTTGTGCTAAAGATGGCTGTGGTCAGTGGCATAGCTAGGGGAGGGCGGGTGGGGCGGCCGCCCCGGGCGCCGACCCTAAGGGGGCGCCAAAAGGGGTAGAAAAAATTATTTAAAAGCTCATTTTAAGCTGAAGTATTGAATTATACAGTCAAACTTACGAAAATAAATGACTACAAGGCTTCACACTCTGATTTAACTGGTTTCTATATCAACTTTGTGACACCGAAGTAGAAAATGTTACGGGATAGTAACTGGTAAGAAGCGCTACAAACATTTCAGAGTGTGTAGGGGAAGGGGGGAGGCTTTTTTAAAGACAGGAATAACTATAAATAGAAATGTGAGGGAGGGGGCGCAAAATTGGTAGTCCGCCCAGGGCGCCGAAATAGATCGCTACGCCTCTGGCTGTGGTCACCGGAGCCAGCAGTGTTTCTTCCAGACTTTTTCTCTTGGGGGGGGGGGGGGGGGGGCACTTGAAATTTTCGGGGGGGGGGGAGGGGGAGGAGGACACTGTTAAAAGTATATATTATCTATATAAATTTCATTTCGTTCGGGGGGGGGGGGGGGGAGAAACTCTGGGAGCCAGACGGTGCCTACAATAAATCTCCTTAACATGGCGAGGCTTCCACTTGATATACTTCGTGCTAACGTACAAGTGCCGAGGTCATTGAAAACAGGTGAACATCCAGCACCAAAAGTTCCACAGATGACTCTCACAGTTTAAATATCGCAGAAGACAGAAGATAACAGCTCTATTTTATCTAAGGTCCTATGTCTCACATCTGATCAAGACGTCTGCTTAGGCGAGATAGGGAGAGGGAAATACGGAGAGGAAGATTGGGAGAGAAAGGGCGAGGGAGATAGGAAGAGAGAGACAAGGAAAGGAAGAGAGAGAGAGAGAGAGAGAGAGAAAGAAAGAGAGAGAGGAATTTAAAAGAGAGGAAATAATGGGCTAGCAGGCATGCGATCTGGACTAACAAACGGCTGCATGTCATGGCTATTAATTAATTGCTAATGAGAGATTTCATTAAGACGATCACGATTTATGGACGATGAAGACTTTAAAAATAAGACGCGTATGCGCGCGCACACCAGAAACATCAAGTAGACGCCAGTCAGTGGGGGGCTATAAATAATCTAAGTTTGGACACCCACTGCTGGGGTCACAGGTAATTCATGCTAATTTATGCAAACAAGACTGCAGGGTTAAAACAAATGTTTCTTATTAATCCCAAATCAGAGGCGTGGTTGATGGGATGAAGGGGGGGGGGGGGGGTGACACGTGGGCGGCTCCCAGTAACACGTTATAATAAAGCAAGGGGGTGGGGGTGGACAAACCAGCCTCTATCTAGAAGTGGACAAATCAGCCTCTATCTAGAGGTGGACTAATCAGCCTCTATCTAGAGGTGGACAAATCAGCCTTTATCTAGAAGTGGACAAATCAGCCTCTATCTAGAAGTGGACAAATCAGCCTCTATCTAGAAGTGGACAAATCAGCCTCTACCTAGAGGTGGACAAATCAGCCTTTATCTAGAAGTGGACAAATCAGCCTCTATCTAGAAGTGGACAAATCAGCCTCTATCTAGAAGTGGACAAATCAGCCTCTATCTAGAAGTGGACAAATCAGCCTCTATCTAGAAGTGGACAAATCAGCCTCTATCTAGAAGTGGACAAATCAGCCTCTATCTAGAGGTGGACAAATCAGCCTCTATCTAGAGGTGGACAAATGAGCCTCTATCTAGAGGTGGACAAATCAGCCTCTATCTAGAGGTGGACAAATCAGCCTCTGTCTAGAGGTGGACAAATCAGCCTTTATCTAGAGGTGGACAAATCAGCCTCTATCTAGAGGTGGACAAATCAGCCTCTACATACACAGTGGGCACAGGGATGTGCTAAAACAGATGAAACTTGGGGCCCCAAAAATAGTAGTGATGACATGAAAGTGAGGTAAGCCATGTCGGACATTGCCCCTCCCTTCTCACTCCCTCCCCCCCCCCCCCCCCCCCCCCCCCCCTCAGATCACTCTGTAAAGAAAACCACGTGCTTAACTCAGGACAATTAGAAACACGTTTTGGCAAAGAAACGGTCAAAAAATCTGACACGTGGGTTAAAGGTCAAGTGGCACTGTGGTCGCAGTCCCGTGACGTCACGTCCAGTTTGTCACAAACACGTCACTTCAAATGGCCGACTTCTGTTGTTCTATTTTAACCGCTAGTACAAAGTCAACACATCGCCATTAGCCGCTAGTACAAAGTCAACATGTCTCTAACAACCCGTACACTATTGCCGTGGGACGACGAAACAGCAAGGACAAACAATCAACGCTTGCCAACTTTAATCACGACCCCCCTCCCCCACTCCGTCATATCACAGGTGTGAGGGAAGGGTGTGAGGTAGAATGACGAGATGGCACAGCATCATGTACACCTGTCTGATACCCCCCCCCCCCGCATCACAGGTGTGAGGGAAGGGTGTGAGGTAGAATGACGAGATGGCCCAGCATCATGTACACCTGTCTGATACCCCCCCCCCCCCCACACCGTCATATCACAGGTGTGAGGGAAGGGTGTGAGGTAGAATGACGAGATGGCCCAGCATCATGTACACCTGTCTGATACCCCCCCCCCACACCGTCATATCACAGGTGTGAGGGAAGGGTGTGAGGTAGAATGAAGAGATGGCACAGCATCATGTACACCTGTATGATACCCCCCCCCCCCCACATCACAGGTGTGAGGGAAGGGTGTGAGGTAGAATGAAGAGATGGCACAGCATCATGTACACCTGTCTGGTACCCCCCCCCCCCCCCCACACCGTTATATCACAGGTGTGAGGGAAGGGTGTGAGGTAGAATGAAGAGATGGCACAGCATCATGTACACCTGTCTGATACCCCCCCCCCCCCCCACTCCGTCATATCACAGGTGTGAGGGAAGGGTGTGAGGTAGAATGAAAAGATGGTCCAGCATCATGTACACCTGTCTGATATCAAGACAAGCGCTTGACGCCGAACACAGGCCCCTATAGGCCAGAGATTTGTCCGTTCTTCTTCTCAACAAATCTGATCAAAAGGAAAGTGTATTACGTCACTGATGAGGGTCACTGTCACTACACGACACATACAACTTCCACTACACGACACCAGCAAGATCACTGTCACTACACGACAGGAGGGTGAATGCCACTACACGACAGGCGGGTCACTGCCACTACATGACAGGTGGGTCAATGTCAGTACATGACAGGTGGGTGAATGCCACTACACAACGACAGGAAGGTCACTTTCACTACACGAGAAGAGTGTCACGACGAAGGAGGGTCACCGTCACTACACACCGTTTCTTCTGCGCTGACTCTAGACAACACGGGTGGAATAATGGGGGTCATGACCTTTGTAATCTGATTATCTGACGGGACGGATGACAGAAGTAGTGCTGTTATGGTTTGATGTATTTTACGTGCAAGCTATATGTGTGTGTAGTGCTGTTATGGTTTGATGTATTCTACGTGCAAGCTATATTTGTGTGTAGGTGCTCTGTGTACTTGTATGTGTGTGTAGGTGCTCTCTGTGTAGTTGTATGTGTGTAGGTGCTCTCTGTGTAGTTGTATGTGTGTGTAGGTGCTCTCTGTGTAGTTGTATGTGTGTGTAGGTGCTCTATGTGTAGTTGTATGTGTGTGTTGGTGCTCTCTGTGTAGTTGTATGTGTGTGTAGGTGCTCTCTGTGTACTTGTATGTGTGTGTAGGTTCTCTCTGTGTACTTGTATGTGTGTGTAGGTGCTCTCTGTGTAGTTGTATGTGTGTAGGTGCTCTCTGTGTAGTTGTATGTGTGTAGGTGCTCTATGTGTAGTTGCATGTGTGTGTAGGTGCTCTCTGTGTAGTTGTATGTGTGTGTAGGTGCTCTATGTGTAGTTGTATGTGTGTAGGTGCTCTCTGTGTACTTGTATGTGTGTGTTGGTGATCTCTGTGTAGTTGTATGTGTGTGTTGGTGCTCTCTGTGTAGTTGTATGTGTGTAGGTGCTCTCTGTGTACTTGTATGTGTGTGTAGGTGCTCTCTGTGTACTTGTATGTGTGTGTAGGTGCTCTCTGTGTAGTTGTATGTGTGTAGGTGCTCTCTGTGTACTTGTATGTGTGTGTAGGTGCTCTCTGTGTAGTTGTATGTGTGTAGGTGCTCTCTGTGTAGTTGTATGTGTGTGTAGGTGCTCTTTGTGTAGTTGTATGTGTGTAGGTGCTCTCTGTGTAGTTGTATGTGTGTGTAGGTGCTCTCTGTGTAGTTGTATGTGTGTGTAGGTGCTCTCTGTGTAGTTGTATGTGTGTAGGTGCTCTCTGTGTAG